ATCGATTGTTTTATTACAGCTAAAATTCCCTGAAGAAGTTGTCCAATTGACATCTGGGTATCTGGATGTACGTTGGAGTCGTCATAGAAACTGGATTATTTGGTTACAACGAAAATTCCCTGAAGAAGTTTTCCAATTGACTCCTAGTCATCATGATGAACGTTGGAGTCATCCTGGAGTATCGATTGTTTGATTACAGCTAAAATTCCCCAGAGAAGTTGTCCAATTGACTCCTAGTCATCATGATGTTCTTTGGAGTCATCCTGGAGTATTGATTATTTGATTACAGCTAAATTTCCCTGAAGAAGTTGTCCAACTGACTCCTAGTCATTATAATGTAATTTGGAGTGCTCCTGGACTATCGATTGTTTGATTAGAGCTAAAATTCCCTGGAGAAGTTATCCAATTGACTCCTAGTCATCATGATGTACGTTGGAGTCATCCTGGAGTATCGATTATTTGATTACAGTTAAAATTCCCTGGAGAAGTTCCCCAATTGACATCTGGGTATCTGGATGTACGTTGGAGTCGTGATAGAAACTGGATTATTTGGTTAAAACGAAAATTCCCTGAAGAAGTTTTCCAATTGACTCCTAGTCATCATGATGAACGTTGGAGTCATCCTGGAGTATCGATTGTTTGATTACAGCTAAAATTCCCCAGAGAAGTTGTCCAATTGACTCCTAGTCATCATGATGTTCGTTGGAGTCATCCTGGAGTATTGATTATTTGATTACAGCTAAATTTCCCTGAAGAAGTTGTCCAACTGACTCCTAGTCATTATAATGTACTTTGGAGTGCTCCTGGACTATCGATTGTTTGATTAGAGCTAAAATTCCCTGGAGAAGTTGCCCAATTGACTCCTAGTCATCATGATGAACGTTGGAGTCATCCTGGATTATCGATTGTTTGATTACAGCTAAAATTCCCCAGAGAAGTTGTCCAACTGACTCCTAGTCATCATGATGTTCGTTGGAGTCATCCTGGAGTATCGATTGTTTGATTACAGCTAAAATTCCCCAGAGAAGTTGTCCAATTGACTCCTAGTCATCATGATGTTCGTTGGAGTCATCCTGGAGTATCGATTGTTTTATTACAGCTAAAATTCCCTGAAGAAGTTGTCCATTTGACTCCTAGTCATTATGATGTACTATGGTGTCATCCTAGAGTATCGATTGTTTCATAACAGCTCAAATTCCCTGGAGAAGTGTTCCAATTGATTCCTAGTCATCATGATGAACGTTGGAGTCATCCTGCAGTATTGATGGTTTGATTACAGCTAAACTTCCCTGAAGAAGTTGTCCAATTGACTCCTGGATATCTGGATGTACGTTGGAGTCATCCCGGAGTATCAATTACTTGATTGAAACGAAAATTCCATGAATTCTGGGAAAAAACCAAAAATTTTCCGGGAATGTTCTCAGAATGTTCTGGGAACTACTCCCAGAGTCACTCTGCAAAAATTCCGGGAACTTTTTCACGTGGGACAGTGATTGCCAGTATAAGCAAAAAGGGGATATATTTATACAAATTACAAATGTTTAATTATCGAAATGAAACCATTTGTAAAGGAATTAAAATATTCCATTAATCTGAAAATAATAATGAATTGTTTATTTAATATTAGTATAAATTTTAAAAAAAAAATCTTCACATGACAGAAAAAATAGTGATTGCCCTGGCGGATTCGATTTGCGTAATGTCTACTTAACTAAGTGGACTTTAGGTAGACATTAGGTAAACATGTGAAAAAACGTATAAAAAAGCTATTAATCGACTAGTTATGATAAAAAAAAGTTGATAAAAGGGTAAATGAATGTTTATAGAGTAAATTCGTACAAAATTTGTAATTAATAAAGCATTAAATAATTAATAATGAATGGAAATGTGCGCGAGGTACCTGATCAGTTCAGCTGTACAATTATTTTCGTGCTATTTTCATGAAAAGAATATAAATTAACGGCAAAAACAATTGATATTTATAAAAAAGTATAAAATTGATTTAATTTGAGTGTTTGCAATACGAATTATTAAATAATAATTAAGTTTTTATCAAATGTGAATAGTGTTGTGAAAACCTGTGAAAACTAATGAGTTACTACATTACCGATCGCATATGATAATAAAAAGTTCTCGATGAGTGTAACAAAAAAGCTCCAATTTAACCAAGTACATAATTTCCGGGAATGCCAGAGATGGCGCCACCAGTTTTTACAATACAGTGCGAGCATGTTTTCTTCCAAGCTTTTGCTTTGAAATAAAATAAAAAGTGAATTTTAAAATGCAGAATAAAGTTATACAAATAATTATTGATTTCATAATTGTTTCTCGTCCAATATTACGGGCATGATTGCAGCTTTTTTGTTACACTCATCGAGAACTTTTTATTATCATATGCGATCGGTAATGTAGTAACTCATTAGTTTTCACAGGTTTTCACAACACTATTCACATTTGATAAAAACTTAATTATTATTTAATAATTCGTATTTCAAACACTCAAATTAAATCAATTTTACACTTTTTTATAAATATCAATTGTTTTTGCCGTTAATTTATATTCTTTTCATGAAAATAGCACGAAAATAATTGTACAGCTGAACTGATCAGGTACCTCGCGCACATTTCCATTCATTATTAATTATTTAATGCTTTATTAATTACAAATTTTGTACGAATTTACTCTATAAACATTTATTTACCCTTTTATCAACTTTTTTTTATCATAATAAGTCGATTAATAGCTTTTTTATACGTTTTTTTACATGTTTACCTAATGTCTACCTAAAGTCCACTTAGTTAAGTAGACATTACGCAAATCGAATCCGCCAGGGTGTCATTATTTTTACAATGATTGACCATCAATTTTACAATGATTGCCCACTAGACATAAAATAGTAATGTAAATTATAAATTTTGCATAATTTATTAAAGAATTAATATAATTTGAAATTAATAAAGAAGTAATTTTTAAAATAATTTTCTTTTTTTAACAATAATAAGATTCATTAAATATGACTTTTAAGTGTAAATAATACTATTAACCTAAAAAATTGGAAAAATTGTCGAATCTGACTCAATTGTAAAAATAAAAATTATTTTTGGCTATTTTGATTTGATATAATGATTACATGATTTTGAAGTTTTTCATTGCTTAAAGAAGCATATACGAAACACCTTTTTTTATTTTCGGCATTTTTTCGATAGCCTAAAAATTATACTTCATATTAAAAAATTGTTAATAAAATATTACAAATCATTCTAATACATGCTGCGGCTCTAATTACATCTTTATTTTAAAAAATTAATTCACCAAATATGAAAAAACGTCCAAAAATTAAAAATACTTATCTCAAAAAAGTCTTGAAAATAAACGGTTAATAATTATTTTAGTTTTGTTTTAGGTATATTAGATATTTTAATCTAAGAAAAATTGAAGTAATTTTTTATTTTATTAGATTTTGATATATTGAAAAACGACAATATAGGTTATTGAAAAGGTCCATCAAGTGGGAGAAAGGTCTAAATTGATGAAAAATTGTAGTTTATGGACGACCCTAAAAATTGTGAGATGGGATTACTGTTATTACTGAGTGACTTTTCAAAAATTCAAATTTTAAAAATATTTTTGAATTTTTGTAATAATATGGAGAAGACGAAGAACAGTTTTTTTTTGAAAACCTCAAAAGACAATTTTTATTTATATTTCCTATGGTAAGAATTTGCATGATCTGAAATGATGGTAGTAACAATTCTATAGACAATTTTTTTTAATTATACTTTATTTAACATCCTTAACCCTCCGAGCCCGGACCTGGGTCATTTTGGACCCAGGCGAAATTTTAAATTGCTGTAATTCCTAAAAACGGACTCTACTTTTTAATGATAAAAAATTTTTTTTAAAAAAAACAAAATTTTTACTTCAAGTAGAAGGATTAATGAAGATGTATGAATTTTTTCAATTTTTTTAAAGCATTTTTTCTACCTCTAAATACGACAGGAAGAAAGCGACCCAGGTCCGGGCTCCGAAGGTGCCGAAAAAACGTCCGGGCTCGGAGGGTAAATATTAATATCTATATAGGTGTCAATATTCTTTTTTTGAAGAATTTTTTTTTATTTATTTATTTTTTAAGGTTATGTGACTGTTAGGTCTGTAATATTAATTTATCCGTAACTTTTCCTGTAAAATACTGAATGGATTGAATTGAAATTTTATGGAGAAGTTCGAAATATGATAAGGAATTGTTGTCAAGTGCAAAAATGTTAATTTATTTATTTATAGTCCATACCTATCGGTTTTGGACGAACTTCCGATTTACATATTTTCGTATGCGAAAATGTTAATATATTACCTACTTGGAAAGATTCCCCGGAAAGTGCCCCCTGGAGGTTCTATCAGAATTCCGCCGGAACTCCGATGAAATTCCGACGAAATTAGGACTCTAAAATTTTGAAAAAAAATTAATCGGAATCCCATCGGAAATTCTTTGGAACTCCGTTGGAAGTTCCGGCGGAATTCTGATAGAACCTCCAGGGGTCACTTTCCGAGGAATCTTTCCAAGTGGGATTGTTAAATAATTATTATAAAACATTTAAAAATAGTTAGAAAATGTGGAGATTAGGAGTGTCGGATTTTCTAATAATTTTTATGTCTTTTATCAAATTTATTTAACAATATTTCAATATTTTCGCACTTCACAACCATTCTTTATCATATTTTAAATTCCTCTACAAAATTTCAGCTCAATCCATTCAGCATTTTACGAGAAAAGTTACGGGACAAATTAAGGTCATGTGACTGTTAGGTCTGTAATGTTAATTTGTCCCGTAAAATGCTAGATGGATTGAGCTGAAATTTTGTGGAGGAATTTAAAATATGATAAAGAATGGTAATTGTAATTCAATTATTTCAGTTTTTAGTAATATTAGATATTTTAATTAAAGAAAAAGTGAAATAATTTTTTTATTCAAAAATTCTATTAATCTAAATTAAAAACAAATTTCTTTTTATCAATTTACTTTTATTAAATTTTCATCAAGCTCTCCAAGTAAAATGCAAATTCTCAAAAACTTGTTGTAAAAAAAGTTGGTCCAAAGTAAAGATCATTGCTGTATTTAATTTACGTGATGTTTACAGATTGATTTAAAGTTAATGTCTTCTAATTTTGTTGTCAATGGGTTAATGTTGGTTTCGTTTTGGCAGCGAGTTCCATTTGTGCAGCAGCAACTGACTTCATACCTTCTTGAACTGAGGAGAGATTTGCCTTCCAAGCGACGAGTAAATCGCGAAGTTGTAACCATTGAGGTTTGCCAAAGGTCCTGTGCATTGTACTCGAGATAAGAACTTTACGTCCTCCTTGATCCATTCGAGCGCGTACAAGTTTTGTTTTCAAAACTGCAAAATTTTACACAATTTATTTTCATTATTATTTCAAACAATTTTAATCAAAAAAACCATTTAAATAAAATTAATTAAACTCACCGTCAATAATGAAACTCTCAACTTCTTCTTCACTGATCATCAACTCATTTTGTATTGTCTCGAAGGTCATTTCGGGATTCGTTTCTGCGAGTTGCATGAATGTCAATAGTCTCATTTTTTTCATGTTCTGTTCATGATTAAGACCTAAAAAAAACGGGTAACAGTTTTTTGAAAATTAACGCTTTTTATTTTTAGACCAAAATGTCTATTGTTTTTTCTTTTGCAAAAAAAAAAAAAATGTATTTCATTTATCTCAGAATTAAAAAAAAAAATTCTTCTGATTACCAAGTGTGTGTTCAACAAATTCTTTATGATCCTTGTAGAATTTAAGATAAGCTTGCAATTTCTCTTGAACGAAAATAAGAAGAAGATCGTGAATAAGTTCGCCTTCAAGAAAACGAACGGGTTTTAAAGCAAGAAGTGGATCTAAAAGAAATGTATTTGGATCAGCGAGAGCTGCCAAAATGCAACGTTGAGCATCTTCTCTTGCGGCTGATGCATTTTCCGATGTATAAGTTCCTAATAATTCAACCATCACTGCAGCCGCCTGCTCTCTATAGTAATATAAATTTAAAATTTAATTTATAAATACAAAAACTATGATGAAATTTACTATAATCAACGAATTTTGAAGAAATATTTTTTTAAATGAAAAATTCCATGAATTCTCAATATTTCTTACAATCTTTATTGTTCAGCAAATATTTTTTAAATTAAATAATTGTACTTTACAAAAAAAAAATAATGTTCTTTTTCTAAACGTTGATCATAAACGTTGTGGACTTAAGCATTGATTGACTTTAAGGCACAAAAAAAGTCGCTTTAGTCGATTTATATTCCAAAAAAAGTCGATTTTTTTATTTTAACAAAATTTAATTAATAAATATTTTAATTTAAATAACTAATGTTATTAGATATTAAATTCATTTTATTAATTCTGTAATAAGAATGATTCTATAAAAATATATATATATATATATAAAAAATTCTTAAAGTTCGATTTTTATAATTTTTTCAAGTCTGATTTAAGCAATTTATTCGAATTTAAAATTTTGTCATAGTTTTATATCAAATAATTTTAGATAAGATTTTTTAAAAATAATTGAATTTTTAAAGATTTACAATTTAGAGTTTTCAAATTAATTGAACTTCGAGTGATTTTTAATTTAAAATTTTTCATGATTATCTAAAAAATTTATTAGAAATTGCAGAAAAAAATACAAAATTTTTGATAGTAATTGAATTATAATTGATTTGAATTGAAATTTTAGAAAACAATTGAATTTTAGTAGATTTTTAAAGGAAATTTTTGAAAATAATTGAATTCCAGTTGATTTTGAATTGAAATTTTTGGTAGTAATTGAATTTTAATTGATTTTGAATTGAAATTTTAGAAAATAATTGAATTATAGTAGATTTTAAATAGAATATTTTGAAAATAATTGAAATTCAATTGATTTTGAATTTAATTTTTTGAAAATAATTGACTTTATTAGAAATTACAGACAAAAATTGAAATTAAAAATTTTTTTTATTGCAAAATGCTTTTAAATAATTGAATTTTTGTAGAATATCATAAAAATCATTAAAAATAATTGAATTTCGGGAGAGTTATAATTTAAGTCATTACATTTCAAAAAATTTTAGAAGCTTTTAAATTAAAAATCTATTATTTAATAATTAGTTTCTTTTTTTCTAAATAGCAGCGTTATACATATATATTATACAATTTGTGTTTATAGGGTACTTTATTTTAAAGTCCCGTATATAATTAAATAAATAAAATTTTTTTTAAAATAATTGAATTTTAGTTGATTTTGAATTAAAATTTTTTGAAAAGAATTGAATTTTAATTGGTCTCGAATTAAAATTTTAGAAAATAATTGATTTTAATTGGTTTTAAATTAAATTTTTAGAAAATATTTGAATTTTTGTTGATTTTGAATATAAAATTTTGAAAACAATTGAATTTCAATTGAAATTTTGGAAAATTGAATTTTAGTTAATTTTAAATTGAAATTTTATAAAATAATTGAAATAATTAATTAAAAAATTTTAATAAATTTTAATTTAAAAAATATTTGCTGAACAATAAAGATTGTAAGAAATATTGAGAATTCATGGAATTTTTCATTTAAAAAAATATTTCTTCAAAATTCGTTGATTATAGTATTTAATTCTATTTTGAATAGAAAATTTTAAAAATAATTAAATTTCAATTGATTTTGAATTGAATTTTTTGAAAATGATTGAATTTATTAGAAATTACAGACAAAAATTGAAATTAAAAATTTTTCTAATTGCAAAATATTTTCAAATAATTGAATTTTCGTAGAATATTATAAAAATCATTAAAAATAATTAATTGAATTTCATGAGAGTTATAATTGAAATTATTAAATTTCAAAAAATTTTAGATGGAAAATTTTTAGAAATAATTAAATTTTAAATGCTTTTAAATTGAAATTTTTGAAAATAATTTAATTTCAAAAGATTGTGTTAAATTTCAGACAATAATTATAATAAAAGAATTTTAATTCATTTCTATTGATTAATTTATTAAAAATTACATTAAAAAATTGAATTCCAAAAGTTTTTAATTGAAAAATGCTTTCAGATAATTAAATTTTCGAAGAATATTATCAAAATAATAGATAGATTTTAGTTAGATTTTAGTTTACCTAATAATATATTTTCCTTTTTATAATATATTAGTATAATGCTGTTATTAAGATCTAATGTTTTACAATATATTCTTTTTGTTCTTATGATTAATGCAATTTTTATTTTTGTTATTATGTAGATCTTATATTCTTTAATTATTTCTGTTATTTTCGTTTCACAGAAATGTATTGCCCTTCAATGGTCTTTGGACTGTGGGCTCGATATTTTGATTCAAATAAAAAAAAAAAAAAAAAAAAAATCATTAAAAATAATGAAATATTTGCAAATAATTAAATTTCAAGTTATTTTGAATTAAAATTTTTTAATAATTTTATTTGCTAATTTTTTTTAAATTATAAACAATTATTAAATTTCATAAAAATTTGAATTGAATAATATTTTAAGATAATTGAATTCGTGAAGAATTTCATTAAAATTATTAAAAATAAAATTAATTTAGTGAATTTTAGTTAAAAATTTGTTAAATAATTGAAATAAAGAAGATCTGAAGAAGATCTGCGTTGTTTACTTTAAAAAAAACGTATTTTGTTTAAAATTTTGTTCAAAAAAATGTAAAAAAAAAAGAGTCGAAAAAGTCGAATTTTTTAAAAATAAGTCGAAAATGTCGTATTTTTGAAAAAAAAGTCGTAAGAAGTTGAATAATTTTATGTAAATTATTATTTTCTTTTTTTACCCTTGTTTGCAAGTAAGAAGAACTTCATGTAAAAGACGAAGGAGTTTTTGCATTTGTTCATTTGATGGTGGACAAGGAGCAAATTGTTGTTTAAGTTGATCAATTCCGCCATAAACGGCTTTCACTTGATCAACATTGCGTGCTATTTGCACCAAATGATAATAAACATGATATCTCATTGGCGAATCCTCTGGTAACGATTGGAATAATAACCACAATCTATATAGGAAAATTTACAAATAAAAGCAAATTTTATATTTTCCAAAAAATTATAACTATAGAGAAAATTATGAAAAATTTAAGGCAGATTTAAAAAAAAAAAAACTTACGCTTTAAGACAAACGAGTCCCAATTTGAAACCTGGGGCTTTTGTTAATTTCTCACAAAAGGCAAGAATTAAATTCTCTGCGCGATCTGTGGGGGAAACCTAAAATTTTTTTTTCCACAAATTATTAACTTAAATTATTACAAAATATATGTAATATAAAAAATGTGTAAAAATAATAGAAAATTTGTTATTTAAAGAAAAAAATACCAATTTTTTACTTTAATTAAACAAAAGTGAATGTAAAGTAAAAAAAATTATATATTTAAAAAATAAATTAGAAAAATTAAGTTAAAAAAGTAGGAAAAAAAGGAAAGTATAATTATTTTCTATTTCAAAAAAAAAAAAAATCAATTTTATAATTTTAAAGTACAAAATTTTAAATATTTAAAAAAATCAATTTTAAAAAGTAGAAAAATAAAGTGAAAAAATATTTATAAAACAAAAGAAAGATATAATTATTTCTTATCAAAAAAATAAAGTAAATTTCTTTAATTTAAAATACAAAAACTTAGAAAATATAAATAAAATAAATATCAAAAAGTAGAAAAATGTGGAAAAGAATTTAATATAGAAAAAAAAGGAAAATAGAAATATAATTGATAACTTGTTACAAATAAAAAAAAATATAAAAATAATTGCATCTAAAAATAAATATAAATTAATAAAATTCGATAATTTAAATTTTTCTATTATATTATATTATTTATATTTTATTTGCATGTAAACTGAATTTTTTTTTTTTAATTCATTCAACTTACGAGAATCATGATGGAAACAATATCATTGAGAATTGTTTCAATTTCACTCTCGTTTCCTTCTTTGAAACACGCATCGCAAACACCAATTATTTTATGAAGATCGTCTTCAATACCTTTTTGTGATTTTTCTTCACTAATTTCAGCGCCGAGACTTTTAAAATAAATTCTCAATTCTTGGGCCTGAAAATAATAGATAATTTTTTTTTTTGCGTTTCTTAAATTTCAATTATTTCTCTCCTTCAAAATTCATCAGTCAAAAAATATATATATTAATTTTTTTTTTTTTTTATAAAACTATATTAAAAACAAAAAAATAATTTTTTTGATAAAAAAAAAATGATAGCTTTTGTTCTTTTTTTTAATTAAGAAATTTCTAATATTTAGTAAAATAAAAATTGTGTTTTTTTTTTTACATAAAAAATTTGTATCTCAAAATATTAATTTTATTTTATTATAAAATAAAATTAAATAAATTTATTTAAAAATTTAACGATAATTATTATTTTTTTAAAATTAAAAGTAAAACCAAAACTAAAAATATAGCAAAAAGTATCAAAAATTATAATAACAATAATAATTATTTCCTAAAAAAATACTTTTTTTGTTTATTAATTAAGAAATTCTTTAATTAATTTTATTAATTAATCAATAATTATTAAAAAAAAAAATTTTAATAAAAATAATAATAAAGCAATAAAAAAATAATATTTGTAAAAAAAAAGTGAAATTAAAAATAATTGTAAAATTTTATTACAGTAAAGTAAAAGATAAATAAATTATAAACATTTTTCTTTTCAATATTTTTAATAAAAAAAAAAATTATTTTTAAAATATAAATTATTAATTACAGATATTATTATTATAAAAATATTCCGAAACAAATAATTTTTCTCAAAAATTAATTAGTATTTTTGTAATTTATTTCATTTTGAATGAACAAAATTAAAAATTCCACGAAGTATTAAAAAAAAAATTATTATATTTATTTTAAATACTAAATAATTAGCTTATTTAAAATAAAAATGCAAAATACAATAAACAAAATTTTCATTTATTTATAATTTTTAGAAAACAATTAAATGTTTAATTTAAAAGATTCCAAAATCTAACCTCACTTTTTGACAATGAATTCCGTGAATTAAAATAAAATTCACTAATAGAGAGAAAAAAATATATTTTACAAATAATTTAAATATATTTTTTTATTAATAAAACTTACTTGATCCTCAGTGGATCCATCCATAAAAACTGCCGGGCCCAACATCTTGAAATTAATTTTCACGTTTATTCACGATATTTTTACACGAGAAAAATACAATGTGTTTCTAGTTGATGAACAGGGATGGGAAAGGCGATTTTAAATTCTTAAGCATTAATTACGAAAAATTCCCTAGGGAGTTTACTAGTTTTTAAAATCGAATGATATTTTCAATTTTCTTAATTAAAAATGCAGAAATTTGATTAGCTTTTTTTCACAATTAAATATATTTTCTCCATGAATAATAATTTATTATCGAATAACAATTAATTGAAAAAAAGAAAAACATTTTCACCAATCTGTGAATGCACCTTTACTTTTTGACACATATAAGTACACATAGAGTTGCCGTTCTACATATTTTTTTTCTGTTCTATGGTAAATTCAAGTGTCAGCTGTTTTGATTGCTTCGTTGTCAAAAAAAAAAAAAAAAAAAAAAAATTATTATGAGATGAAAAGTTCTTTACATAAATTTTAAATTAGAAAATTTTTAACAATGGCTGAACTTTTATTGGATCCAAATATTCGAGGTTGGGTATTTTTGCCCATTGTCGTTATCACATTCCTCGTTGGAATTGTAAGACATTATGTTTCCATGTTATTAGCCTCACAGAAAAAAATCGAAGTCCAGCAAGTACAAGACAGGTGATATTAAAATATTGTTTTTTGTATATTTATATTTACTATGCATGAAAAAACTTTTAATTTTCAAAATTTATTTAAAATTTAATTTTTTTGTATCAATTTTTTTTGTTATTGAAATATTTATTTTTATTCAGCGGAAATTTTTTTTTTTTTTAATGAAATACGTTCGATACTTTATTTTTGTGATGAGTCAGTTTTTGGAGTTATTCGAAAATTTTAAGATAATATGAAGTTTAACAGTATATTATTTTTGTATAGAAGAGAATAATAATAACAGGCCTCGATTTATACGACTTTTTACGATTTTTTTTTCAAAAATACGACTTTTATTCGACTTATTTTAAAAAAAATGCGACTTTTTCGACTTTTTTTTTTACAAAATTTTTAAACAAACTACATTTTTTTTAGTATACAATGCAGATCTTTTTTATTTAAATTATTTAACAAATTTTTAACTAAACTTTACTAAATTAATTATTTTTAATAATTTTAATGAAACTCTTTATAAATTCAATTATTTTAAACTATTTTTCAATTTAAATTTTTATTTAAATTTAATAATTGTTTATAATTTTCAAAAAAATTAACAAATAATTATCAAAAAATTTTAATTCAAAATCCAATTGAAATTTAATTATTTTGCAAAATTATTTAAATTATTTTTAATGATTTTTATAATATTCTTCGAAAATTTAATTATCTGAAAGCATTTTTCAATTAAAAACTTTTAAAATTCAATTTTTTAAATGTAATTTTTAATAAATTCTTCATCAATAGAAGTGAATTAAAATTTCTTTTATTATAATTATTGTCTGAAATTTAACAAAATCTTTTGAAATTCAATTATTTTCAAAAATTTCAATTAAAAAGCTTTTAAAATTTAATTATTTCTAAAAATTTTCCATCTAAAATTTCTTGAAATTTAATCATTTCAATTATAACTCTCCTGAAATTCAATTAATTATTTTTAATGATTTTTATTATATTCTACGAAAATTCAATTATTTGAAAATATTTTGCAATTAGAAAAATTTTTAATTTCAATTTTTGTCTGTAATTTCTAATAAATTCAATCATTTTCAAAAAACTCAATTCAAAATCAATTCAAATTCAATTATTTTCAAAATTTTCTATTCAAAATCAATTATAATTCAATTACTACCAAAAATTTCAATTGAAATTCAATTATTTTCAAAATTTTCTATTCAAAATCTACTAAAATTCAAATATTTTCTAAAAATTCAATTTAAAACCAATTAAAATTAATTGTTTTCCAAAATTTCAATTAAAAATCAACTAAAATTAAATTATTTTTCAATAATTCAATTCAAAATCAATTGGAATTCAATTATTTTCAAAATTCTCTTCTAAAAATCTACTAAAATTCAAATATTTTCTAAAAATTGAATTCAAAACTAATTAAATTTCAATTATTTTCAAAAATATCAATTCAAAATCATCTAAAATTTCAATTATTTTCAAAAATTAAAATTTTAAGGCTTCTAAAATTTTTTGAATAATTTTAATTATAACTCTCCTAAAATTCAATTATTTTGAATGATTTTTATAATTTTAATGGTTTTTATAATATTCTACGAAAATTTAATTATTTTTCGAAATTACAATTCAAAATCAATTATTTTCCAAAATTTCAATTCAAAATCAACTAAAATTCAATTATTTTCAAAATTTTCAATTCAAAATCTACTAAAATTCAATTAATTTTTTAAAATTTCAATTCAAAATCAATTATAATTAAATTACTAGCAAAATTTTCAATTCAAAATCAACTAAAATTCAATTATTGTCCAAAATTTAAATTTAAAAGCTTCTAAATTTTTTGAAATTTAATAATTTTAATTATAATTCTCTTAAAATTCAATTATTTTCAATTTCGAAAATTCAACTATCTGAAATCATTTTTTACTTAAAAAGTTTTCAAATATTGTATTTTTGTTTTTGTCACTTGAAGTTCAATTAATTTCAAAACTCTAAATTGTAAATCTTTAAAAATTCAATTACTTTTAAAAAATATTATCTAAAATTATTTGATAAATTATTTTTATTTCTGTAAAATATAATTATTGTCTGAAAATTTTACAAAATCTTTTGAAATTCAATTATTTCTAAAAATTTTAACTTTAATTCTTCCAAAATTATTATTTAAAAAAAAAATTTTATTCAAAAATCTGAAAAACTTGATTAATTTATTGCCTGAAATTTTGTTGACCATCAAAACGAAAAACTATGAAAAAATTTTTAATTCGAATAAATTGCTTAAATCAGACTTGAAAAAATTATAAAAATGGAACTTTAAGAATTTTTTTTTTAAATTTATCCTACTTAAATAAAATTTTGAAAATTTGTCTTACAATTAGTTCGATTCTAAAATATTCGAAATAAATTTTCTTGATAATATTTTGATACAATTATTCTCAATACAGAATTAATAAAATGAATTTAATATCTAATGACATTAGTTATTTAAAGTAAAATATTTATTAATCAAATAAATTTTGTTAAAATATAAAAAATCGATTTTTTCGACTTTTTTTTGAAATACAAATCGATTAAAACGATTTTTTTTGTGTCTTAAAGTCGATCCGAGGCTTGAAATAATAATAATAATAATTTTTAACTATTGAAATTAAAAAAAAAATAATGGTACCACCTTTATTTTGATCATTTTAGAATTTGTAATTTTAAACAAAAAAAATTTATGTAAATCCATACGAGAGGTTCTAAAAAATTGTTTAAAGTAAAGCGTGTAATAAATTGTCGATGAAAAATAGTAAAAAATTGTAAAAGTAGTTTAATTTAGAAAAATCTTAATTTTTTCAAAACTGTAGAGCGTTCCATAAGAGATTTTCATTCAAAAAAATTTTTTTTTTTACTGGAAAATTTGTTTTTTGAATTTTTTAGAAATACTAAAAAAATGCGTACTTTTTTTATTTTACTTTTCTATACGAAGCTGAAGTACGCAACGTTTATGATAAACGATTTTTAAAGACATAATTTTTAAAAATGAAAAATTCTTTAATTTTTCGTCTAAAAAATATTTCTTACAGTTTTCATTAATCAAAAAATTATAAAAGAAAAAAAAAATTTTTAGGCAAAAAATTATACAATTTTTCATTTAAAAAAATTATTTCCTTAAAAATCGTTTATTATAAACATTGCGTATTTTAGCTTTATCTTTTCTATTTGTTAAAAAATTATAAAAGTTATGATTTTTTTTTTTTTTTTTAATTTAACGTCTTCAGAAGCCGAGTACTTTTTGAAATCTGTTTTGCTAAATGGAAAATTAGATTGAAAAGTAATTATGTTAAATTAAAAGTTTGCAAATTAAAAAAGGTTTTTCAAAATCAAAAATTCCATTAAATATGAATTTAGTTAAATAAAAGGGAAGAAAAATTTAATTCAATATAATTATTCTACTTTGAAAATTTCGATAATATAGAAATTCGAGTTTATTAATTTTGAATAAAAAAAAAAAAATTCCCTTTTCTCCTGAGTTAAAAAAAATTTTCTAATTTTGAAAAATTAGTTATTGTTAAATAATAATTACAGTCAAGTAATGATGCGATCGAGATTATTGAGAGAAAATGGACATTATATTTCAAAATATGGTTTCAAAACGAGAAAACAATTTTTCAATAATGAAGAGACTGGCTATTTTAAAACTCAAAAACGAGCACCAGTTTCACAAAATCCAATGACCGATCCAAGTATGATGACTGATATGTTAAAAGGAAATGTCACTAATGTTCTGCCAATGGTTCTCATTGGAGGATGGATAAATTGGATGTTTTCCGGTTTTGTTACAAGTAAGAATTTTCAATTTTTTCAAATAATTAAATTAAATATTGATAATTTATTATTTAATTTTAAAAAAAAAGTGAAAAGAAGGAACAAGTGGGAAAATTTTTGAATAATTGTCCTTTCTTTTTTTTTTTTAGCAAAAGTTCCATTTCCTTTGACGTTGCGTTTTAAACCAATGTTACAACGTGGAATAGAATTAACGACTTTGGATGCTGCTTGGGTTTCCTCAGCATCCTGGTATTTTCTCAATGTTTTTGGCTTGAGATCAATTTATACTTTAGTTCTTGGTGAAAATAATGCTGCCGATACATCGCGACTTTTACAAGATCAAGTGTCAGGCGCCGCAATGTCAATGCCACCTGATCCAAAAGCCGCATTTAAAGCCGAATGGGAGGCACTTGAAATTTGTGATCACAATTGGGCACTCAATGGAATTGATACAACTCTCATTGGTCTAAAAAGTATTTCCGATGATAATTCATATTATCAAAGTAAAAATACATGAAAATTACAGTTTCTTTTTAAGAAAAAAAAAAATAAATCACAATAAAATTTGAAAACGGGCACAAGTGTCAAAAGACAGAACTTTAAAAAGAAAAAAAAAATTCTCTTCTATCGGGAGAATTTTTTTCTTTTATCAATTTTTTTTTTTTTCATCACTAGTCCACAAGAAAAATATTAATTTTTTAATTAATTTAAATAAGTTAGATAAAATGATTTTGATGTTGTATTTGTTGTGAATGTAGAATTTTGTAAGTCTATTTAAAAACAAAATATACACGAGACTGTTATAAAGAATGTTTAAAAAAATTTTCACATTGAAATATTTTACAGTGAATTTTCTCTAAGAATATTTTAGAAATTTCTCTATTTTTTTCTATGTATTCAACAATAAGATTCCATTTTTGGATAGATATCAGTGCGACGATGATCCTCAAGTGGCATATCCGCACGAACACGATTGATAAAATCGAAATCAATTGACGCAATTTGCAAACCAATTCCTTGTGAGCATTGCGCTATAACCGTTCCCCATGGATCTACAATCTGTAAAAAGATAAAATTAAAAAAAAAAAAACCTACAAGTTTAATAATTATTTTTTGCATTTTTATTACAGGTATCTGATCAAATTATAAATTAATAAAAATATTGAAAATAAAATAATATTAAGAAATGAATTTAAATTTAGAGAAATATATATATATTTTTTTTTTTTGAAATAATAGAAAAAGAGAGAGAGAGAAGATATTCATAGGTAACACAATGAAAATGTAAACAGAAAAAATAATATAGAAAGAAAAGGAAGATCTAAATTCAAATAAAAAGAATTATTAATTAAATTTAAAGATTTTATAATAGAATAAATAATAATAAATTATTATTAAATTAAAATTTACCTTAAGGTAAAAATTGTTTAGCTTCTTTATAAATCGCGTCTAAAAATTAAATAATTTTAAAAAATTAAATTTTCCTACCATGGAATGACCCCAGCTGACTCTTTTTTTATTATGTCGGCCAGTTTGAGCAGCTGCAATAACGTAACATTGAGTTTCAATTGCTCTGGCACGTAGCATTACTTCCCAATGATTTGCCCCTGTTTCAAAAGTGAATGCCGATGGATAAGTTAAAATTTTCGCACCCATTTTTCGTAGACACAAAGCCAATTCTGGAAATCTCATATCGTAACACTTATGTAAATTGTTAAGAATAAATTATTTAAAAAAAAAATTTAATTTAAAACTTATAGTAATTTATATATTTTTAATATTAATTCAATTAATTTTTTTCTAATAATTTCATCGGTTTCTCTAGACCAAATTTCGTAAAGATTTAAGATAAAAAAAATTTTTTATTAAAAAAGGATACAATGCCTAGTCCAATTTCTCCTACTGGACTTAAAGTTGGACGTTCAATATTACTACCCTTCATTGCATAATCAGATTCCATTAATCGTACACCAGTTTGTTTATTGTCCATATCAAACAAATGTATTTTTCGATAAACAGAAACAATTTCGCCTTTATCGTTTATTAAAACGTGAGCATTGTACACTTTATCGGGATATTTATCTATCTATAAAAAAAAAATGAAAAAGAATTTTTTTCTTAGAACGTGATTATTAGACAAATATAATAAAAAATTACGGTTAATTAAAATTTATAATTTTGACAATTAGTTTACACGATAAATAAATGAAACCAGACTAATATTTTTACATATAGTAAAATTAATTTTTAATGATAATAAATTAAAATATATTAATTAATATATTTTTAATATATATATATTTAGTCAATTAAATATCAAGTATTAATATTCATAAACAATTAAATTTATTACACTACAAATTATATATTGAAATGACACATTTTTTTTTTATTTTTTAAGTTAGAGATTAGAGAGATTGTTCAAGAATCAGTAAAAAAAAAAAATATTTTCTACCCAAATTTATATTTTTTTAACGAATTTCTATATAATTCATATAAATTTACTTTCTATGAATTAAAATTGTTTATGAAATAAGAAAAAAAAATTTTTTTAACTTTCTAATTGTTTTAAACAAATTATTACAGTTAAATTTTCTACTAATTTACTTACTGAAATAAAAAAATAAGCAAAAATATATTTTAAAAAAAAAGTTTACTTTCATTTTAAAAAATATTTCATTTCATTATTAAAAAGTAATAATAAAAATATTTTTTCTCAATTTTAATCGCAGTGAATATATTATAAAAAAAATTTTTACTGTAATAATTTGTTTACAACAAATGTATAGAGCGGGCTAAAGAATTTTTTTTATATATATATTTTTTTTTTTTGGATTGAATTAATTAAATATTTATTTCTGAAGGATAAAAACGATTTATTTATAAAAAAAATAATTGTTATAAACAATTTACATTAACAATTAGTGAATTATATTAACAGTATATATATTTTTGCATTATAAATCTATAAATTTATAATTACAAATAATAATTATATATAAATTAGAAAAATATATAAATAACAATTTTATAATAGTAAAATAATTATTATAAATTATTATTAATTATATATATATATATATATATATTAAATTTTATAATTTATATGTTTTTTTGTTTGTGGAGATAAAATCATCGCTACAAGGCACTATGAGAGTTAATCTTAGAAGTTGTTTAACAATTTCTTCGATAATTTCATCAGGATTTAATTCTGCACTAACTTCAATTACTCGGCTAGATTTTTTTTCATTTGTCACTTCATTATCACGTGGCTCTTCCAATGTGTCAAATTGACTTTGAAGTAGAGAAACTGGCATAAAATGTCCTTCACGATGTTCAATTCGTTTTTTAAATAATTCCATTGTACCCTTTATGTAGACAAAAATAATCTCCTTATCATCATCAATATAATTTGAACTTCTTATTATATTTCTGTAGCTTAATTTTAATGCTGAACAAGCAATAACTAAACCTTTATTTTCTCTTGATTTATTCGATATTTTCATGCTAATTTCTTCAAGCCATTGTTGTCTATCATCGTCGTTCAAAGGAATTCCTTTAAATAAAATATAAAAATTTCTTCTAAAATATAGAGGCGAGAATAAAAACCGCTCCCAAAATATATAAAGAAAATTGAAATTCAAAATTTTTGAAAAATAATTAATTACATGTATTTTAAAAATACTTTGCTCACTGTAATTGAAGCCAATGGAAATTATAAAAATGTTTCAATTACGTCGAGGGAAAACATTTGATCTCAAATAATTAAATTAATAATTGTTTAAATGTGTATCTTTATTAGTAATTGTATAAAAAAAAAATTAAAATAATTTTTTTTAATCATTTTGCAGCAATGATATTAAATATAATAGTAATATTAATTATTTTTTTATGAATGCGCCATAATTGATGCACTTCCACTATTTTTTAAATCAAAATTTTGAGTTTTAATTTTCTTTACTTTTTTTCGACCTAAGAGCATTCTATATAGTTCTTCGAAGTATATAATTATATATATGATGTATTCCACGCCAAAGTGTAAGTCCATCTGCAATTGCATCTCCGATTTTTTTTTCTTTTAGTACTAATTGAAACTAGTTTCCATGAATTTTTTCAAATTTTTTTAGCAAAGCCATTTTCGAGTTATGAAATTTTGAAAATTGGAGAATTTTTATGACTTTTAATTTTTGAATGCTTATAACCTCCTTAAAAATGCATCAATTTTAAAAGTCTTTTTTTTCCAAAATGTGTGTTTTTAAACGTACTTTTTAACCAAAAAAATCGAAATTTTTTTTTAAAACGAATATTACTATCAAATTTTTGAGTTTTAATGATAAAAAGTCATTTTTCTCATTTGACGTATTGATCGATTTTTTTCTAAATTTTTTTTAAAAATACGAAACTTTTAAGCCTAGCCCGATAATGGGCAAACAATTTTTACAATATTTTCGGAATTTTTCAAAAATGTTTAAATTTTGAAATTTTTAAAAATATTTTTGGTTTTTTTTATACTACGTACTTTTATGTATTTTAATGCGCTGATTACGAAAATGATAGTGTCAAAACATAAAAATTTAATTTTTACTGTGAAAACCATAAAAAAGTCCAAAAATTTATGGTTTTTTTTTCGTTTATTGGGTAAAATATACAAAACTAAAAAAAGTGCATAAGATAAAAAAAATGTATTTCAATAACATCTATAACTTTTGTTTGAAAGTTTTTTTTTTTTTAATTTTGTACTTATATTTTACCCAATAAACGAAAAAAACCATAAATTTTTGAGACTTTTTTTTATGGTTTTTGCCATAAAAATCAAATTTTTAGGTTTTGTCACTATAATTTTCGTAATCAGCGCATTAAAATATACATAAAAGTATGTAGTATTAAAAAAAAACGAAAAATATTTTTAAAAAATTCAAAAATTTTTGAAAAATTCCGAAAATATAGTAAATATCGTTTGCCTATTATCGGGCTAGGCTTAAAAGTTTCGTAAAAAGAAGTAGTTTTTTTGAAAAATTTTTGAAAAAAATCGATCAGTACGTGAATTGAGAAAAATAACTTTTTATCATTAAAACTCAAAAATTTGATAGTAATATTGTTTAAAAAAAAATTTCGATTTTTTTGGTGGAAAAGTACGTTTAAAAACACACATTTTGGAAAAAAAACACTTTTAAAATTGATGCATTTTTAAGGAAGTTATGAGCATTCAAAAATTAAAAGTCATGATTAATTCTCCAATTTTCAAAATTCCATAATTCGAAAACGGCTTGCTAAAAAAATTTGAAAAAATTCATGGAAGCTAATCTCAATTACAGGCCTCTGATCGACTTACAGGCACAAAAAAAGTCGTTTTAGTCAATTTATGTTCTAAAAAAAAGTCGAAAAAGTCGATTTTTTTTATTGTAACAAAAAAAATTTTTACAGATTTTCAAATAAAATTTTTTTTTTTTAAATAATAATTTTAGAAGAGTTATAAAGTTGAAATTTTTAGAAATAATTGAATTTCAAAAGATTTTGTTAATTTTCAGACAATAATTAAATTTTACAGAATTAAAAATAATTTATTAAATAATTTTAGATAACATTTTTTAAATGTAATTGAATTTTCAATGATTTATAATTGAGATTTTTGAAATTAATTGAACTTCAAGTGATTTTTAATTAAAAAATGGTTTCAGATAATTGAATTTTCGAATAATTTTATGAAAATAGTTAAAGATAATTGAATTTCATGAGAGAGTTTTAATTGAAATTTTAGATAATAATTCAATTTTAGTTGATTTTAGATTGAAAATATTGATATAAGTCATTTTGAATTAAAAATTTTGAGAATAATTGAATTTTAGTTGATTTTGAATTGAAAATTTTGAAAATAATTGAATTTTAGTTGATTTTTTATTGAATTTTTTGAAAATAATTGAATTTTATTTGATTTTGAATGGAAATTTTGTAAAATTTTTTGAATTTTAAAAGATTTTGAATTAAAAATTTCGTAAATAATTGATTTTGAATTGAAATTTTGGAAAATAATTGAATTTTAAAAGATTTTGAATTAAAAATTTTGTAAATAATTGAATTTTAAATGAAATTTTGGAAAATAATTTAATTTCAAAAGATTGTGTTAACTTTCAGACAATTATTATTATAATAAGAGAAATTTCTAATAATTTCTGTTGATGAAGAATTTATTAGAATTTTTTTTTAATTTTTTTAAATTATATACAATGATTAAATTTCATAAAAATTTGTTAAATAATTGAAATAAAGAAGATCTGAAGAAGATCTGCATTTTATACTAAAAAAATCGTAATTTATTCAAAAAAAAATTTTTTAAATAGTCGAAAAAGTCGTATAATCCGAGGCCTGCAATTAAAACTAAAAGAAAAAAAAATCGGAGATGCAATTGCAGATGGACTTACACTTTGGCGTGGAATACATCATATACATATAGTTGAAAATAGAAGATAAAAATGTACCTTTCGCCATTTTTTCAACACTTTTTGCACTATGAAAATTATCACCATCCAAAAATTCAACATTAAGTTTCTTAGCCAAAAGTCCTCCAATGGTGGTTTTACCACTGGCAGAAACGCCCATGACAATAATAAGTGGTGGTTTTAACGTCGTCATAATCACACAATTAGAACTCTTCTATCTTCTATATCTGTTTCTCTTCACTTCCCTATCTTTTTATCGTCATCGTAAAATTTTTATACACGCGTATATTTTCATTAGGGGGTTTTTTTTCTAAGGAACATATATAATATCTATTTTAGCTTCTCATCACGTTACCGTAGATTTCTGTAAATAATAATTTTTTTTTCTTAATTTTAAAATTCGTAATAGAACTTTTTGTAAGAATAGATTTACTATATTTTTTTCCTGTTATATATTTAGTTAAAGATAAAAAAGGCACTTTTGATTTTATTCGTTTCTATTATTATTATTATTATTATTACTGTTAATATATATAAATTGTTTTTAATTAAAAATATAAAAAGCACCACTAATTTTGTATGCAACTAATTCTGAGTTTTCTTTTTTTTTAAGTAGATTATTTAGAAAAAATAAATTTCACTTTTAATAAAGTTGTATATTCTAAACGAACTTTGGTCTCTATTGACTTGTTTGGCTAGAGGACTTTTCTAAGCACATATCACGTCATACGAATGATTAATCGCGCAGTTAATCAATATTTTATTTACATATATGCATTTTTATATATAATTTTGAGAAATAAATTTTTCGGATTCCACGTAAAACGATTGCGAACACATATTTTTGTATATTAAATTTTGTGCAATATTTATTATTTTATTGCGCAAAACTTACATATACATAAATATCTCTGTAATACGTCAATTACCACTTTACCTTGTAATCTGTGCGTATACTATATATATATATATATATGTTCAAATTATTATATATAGTCATCGTGATGATTGTAAAAATTACACCAAAGAAACTAAAATCGCGAAAAAATTATGTCTTATATTTTTAAACAAATAAAAATTTTTTTCTGTATTTTATTAGATGACAATTATTATAATTGTAATTTAAACATATATCACACATAGTTATTTATGTAAGTTTTGCAAAAAATAAATGAATGGGTCATTCTACACGAAACAGACCGCTTCGATCTTTTTTTTTTTTGATTGTTTTTAATAATAGTAATTTTTTCGATATTTATGGAATGATTTTTAAATGTTAATATTTGTTTAAAAGCTAATGATGTTGATAAAAAAAAAATTACAAAATCGAAGTGGTCCGCTTTATATGGATTGTCCCGCAAATATTACAGTTAATAATAAAATAATTACAAAATCAATGTGGTTCGCTTTATGTGGAATGCCCCGTAAATATTACAGTGATGAACTTGAGAAACGAGCGATAATACTTTGTTTTTATCAATTTCAGAAGTAAACTTACTATCAACTTGCTCTTTTATCTTTCAATTTTAAAACAGAACATTTCAATTTGTCATATGACGAATTATTTCAAATTGTTTTTTTTTTTTTTAAATTTTAATATAAAACTAATTAGAACTAATAAGAATAATATTTAAATTAATAAGAAAAAATTTTTTTCATTTAAAATATATTTGTAAAAATATTTTTATATTTCTAAAACAAAGAAAACGCGTTAATGCGATTCAACTACTTGACATAACCTCAAATTAAAAATTAATTACTATTATGTTTAGTAAAAATATTTAAATCAATTTAATTTTTCACTGATTCTTGAAAAATACATTTCCCTTTCTCTCTCACCCTTCATTGTTTGTCAAAAAAGATAATAAATATATATTTTTCAGTAATAAATTATAGTTGCCATTTTTATATTTTATTAAATATTGGGAATTTTTTTTTAAGAAATATACAAATAATTATTACAATATTTATTATTATTAATTAATTATTACTAATACATAAAGAAAAAAAAATTCTATACATGTACTATACTCACAATTTCTTCGAAGGTTTACTCGACATCACTTTATAATCGACGAAAGATTTTGTACATTTCTTTTTTTTTTTTATTAAAAAACTACTTACAGAGAGTCTAAGTCCGAAACAGATTTCAGAATTTATGGAACAAAGACTTATATCTGATGCCATAGATTTGAAAATTACTACAATTAATTGGCAAAAAATTACAAAAAAAAATTTTGATTCACAACAAAATATAATTCGTTGGAATTTATTGTCGCAGACGCAAAGTTCTCTTGACCAAAGTACCAAGCAGACGAATGTGCGCAAATAAACGAAATTTTTCGTCAATGCGCAGATAAACTGGCCATGCGTAGAAAAAATTAACCGCGCAATTTTAAAAAATAATCAAATAATGAAAATTATCACAAATATTTTTTTTTACAAATTTTTGTTAATTGAAAAATAATTTTTTATTTTTTAATATTTATTATTATTATTATTATATAATGAAATCTTAATTCTAACGGATTAAAATTTAATTTAATTCCTTAATTAATTATTAATTAATTTGCTAAAATTTTATAATATGACAATAATTGATTATAATTAATTCATTAATAGTAAAAAATAAAAAAAAAATAAAAAATTTAATAACAAAAAAACTTATATTTTCTTTACAATTTATATTTAATTCATTCTGGGTGATACATCAAATTTCTGAACCCAGCGTTTTAACGAGGCCAATCCAGGTAGTGATATTTTCAAAACATTCCTTAAATATTCATTATTACTCTTCGCAACATGAGTCTGAAGTGAAATTGTTCCAATAGCATCGTCAGAAATCCAATTTTTTATTTCTTCATCTAAATTAGGAAGTTTTTCAATCTCATCATCATCATCTTCTTTTTCTCTTTCAAGATTTTTTATTTTTTCTTCGGCTTTTAATAATTTTTCTTCAGCATTTTCCAATTTTTTTTCCGTTTTCATTAATTTATCTTCAACTTTTTCTAATTTTTCCTTCATCTTTTTTAATTGTCCTCTTGATTCCTCCAATTGTGAAAATAACATTTCACTGATTGTTAAATTATTTATTTCACTATTGTCAACATCATTCTGATCAAATTCTTTATTTAATAGATTTAATTTTTTTGAAATATTTTCACAATTCTCCGCATTACGAAATTCATGAACAACATCATTAACAGCCTTTTGAAATGAATCAAAAAAATCATTATTATCGAGTGGTAATGATTTATTGATTTTTGAATTTCTTGATAATTCAATTTCATTTTTTTGTGAAATATTTATTAAAAGATTTTCAGTTGGAATTGCATAATCAAAAAGTCTTCTTGTTTGCAATGATTTATCAGTAAATGATAATGGCTTGTAGAATTCGTCTCGAAAATGCGTGGAACATATTCTAGCTGAAAGGAAAATTAATTAATTAATAACAATAATAATTTATTATTATTACATTTTATATTATTATTTATGTAAGACAATTTAACATAATATTAAACTAAAATTTGTTTTTTTTCATCAAATAAAAACATAATTAAAATAATTTTACTAAATTTTACAAGATCCAGTTGTACAATTTTCAAAAAATATTATTTTGAGCCGAAGTTTTTTCTAAAATAATGTAAAATTATTTAATATTTTCTGTTTTCTGATTAAAGTTAAATTAATAATAATTTTTAATTTTTTGGACTATTTGCTAATTTTGCTCATTTAATAAATGATGTACAATTCTGTTTGTTAGTATTTGTTGAATAAAATTTAGTTTAAAAAATTTAAAAAAACAAAAATTTTATTTGTTCAAAAACATTTGAATGAAAATACCTATTTTTAACAAAGTTAATGATTATAAAAATTAGATGTAAATTATAATTATTTAGTAAATTTAAACAAAAAATGTTACATAATTATTATTTAACAACAAATTTTGTTTCAAAAAATATTTTTTTGTTGAAAATTGAACTGAATCTTTAAAAATTTGACAAAATCAATTTTAATTATTGTTTTATTTATTTATTTGTTATTAAAAACAAATTTTTATGTATCACGTTATTTCAAAAAATTCAACCTCTTTAAATATAAAATATTATCATAAGGATTTTGAAACAGTTTTGATAATATGACTATTAATTTTATATACAAAGTACAAAATCAAAATATTATTATATTGAAATATATTTGTTTAGTATCAAATAGTATAGTGTTTCATTGAATGAATATAAGCTTCAAAAATACATAACATTATATATGGGACATTCCACGGGAAATTTTCCTTTTCGTTTTGCCCGAAACATTTTTTTTCATAATCTTTATGAAAAATAAGAAACAATACTTATTTTTTTATTTGATAAAAATGAAGGAAGTTATGATAATAATAATAATAACTAATCTTATGATTAAAACTGTTTCTATCCTTTGATTTTTTTGAACTTTTCAAAAAAAAAAAATTAATTCCTTTTATAAAAATTTTCAACCTAAATTTTATCGTGGAGAAACAATTTTTTTAAATTTTCAAAATTACGAATTTTTTTATGCCTTCGATTTTTATGATACTAGGTATATTTATGTATTTTGATTTTTGTATAAGGTTTTTTTAATTTTTTTTCGGAAATATAGCGAAAATATCTACAAAAACTTTTTTGTCATGAAAGCCATGAAAAGAACCATAATTCATAATTTGTTTACGTTTTTTGTGTAAAATATAAAAAAAAAATATTTTGAACGAAGGTTATAGATATCATTAAAATATATTTTTATATACAATAACTAGCAAAATTAAACGCGCGCCAAATTGAGTATTTAATTGTTTGTTCTAAAGAAATTAAAGATTAATATTATCAATAATAATTTAATTGATTAGAATATTATTACATATTAAATGATAATAATGAAAATTATATGTTTACAGGCCTCGGATTATACGACTTTTTTCGACTTTTTTCAAAAATACAAGTTTTATCGACTTATTTTAATAAAATGCGACATTTTTTTTTTACATTTGAAAAAAATGTAAATAAAATACATTTTTCCAGTATAAAATGTAGATCTTCTTCAATTCAATTATTTAACAAATTTTGAACTAAAATGATTCTTCACTAAATTAATTATTTTTAATAATTTTAATGAAATACATCACAAATTCAATTCTATCAAAATTATTTTTCAATTAAAATTTTTATGAAATTTAACAATTATTTATAATTTTAAAAAAATATATCACAATAAAATTGCATTATTTTTTAAAAATTTCAATTCAAAATAAACTAAAATTCAATTATTAGCCGAAATTTTAATTCAAAATCAATTAAAAATCCAATAATTATCAAAAATTTTCAATTTAAAATTTAATTATTTACCAATAAGTTTTCAATTTAAAATGAAACAAAATTCAATTATTTTCTGAAATTTGAATTTAAAAGGATCTAAAATTTAATTATTTCTAAAATTTTCAATCGAAACATTTTTTTTTGAAATTTAATAATTTCAATTATAACTCTAAGGAAATTCAATTATTTTTAACTATTTTAATAATATTCTTTGAAAATTCAACTATCTGAAACCATTTTTTAATTAAAAATGATTTTCAAATTATTGTATTTTGTCCGAATTTTCTAATAAATTTTTAGTGAAATCATCTAAAATTTTAATTACAAAACAATTAAAATTTCAATTAATTTCAAAAATCTCAATTTTAAATCTTTGAAAATTCAATTATAATTTAAAAAATGTTTTCCAAAAATTGTTTGATAAATTATTTTTAGTTCTGTAAAATTTAATAATTGTTTGAAAATTAACAATATCTTTTGAAATTTAATTATTTCTAAAAATTTCAACTTTAACCCTTCGAAAAGGATTATTATTAAAAAAAAAATTTGTTATTTAAAAATCTGTAAAATATTTTTGTTATAATAAAAAACAAATCCACTTTTTTTTAATATAAATCGACTAAAACGACTTTTCGTGTCTTTAAGTTGATTCGAGGCCTGTGTTTTTATAATTAATATTTAATAGGTATTCGTTGGCCCCTTGTACCTTAAAAATTAATTTTTAAAAATTAATTTTTTTCAAATTACTATCTTTTACGAAATTTCCTTGCGCATCTTTTTTCTCATCATAAATTTTTTGTATTTCTATACAATTTTTGAATCAATATACAACTTTAAAAAAAATTTCGTTGGTAAACGTTGTGTACTTCAGCTTCGTGAATTGAATTTTCGAATTTGGAATTTTAAAGAAACTTATTCCGAAATTTGGAAACACAATTATACAACTTTAGCAAAAATGAGAAAAAGAATTGTCAAAATTTGACACGTCATAAGATTACTATTCAAAAAAACACGTGAAATCAGAAAAGGCCAACTTCAAGTTAGGACAGAAGGACAGACCAAGCATTTTATTATTATATATAATAATATTATTCAAAATGTTGCATATTTCTTTCCAAAAAACGCAAAATAAATTTTTTTTTTATTATTTTTACCAAGAAAATAAAATTTGCAAGTATTTTTACTATTATTTTTTTAATCAGTACAAGAAAATGCATAAAAAAATTGTACTTAGCATAAAAAAAAATCGAAAATATATAGAAGAAAATTATTTCCAAAAAATTCGTGCAACTCTATTTTATAGAATACGTAGAATAAAATAATAATGATAATAATAGTCAATAATAATATTAACCTACAAATATTTTAATAATAAAAAACTTTTATTATTATTATTATTATTATTAAATATGATAATTTTGAAATTAATTAATTTAACTACATTAGAAATTATTATACATAATTAAACGCAGATTTAAGAAATAAGCAAACAAAAATTATTTAAACAATAAGAGTAATCACAAATAGAGAAATATTAAATATTATTATTGGATATTATTTTGCAGCAAATTTTCGAAAAGTTAACTTAAAACACAGACAATTAAAAAAAAAATCCTTAAAAATCTTAAATTTTGAAAAATTTATATCTTCCAAACGGTTTAATAGAAAATTCAAAAACAAAAATCAATGAACTCGTTTTTTGAAACTTACCATTTTTTACATTGATGTTCTTCCGTTTGCAAACATTGAGCCATTGTTTACAATAAACTTCATTTCTTGGAAATCTAAATAAACTTAACTTTGGATTGGTTTTGTCAAATTTATTTTTACATCCAGCAACAGAACAAGTTAACGGCATTGTTATCTAGAAAATAATAAACATATATAATTAAATATTATATCATATAATTTTCTTTTAATTAAATTAATAAAAAAAAATTAATTAAATTACAGTTTAATATTAAAAATTATTCTTATTTTTATAACCACAAATCTTAATAATATAAAGTTTCTTTTTCTTTATTCTTTACAAAATAAATTTTTTTTAAATTTATACTATCAAAAAAATGCAGTTTGCAGTTCCTTAATTTAAAATTTAGTTGAAAATAAATTAAAAAAAAAAGAATCAAAATTAGTAAATTAAATAAAGAAAAATAAAATTTTGATATAAAAAATATGCGAAAAAAAAATAATTTTAAGTTTTATTAATTAAATTTAATATCTAAAGCTTCCTGACATATTTCTACATTTGTATGTATATAGTTTCTCAACAAATTTATCAAAAATACAAATTAAAATCATGTCAATATTGACATTTTTAAATTTAATTTATATATATTAGACGCACATACGTGGAGAAATAATTAAAAATTGCTCTATTCATTTTGTATAAAGAAAATTATTTTAATAATTATAATTATTAATGAAAAACATATAATAAAAAAAAAAAAATTGGAAATTGCTTGCAGTGGAGAATACTAATACGTAAATAAAGATTTATCTTGTCTAAAATATAATTAAAAAAAAATTTTTTTTTTAATATATTTACAAATAATACTTACGATTTAATTATTTCTTGTTTAATTTAATACAGAAATACTCCACACGTATTATTAATTCACTATGCACAACTATTTATTTTTATAATTTATTTTTCTAGTTTAAATAGAAAAATATATTTCAAATTGCAAAAGACACGTTAACAGCACGAACCACAAGTAACGAATGAGCTATGGCTTTACCTGAAAGTCTATGGGGTAGTCACTCGTAGGTGATTAAAACCTAATTAGCATAAATCACAAAGAAGGTATTATATTACTAAAATGTACTTAAAATAACATTTAAAAACTCATTACGAACATTTCCAGGACCTAAGTTCCTTTGGAACTTGTCAACTTTTCAATTTCCGCGACGAACAATATAATTTAGCAATATGTAATAATTTTATTATTTAAAATATTTAGCTATTTATTCAGATTTTTTATTCGAATCAAATATAATTTATTTGAATTGAGTAAAAAATAAATTATTTCTCACAGAACTAAATAAATATTTACATATATTTATTTCAAAATAAAATTTTTTTGTCTGGCACAAATATTTCAAATTTAAATATTTTTATAAATATTAAATATAAATATAAATAATTATTTCAAAAATATTTATTTATTTATAATATAAATTATATATATATATATATATATACCTATATAATTATATATAATATTATTATAAAAAAATTTAAATACCTATACCTTTAGAAAAAAATTTTGCAATTGTTTTTTTTTAAATAAATTGAATATTATACATTTCAAAATTATTTCTAATAATTTTGTGTAATTTGAAAAAATGTAATTTCTAAACTTTAGATAAAATTTTTGTAAATTTTAATAAATTCGAAAAGAAAAAATAAAAAAGTTACTCTAAATATATTGGGGGAAAATAATTCCATTATAAAAAAATTTAAATACCTATACCTTTAGAAAAAAATTTTGCAATTGTTTTTTTTTAAATAAATTGAATATTATACATTTCAAAATTATTTCTAATAATTTTGTGTAATTTGAAAAAATGTAATTTCTAAACTTTAGATAAAATTTTTGTAAATTTTAATAAATTCGAAAAGAAAAAATAAAAAAGTTACTCTAAATATATTGGGGGAAAATAATTCCATTAAAAAAAGAAAAAAAAATTAATAAATTCTAGAGGAAATATTTTTTTATCAAAGTAAAAATTGAAATTAAAAGAATTATAATTTTTTTTTTTTACCGCTTCATGAATACCGCCAAGGGATAACCAAATTTTTTCCTCCGATGCAAGTTGTTTATATTTTTTAACTATATTTCCCTCTAAATTTTCCGCCATTCCAACGATATCCTGTTTATTATCAGCTAAATAATCACATGCTTCTGGAAAAAATGCGATCTGCTTGCAACAAAAAGAAAAAAAATTATGTTTCAATAAAAAAAAAAAAAAAAAAGGAACAAAAAATTTAAATTAGATTAAAAAAATAGAAAATTTATATATAGAAAAAATTCTTACGGAAGCATTTTTTTGTTTGGCTTCACGGGTTAGATCACGAACAATTTGAAAATTTTTTTCCTTATCCGACACTGATGTCATTTGACAAATTGCAACTAAACGACTCGACGACATTGTTACCATAGATCGTTTAAATAAATTTCTGAAATTATAAAAATAATTTCATTGGTGCGAAAATAACTTATTTTTTATATATTGCGATTCAAATTTTTATTAATTGAAAATTTTAATCAAATCAGATAAATTAATTTTAAACTTACATCAAATAAAATTTGGATAATTTTAAATTTAAGTCAATTCAAAATTTGGACAAATTGAAAATAAGTATAATTTTAAACTTAAATCAATTAAAATTTAGATAATTTAAAACTTAATTGAATTAAAAATTTGGACAAATTAAAATTCGAATAATTTGAAAATTAAATCAATTAAAATTTAGAAAAATCAAAATTCACATAATTTTAAACTTAAATCAATTCAAAATTTGAATAAATTAAAATACATATAATTTGAAACTTAATTTAATTGAAAAGTTGGATAAAATAAAATTCTAATAATTTGAAACTTAAATCATTAAAAATTTTGATAAATTAAAATTCGGATAATATGAAACTTAAATCAATTAGAATTTAGAAAAATTAAAATTCAAATAATTTGAAAGTTAAATCAATTAAAATTTTGAAAAATTAAAATTCGAATAATTTGAAACCTAAATAAATTAATTTGAAACTTAATTTAATTAAAAATTTAGACAAAATAAAATACGGATCAATTAAAATGTAGATAAATTAAAATTCCAATAATTCGAAACTTAAATTAATTAAAATTTTGATAAAATAAAATTCTAATTTGAAAATTAAATCAATTAAAATTTGAATAAAATTAAAATCGTATATTTTGAAACCTAATTCAATGAAAATTTGGAAAAATTAAAATTCACATAATTTTAAACTTAATTCAAAATTTGAATAAATTAAAATACAGATAATTTGAAACTTAATTTAATTAAAAAATTGGATAAAATGATATTCTCATAATTTGAAACTTAAATCATTTTAAATTTTGATAAATTAAAATTCGGATAATATGAAACTTAAATCAATTAAAATTTAGAAAAATTAAAATTAAAATAATTTGAAAGTTAAATCAATTAAAATTCGAATAATTTGAAATCTAAATAAATAATTTGAATTTTAATTTAATTAAAAATTTGGACAAAATAAAATTCGGATCAATTAAAATTTAGAAAAATTAAAATTCCAATAATTTGAAACTTAACTATAGATTAATTTTTAAATAAATTGAAATTTCATTAATTTAAATATTTGATCGATTGAATTTGCATTTAATTAAAATTTTAATTAAATATTTTTCTCTTTATCAATAAAAAATTTGAATTAATTGAAAATTAAATCACTTGGAATTTTTTTTCTTCTTTATAATTATAATTTAAATTCGATTAAAAATTAATTAAACTAAAAATTGGATGATTTAAAATTTTTAAAATATTCAAATTTGAATAAATTAAATTTAATATTAATTAAATTAATTAGAATTAAAATTAATTTTATTTTAAATCGATTGCAAATTTAATCAATAAATTCTGCAACTAATTTAAATTTTATTGAAATTTGTCCTAAATAATTTTTTGAATCGAAGAAAATTTTTTAATAAATTTAATATTGGATCGATTAAAAAATTTATATAGAAAAAAAAATGAAAATCTTTAATTTTGTTTTTAAAAAATGGCGCTAATTTTTTACTAAAATTAAAATTTTTTTTTTAATTTATAATATACGTAAAAATGTTTATTTTAGTCAAATTGCAATTATTTTATGTTTATATATCTATAAAATATTTTTACTTTAATAATTCTCGATAATTTTAAATACTGAATAACAAAACAAAATTATTTTATCAAATTGAAATTTTTCTCAATTTACGTTTAAATAAAACACAATAAATTATATATATATATAAATTTTAATAAACCTCTTACCTGTAATAAAAAGATAAATTAAAGGAAACGATAAGTTTTCTTGTTCCAAGCATACTTTATTTATTTTATATAAATATATTTCACTCTATAACATTGTTGATTGAACTAAATAATTAAACAATCATTACATTAATACTGTATATATATACAAAATAATAAAAATCACATTTTTTATTTTGGTTATACACGTTATACACTCATAAAAACACTTTATGACAATAATATAAAGGTGCTTTTATACCATTATGGAATTGTATAATTTAAAGTCATTTGATTATTGTGATTTCAAATGTTAAGGTTTTTTTCGCAAAATAATTGATAAATTAAGATAAAATTCTGTGGAGAATTCAAAAATAGTATAAATTTTCTTTTTATAAAATTATTTGCAAAAATGTTTTTTTTTTACATATTCAAAACTACCCGCCATAAAGGTGCTACAACAACAGCTGGCAGTTTTGTATTCGCTCTCATGTGACTTTCTTGTGTGCACGCGCAACAAATTTTTAGTTGTCGAAAATAAAAATTAATTAGTGAATTACTAATTAATTCAATTTAATCAATTAAAACGAATATTTTTTAATAAATTAATATTTTATTTATATAAAATATAAAGAACTCAATTTGGAAACATCCCTAGAAAACTGTCATATTTCAGAGGTTCCTTCGTACCTTTTCTGCTTTCCAATCTCTGACAATTCAACCTATGAATGAACCCTAAACTTTTAAGTCACATTTTTGTTTATTAATTATTAATATTTATTACATTTATAACATTTTTTTAAAACAATTATCAATAAATAGTAACAAAAACAAAAATATAATTAAAAAAAAAAAAAAAAAAACTATTGGACATTTAAAAAATCGCTCATTATTAAAAGCATGCGCACTAGTAAATGAAATTTACACACTCAACTTCCGGAAGCGTTCCAATTCTTTTTTATTTAGGCGAAGTCAAAAGCCTACACGGTGGATGATATTTTGCACGTAAAAAGGCATTAAATCATCCTCAAAATGGTAAGTTTTATCTATTTCTAATTAATTATAATGTTAACACTAATTATTTTATTGAAATCAACAATTTTGTTGGTGAAAAATTTACTTTAGTTAAGTTTCAACATCGTGAACAATTGATCCATCTTGTTGAGCACGTGTGTCATTTTTCATGTCATTATTGTTTTTTATTATTATAAATATTTCTTTATAAACTTTTTATGCTAAAGAATTTTATTTTAAGATACAATTTTTTTCTTCCTGTCGCTTCAGTGATAAGTACAAAGTGATTTTTTGTAGAATTATCAACAATGTAAAATTTTTTTTTTTTGAGGTTATGTTACAAGTGTCGTGTACTTTTGTCACTTCTCTCTCTCTCACACACACACATCGAATGTAAAATGGATTCCTTTGGTTTCAAATTTTTCGGAAATATTTTTTTTATTGTGCGTGTTAAAGAAAACAGAGGATTTTAAGTGAAATTTAAAAAATATTTTTTTTTTGTGATTTTTCGAGAAGTTTTATTTTAAAAAACAAAAAATGATGAACTGCTTTGGTCCGTGTTGCTGATTTGCATCTGATTATAAAACAAAGCGAAATTCTGATTTTTAGTTGAAAAAAAAAAAAAAAATGTGTAAATCTATGAGAATTTTTGAGAATTTTTTTTTATTTTTTGTGATTTTAGTCACTGTCAACAGCGCGACCGGTTATCACGGTTTACAATGAAAAGAGCGAAGCAACGGAGGAAGTTATTTCACTTCCTGCTGTTTTTAAGGCTCCAATTAGACCCGATGTTGTGAATTTTATTCATCAACAAGTATCGAAAAACAGCCGTCAACCGTATTCAGTTTCTAGCAAAGCTGGTAAGTTTTTTTTTCCTATTTTTTGAAAAATAATACATTTCTTATTGTTAAATAGTTTCGAAATTTTTTTTGTAATTAGAAAAAATTAGATTAAGATATTCAAAAATATTTCCATTCTTTTTTTTTTATTTTTGAATGGAGTATGTTTTTTTTTTTAATTATTATTATTATATAATAATAAAATGCTTGGTCTGTCCTTCTGTCCTAACTTGAAGTTGGCCTTTTCTGATTTCACGTGTTTTTTTTTTTTTTTTTTGAATAGTAATCTTATGACGTGTCAAATTTTGACAATTCTTTTTCTCATTTTTGCCAAAGTTGTATAATTGTGTTTTCAAATTTCGGAATAAGTTTCTTTAAAATTCCAAATTCGAAAATTCAATTCACAAAGCTGAAGTACACAACGTTTACCAACGAAATTTTTTTTAAAGTTGTATATTGATTTAAAAATTGTATACAAATACAAAAAATTTATGATGAGAAAAAAGATGCGCCAGGAAATTTCGTACAAGATAGTAATTTGAAAAAAATTTATTTTTAAAAATTAATTTTTAAGGTACAAGGGGCCAACGAATACCTATTAAATATTCATTATAAAAACACAGGCCTCGAATCAACTTAAAGACACAAAAAGGCGTTTTAGTCGATTTATATTCCAAAAAAAGTGGATTTGTTTTTTATTTTAACAAAAATATTTTACAGATTTTTAAATAAAAAAATTTTTTTTTAATAATAATCCTTTTCGAAGGGTTAAAGTTGAAATTTTTAGAAATAATTAAATTTCAAAAGATATTGTTAATTTTCAAACAATTATTAAATTTTACACAACTAAAAATAATTTATCAAACAATTTTTGGGAAAACATTTTTTAAATTTAATTGAATTTTCAAAGATTTAAAATTGAGATTTTTGAAATTAATTGAAACTTTAAGTGTTTTGTAATTAAAGTTTTAGATGATTTCACTAAAAATTTATTAGAAAATGCGGACAAAATACAATAATTTGAAAATCATTTTTAATTGAAAAATGGTTGCAGATAGTTGAAATTTCAAAGAATATTATTAAAATAGTTAAAAATAATTGAATTTCCTTAGAGTTATATAATTAAAATTATTAAATTTCAAAAAAAGAAAATTTTCGATGGAAAATTTTAGAAATAATTACATTTTAGATGCTTTTGAATTAAATTAATTTTGAATTCAAATTTTTGAGAATAATGAAATTTTATTTGATTTTAAATTTGGAAAATAATTGAATTTGAGTTCATTTTGAATTGAAAATTTTGGGAAATAATTGAATTTTAATTGAAATTTTGGTAAATAATTTAATTTTAGTTCATTTTTGATTGAAAAGAATAATTAATTTTTAATAGAAATTTCAGAAAATAATTGAATTTTATTTCATTTTAAATTGAAACCTTGGTAAATAATTAAATTTTGAATTGAAAATTTTGGATAATTATTGGATTTTTAATTGATTTTGAATTAAAATTTCAGCTAATAATTGAATTTTAGTTTATTTTGAATTGAAATTTTTAAAAAATAATGCAATTTTTTTGTGATATATTTTTTTTAAATTATAAACAATTGTTAAATTTCATAAAAATTTTAATTGAAAAATAATTTTGATAGAATTGAATTTGTGATGTATTTAAATGAAATTATTAAAAATAATTAATTCAGTGAAGAATCATTTTAGTTCAAAGTTTGTTAAATAATTGAATTGAAGAAGATCTGAAGAAGATATAAATTTTATACTAAAAAATGTGTTTTATTTACATTTTTTTTCAAATGTAAAAAAAAATGTCGCATTTTATTAAAATAAGTCGATAAAAGTCGTATAATCCGAGGCCTGTAAACATATAATTTTCATTATTATCATTTAATATGTAATAATATTCTAATAAATTAAATTATTATTGATAATATTAATCTTTAATTTCTTTATAACCAAACAATTAAATATTCAATTTGGCGGGCTTGCGCACGTTTAATTTTGCTAGTTAAATTTATAATTTAGTAACTATTATCATAATTATTAATATTTATATAAATTTATAATTATAAAAAAAATAAATTTAAATTAAATTTTTCTTAAAATCGTGTAGAAAAATTTTAACAAAAATGTTTTTGCTCCTTTAGATATTTAATTTACAAATTTTTACAAATAACATACAAAATTTCAAATTTTTCAAAGTTTAAAAATAAAGTTACAGGCCTCGGATTAGGGTCAGTTGAGGTAAATGGGGACAAGAGGTTTTGGAGCTTAATTTACAGTTTTAAAATTATGTTCAACGTCAATATTTTAACCTCAGATCACCTGCAAGAGGTTTTTTAGTATTGCCAAGCTTTTATCTTGACAATTGACAGCAAGATAAAAAAAAAAGTTATCGCTCAATGCATAAAAACTTGAAAATCAAAGTCAAACAGTTTCAGTATTTTGTCTCGCATTTCAAAGAAAACAGACTTAAAAATCATACCAAATTTTTTTCTTATTCCTTATGACTCCTATAACAGAAATTCAATTGAATTTTTAATTTTTGGCGATAATATTTTTATAGAATTATTCTTATTACAGAATTAATAAAATGAATTTAATATCTAATTACATTAGTTATTTAAAGTAAAATAATTATTAATTAAATTTTGTTAAAATAAAAAAATCGACTTTTTTTGGAATATAAATCGACTAAAACGACTTTTTTTGTGCCTTAAAGTCTATTCGAGACCTGCACCCTGAATATTTATATGATTTTATTTATTTATTGAAAATATACTGGCAAAACATCATTTTGAAATCATTTTGATGTTTTCTTTTTGTATGATATTTTTTTCATATTTTTAATTTTTTCTTTTTTGTACGAGATAATTGAAAATTAATAATAATAAAAAAAAAAAATTGATAGGACATCAAACATCTGCTGAGTCATGGGGAACTGGACGTGCCGTGGCTCGTATTCCACGTGTTCGCGGTGGTGGTACTCATCGCTCCGGTCAAGGTGCTTTCGGCAACATGTGCCGAGGAGGACGCATGTTCGCACCCACTAAGCCCTGGAGACGTTGGCATCGTCGAGTGAACGTTAATCAAAAACGTTACGCCATGGTCTCGGCAATCGCCGCGTCTGGAGTTCCAGCTCTCGTACAATCTAAAGGTAAATTATTTTTTTTTCCTTCTATTTCCAATAATTTGTATAGAAAAAAAATTCACGAATAAAATCTGAAAACTGGATTTTTAGTTTTAATAATAATACTAATTCGAACAAATAAAAATTCGGTTCAAAACTAATTAGGATAAATAAAATTCTAAAAATTTAAATTATGACTAATGATTTTTAGAACATAATCATGCGTCCCAAAATTCTGACCCAACTTTTGAAATAACAAAATTGATAAAATCTATATTTTATAATAACAGTTTAAATTTCAAGAAATCGCTATTCTAATTTTTTTTACTTCATTTGTGAAATTTATTAACGTTTTGAGTTGATACATTTTTTTTAAAAATCCATTCTATTCTTTTTTTTTCCTAAAAGAAAATCATTTACATGATGACTTGCTTTGGTCCGTGTTGCTGATTTGCTTCTGATTATAAAACAAAGCTTCAAACTGATAATTTCTCAATTTTTTTTTTTTTTTATAAAAAGAAAGTAAATACAAAAATTTTTAAAAAAATTTATTATATTGTTAAACAGGTCATCTTATCCAAGAAGTACCAGAATTTCCACTCGTTGTTTCGGACAAAGTTCAAACTTTGCAAAAAACTAAAGAAGCCGTAATCTTTTTGAGAAGATTTAAGGCATGGAATGATATTGTCAAGGTAAGAATGGGAAAAGATTTTTATTTTCTAATTAAATGAATAAATAATAAACGCATTGGAAAATGTCCCCGTTTTTAGAAAATTATTTTTTTGAACGGTCCGTTAAAAATGCAAGAATAATATTGTCATGGCGTTCCTATTGTACGAATTTCGTCAATGGGGGTTTTTTTGACTGCACAAATTTGTTTTCCTTTTTTTTTCTTATTTATTTATAATTTTTGGATATTCAAAAAATGTTAGAATTTTTTTTTTTAATTGAATTGAAATTAAAATTGAATTTCTCCGATTTTTGTTAAATAAAATCAAAATTTTAAAGGCAGTATTTTTGTTTTTCTTTTCTATAGGTGTACAAATCACAACGATTCAGGGCTGGAAAAGGAAAAATGCGAAATCGTCGTCGCATTCAACGTCGTGGACCTTTGATTGTTTACGGACAAGATCAGGTATGACAATTATTTATTTCTTTAAATAATACATCTTTTTTTTTTGTAAATGTTTTCAATTTTTTTTAATTAGCATTTGACAGAATTTCTTTTTATACAAATTTTTACTTAACAAAATTTTTCAGCTAACGAATTTTTTTTAGCTTAATTTTAATTTTACAGTAATTTTTATTACATGACTTTTTATTTAAAAGAATTTTAATTTAATCGAATTTCAAATTTTCCCGAATTTTTAATTTTCATTTGTTCAAAATTACAAATCACCGAACAAACAATCGACAGAAAGATTTCGGCGCAATTTTTGCAAATTAATCAATCACGATTTTCTTGATAATTTCTAATTGGTGAATTTTTAAAAATTTCGCCTTAAAATCTTTCTATCGATTGTTTGTTTGGTCATTTATAATTTCGGACAAATGAAAATTTGGCGTCTTAAAATTTCTATCAATTAAAAATTTGAAATTCGGTGAATTGTAATTTCTGTCATTTAAAAATTCGAATCACATAAAATTCAATTGAATAAGAATTCTATTAAATTAAAATTCTTTTAAATAAAAAGTCATGTAAAGAAAATAATTGTAAAATAAAATATCTGCCAAATTAAAATTCTTTAAAATGAAAATTCTTATTAATGTGAAATTAATTATGGGAAATTCATGCGTTCCTAAATGAAAATAAAATGAAGAATAAAATTAAAGGTAAATTATAAATAATAAACGCATTGGAAAATGTCCCCGTTTTTAAAAAATAATTTTTTTTTAAACGGTCCGTTAAAAAATGCAAGATTAATATGGTCATGGCGTTCCCATTGATTGAATTTCGTCAATGGGGGTTTTCTTGACTGCACAAATTTTCACAATTAATTTATTATTAAATATTAATATTCATTATTTAATAACTAAAAAAATTCAATTATTGAATTTTGGAAAAGCTGTGGTTAAAATTTTTTAGAAGATTTTAAAATTGGAATTACTGAAAATTGTTTATAAATTTTTTAAAATATATATATGAGTTTTAAAGAATTTTTTTTTCCTGTTAAATAATTTAATTTAACGAAGAATTTTAGTAAAAAAAATTATTTCAAATGATAAATTTATAGGAGAATTTAAGTTGAAAAATGTTTTAAATAATTAAATTTTTGGAAAATTGGTCATTGTTACATTTCGTTTCTCTTTTTTTTTTATCCTCTCAGGGCATCAGGAAAGCTTTCCGCAACATTCCTGGCGTAGATTTAATGAACATCAATAAAATGAGTTTATTGAAATTGGCACCAGGCGGTCATGTTGGTCGCTTTGTCATTTGGACAAAATCCGCTTTCGATCAATTGGATGCTCTTTATGGAACATGGCGCAAGGAAGCTCAACTCAAGAAGGGATACAATCTTCCCTTCCCTAAGATGGCCAATACCGATCTTTCAAAACTATTGAAATCCGACGAAATCCGTAAAGTTCTCCGCGCACCAAGGTAAATTTTTTTTTTTTAACAATAAATATAAATTTTTCCTCTTCTTTTCTATTCTCGTGTTATTCTTTTTTTTTTAATTAAAAAAATACTATTTAATATTAATTTATCATTACTATTATATTTAATATTTAATTTCAAAAATTTCTAAATTGATTTTTCTTATTCCTCTGGAGTTTAAAAATATTTTCTCTTAATTGGAAAATGTATTTTTACTTTAAAATTATTTTACTAATTGATAAATATTTATATTTAATATTTTTCGAAATAAATCTGTTTTTTTTTCCTTTATGATGAATTGCTTTGGTCCGTGTTGCTGATTTGCTTCTGATTTTAAAACAAAGCTGATATCTGATTCGATTTAATTTATTGAAAGTTTGTTTTTATCAAAATAAAATGATTATTTAATAAAGAAAAAAAAATTTTTTTTTAAAATTTCAGGAAGAAGGTCCATCGCGCTGTTAAGAAATTGAATCCGCTCAATAATACCAGAGCAATGTTGAAATTAGATCCATATGCGGCTGTTAAGAAGCGCGCAGCTATCTTGAAGGCAGAAAAAAGAGAACACGAACGTGATTTGGCTCTTGCGAAAAAGCGTGGCGTAAGTATTTTTATAATTTAAAAAATAATCACAATTCGTTAATATATAAAAAAAAAAGAATTCAATTTTGAATAATTTTTTTTATTTTTTCTGTAAAACAATTTTTTTAAAATAATTTAATTATTTAATTAAATTAATAATTATTATAAAAAAAAATTTCTTTCACATCAGTAAAAAAAGAAGTTACATTTAATTTTTCTTAATTCTTAACGACACTTTGAAATAATTAAAAATATTTATTATTATTATTATAAAAATAATAAATAAAGTTAAACAACACATGAGTTTAGTTAAAATAAAATTGAAATGTAAAATAACTAATTTTCTTTTTCCAGATTGAATTGCCCAAAAAAGCACCGGCTTTAAGAGCAAAGAAATTGCTCGAAAGGCGCAAGAAGCAATTGGTTGCTTTGAAAGCAACAAAACCGAAAAAAGCTGTGAAAACTGCGGCGGCAAAAACTACAAAACCAGTTAAAGCCACCAAGTAGACACACTTGTAATTTTTATTTACATTCTAATAAACGAAAAAAATGATAAACATTTTTTTGAATGTGTTGCTTAATTTTTTTTTTAATTCATTTTTAAAGTGTTTGGAAAATTTTTCAATTTATTTTCAAACATTTTTATTTCTTTAAAAAAAAACATTCTTTTTTTTCAAATTTATTAACTGCCAATTTTCTGTTAATTTTCTTTTCTTTTTTTGTTCAAACAAAATGCAGGCCTCGGATTATACGACTTTTTCCGAATTTTTTTTCAAAAATACGACTTTTTTCGACTTATTTTAATAAAATGCGACTATTTCGACTTTTTTTTACACTTAAAAAAAAAATTTTTAATAAAACATATTTTTTTTAGTATATAATGCTGATCATCTTCAGATCTTCTTTATTTCAATTGTTTAACAAATTTTTAACTAAAATTCTTCACTCAATTAATTATTTTTAATAATTTTAATGAAATTCATCACAAATTCAATTATCATAAACTATTTTTCAATTAAAATTTTTATAAAATTTAACAATTGTTTATAATTTTAAAAAAATATCAAATAAAATTACCAAAAATTTTTAATTCAAAATCAAATGAAATTCAATTATTTTCGAAAATTTCAATTCAAAATGAACTAAAATTCAATTATTACCCAAAATTTCAATTCAAAATTAATTATTATCAAAATTTTCAATCAAAAATCAATTAAAATTCAATTATTACCCAAAATTTCAATTCAAAATCAAATAAAATTCAAATATCCGAAAATTTCAATTCAAAATTAATTATCAAAATTTTTAATAAAAAATCAACTAAAATTGAATTATTATTCAAAATTTCAATTGAAATTCAATTATTTTCAATTCAAAATCAACTAAAATTCAATTATTTTTAAAAACTTCAATTCAAAATTAATTATCCAAATTTTCAATCAAAAATCAACTGAAATTGAATTATTATCCAAAATTTCAATAAAAATTCAATTACTTTCAAAAAATTTGAATTTAAAAGCTTCTAAAATTTTTTGAAATTTAATAATTTCAATTATAACTCTAAGGAAATTCAATTATTTTTAACTATATTTTTATAATATTCTTTGAAAATTCAATTATCTGAAATCATTATTAAATTAAAAATGGTTTTCAAATTATTGTATTTTGTCCGCATTTTCTAATAAATTTTTAGTGAAATCATCTAAAATTTTAATTACAAAACACTTAAAGTTTCAAATAATTTTAAAAATCTCAATTTTAAATCTTTGAAAATTCAATGACTTTTAAAAAATGTTATCTAAAATTATTTGATAAATTATTTTTAGTTCTGTAAAATTTAATTATTGTCTGAAAATTAACAATATCTTTTGAAATTCAATTATTTCTAAAAATTTTAACTTTAACCCTTCCAAAAGTATTATTTAAAAATAAAAATTTTATTTAAAAATCTGTAAAATATTTTAGTTAAAATAAAAAAAAATCGACTAAAACGACTTTTTTTGTGCCTTTAAGTCGATCCGAGGCCTGAAAATGGCAAAAAAAAATTTATTAGATTGGCAGTTTTTAAATATTAAACATTGGGGACCACAAATGTTAAAAAAAACCTTATTATCGAAAAAAGGAATATTTTTTTTAATACAAGGTTAGAACTTTTTTTTTTTTTATAAAAATCGATCCTACAGTTTCTAAGGTACTTGATAACAAAGAAAAAGTCGATTTTTAAAAATTCGAAGACAGATATAATGTAATTTTTGATTATAATTACAAATGATAGTAAAAATATTTTAAATTTAAATAATCATCAACAGTTTTTCAAAATAATTAAATTTCAAACAATTTTTTGGAAAAATATATTTTCTGAGAAAATTAAATAAATTCACTAATTTAATTATTTTTTGACAAATCTTACGAAATTATTTTTTAAAAAAATTTATTTAGCCAATAAATAAATTAATAAGGAAATTCTCATTCTGCTATTCTTCGGTTTTGCTTTTATTTTATTTTTTTGAATGATATTGTGAGTACATTGTATTCGGATGTCAGTTTAAATTGTGTCTTAAACGTGGAATGTTGTTCCGTTGAAATTTTATTTTTGTTTATTGTTTTTGTGCAAGTTTTGTTTATTTATTTGTATTATTCATAAACAATTATTTATTTTTGTGTTTTTTTTTTTTACAAAATTGGATTATTTTATTTGGTTAATCTTTAATTTAATATAATTGTAATTTATTTTAATGTCTTTATTTTTATTTATTTATTATTAAATTTCAAATAATATGTCTCGATTCATAAGAAAAATAATTTGAAAATATCAATACAAACGAAATGTTTGATTTATGTTTAATTATTGAAAAAAAAAATAATTTAAAATTCGGAATTTATACGTGATTTATTCTTTTTTTGCAAACGATGTTTTGAATTATCAAAAAAAAAAACGTGATTTTTAATCAATTTCAGAAAGACAAATATTTTTGCTAACTATATAAATCCAGGTACAAATTAGAATATTAGTCTAATATTCCGGTGCGTGTTTCAGTCCGAACGGTATTGTCAAGTGACTTTTTCGCAATTAAATTTTTTTTTTTAAATAAAAAGAACGAAAAAAATAGTTTTTCTTTTGGAAATTTAAAAAAATTGTATATTTTCATATATGTATTTCATATTTTTCACTTTTTTTGTGCCTTTTACGCAATGTAACATTGAGCATGATTTCTCAATTATTGATGATGGTAATTATTTTTATAAATATAAATTATTTTATCAATTTTTTTCAAGAATATTCAATTTATATTTTTGTTGCATTAATTTAAATCTCTTTTTTAGTATCTGACTATGAAATTGTACCAATTCGTCACAAAAGAGGCAGCGTGATTTTAACAATTCAAACAATAATAATGGCTAAAGAGCAAATATTTTATTTGCAACCAACTGAAGGTTTAATTGCAGGTACAAAGACGAATGTTTTTACTGCCAGTAGTAGTGCTCAAAATATTGTGAATTTTAAATTTCTACCAAATGTATGTATTCTATATATATATTTTAATTTTTTAATATTAAAAAAAAAAAATTCTTTAGCAAATGAAAAAAATAGAATAGAAAAAACGACAATATGATTATAGGTGATGAACAATGTTTTCTTAAAATTTTATCAAGATCCAAAAACTTCATCATCTATTGTACACACCATTAATAAACTTGGAAAATCTGAATTTGTAAATATATTTTACATTACATGTGGCATATTTTTTAATCCATTAAATATTTTGAATTTTTGTATAATAAATTTTTTTCTTTTTTTTTAGAATGGAATCATCAATAACAACATGGTTATACGTCCTATGTTTGGTCATTTTCGTGAACGTCGCGATTTGTTGAAAAAAAATTTTTCATTATTTGAAAATGATGACGAAGGTTTTATAAATACTGATGAACATATAATTTATAGGCAAACATTTAATAATGCTTCGAGTAAATATTTCATTGCAAATAAATTAAAAAACGACTTTTTTTTTTAATTCTGAACCTACACAGCATCTAAATTTGCAGCAATATTCGCAACATTACAGTCAATATTCAAAAATTGCAGAAAGCAATGTTGGCAATATTGCTGAAATTTTAGATACTGTTGGGGGAATATAAATAATATTCTACTATTTTGGTATAATAGCTGATGTTTTAAAAATATTTATTATATTTTAATTTTTAAGGTGTTTAATTTTTTTTAGTATTAAATACGTTAATAGAGAAAGAATTTATTTTTTTTCAGAACTTTTTACACCTAAAGTGTTCGATGATAATAAAATTATGAAATTCAAGAGTATCTCCCGAAGATCACTAGCGGAGATTTCAAATGTAGTTTATCCGGAAATTATGATTTTCATTGACGATCTACTTTTTAAGTAAGTTGCAATAAATTTAATTAATCTTTGTTCAAATTGATTTCAAATTTTAAAAAATTATTCAATTTTTATTTAGCAGAATTTTATAATCACTGATTATTATTTTATTTTCATAAAATTGCATTTTTCATATACAAAATTCTGTTATATTTTTATAATTTTTTATTCTGTTAAATAAAAATTATAAAAATTTTCCCAATCATAAATTCTGTTAAATAAAAATTGTATTATTTGAGTTAAATTATTATTATTTATTATTTCAGTTAAATATATAAATTCACGTTATAAAATTGTGCTTAATAAATTTAATTTTTAATTTTACAACACAAAAATTCCGATAGGTCTATAATGTAGCGAAAAATAATCATGCTATTAGATATAAATTATTTTATTTTTACTATTATTTCAGAGGTATTTATTAATTTTTTTCTTTTTGACAGAAAATTTAATTATGATGTGATAAAAGCGATAGAATATACTTTGAGTTTCTGGAATGGAGTTGATTTAAGATACAGAGAATTTGAAAACCCAAAGATTCGCCTCTATGTTACCGGAATAGTATTACTTAATGTAATATATATTACAAAAAAGAAAATTTATTTCATTCAAATCATTGATTACTTGAATATTATCAAATATTTATATTTCCATCAAACATAATTGATATTTGTGTCAATTATAAATTGATTCAAATGAAACATATTTGATTAATTATATACGCACCCAGGAAAAAGATTCTTTGTTTAAAATAAATTTTCTCTGAATGAAAAAAATTCGTGCATTATTAGTCAAAGAAAAAATTTCTTTGATTTAAAGAAATTGTTTCTTTACTTTCTTTTTTTTGTTGACTTTTCGATTTTTTATTTTAATGAAATTTTTTATTTGAAACAAAGAAATAAATTTTTATTTCAATGCAAACAAATTTCTTTAAATGAAAAATATATATTTATTTCATTTTAAAATTGTCTGATTCAAAAAGTGATTTAAAAAAAAAAAACGTTTTCTTTGTTTCAAAGAAATCTTTTCTTTCTGGGTGTAAGGAAAATTTTCTACAATATATTTTTGAAAATATATATTTTTTTTTAAGGATCCACTGTCATTTGTGAATAATGCATTCAGCAATATTTCCGAAGAAATGGTATATTCGGAAATAATGTTGCACGAATTTAGTAAATTTTTACATGAGATTAAATTCATTCCACCAAAGAAGAATTATGATATATCCCTACTTATGACTGGAAGGGAATTGTTGCTTAAAGATTATGAAAATAGAAGAACAGCTGGTATATATATGTTTAATGGTATTTTTTTGAAAGGTACAAAAAAAACATCTTTTTTGTACCTTCTAAAGTAGAGGACAAGTTAAAAAAAATTTTTTTCTTTAATTGCAATCGTTTTTTGATAAAAAAAAATTATTCATCCATACAATAATTTATTAAATTTAAAAAAAAAATTTCTTTGACTTAAAGAAAAATTTATTTGATTTACAGAAAATGTCTTTGATTAAAAAATTATTTTTTTTATTTAAATTAAAGAATAAAAATTTATGTTTAAATAGAAATAAAATTTTAAAAAAAACATGTTTCGTAATTGAAGAAATTTTTATTTTATTTCAAAATTATTTTTAAAAAAATATGTTTTTTTAATATTAAAGTAATTATATTTTACATATAATAAAGGTATGGCTTTTACTGCTGGAGTATGCAGACATGAAGATGATAAATACTACTCTTCTGGTATTGTTGAAGATAATAATGGTTTTCAAGGCATTATTGCTGCTGCCCATGAATTAGCTCATATGTAAGATCGCACAAAAATTTTTTTTTGCATTTATTTTACGCGATATTGTATTAATTTATATGTAATTTTTGGAAAATTTTTTTTTTTTTAACAATTATAAATCTTTTTTTTTCATAATACAGATTTGGTGCACCACATGATGAAGAAGATTTAGATTTTGTTAAAAATGGTACTAAACATTGTCTAAAAGAGGAAGGTTATATTATGGGTGATATTAGTTATAATAAAAATAGAATTTTATTTTCTTCTTGTTCTAAAGAAGTTATTGGAATTGTTTTAAGGTGCGTTGAAAATTTTAATTTTTTTTTTTTTGAATTTAAATTTTACACATGTATAATAATGTAAATCATTTAAGTTTATTTATGTTGGTGCATAATTAATTTAATTAATTATTATTGATTTATTTTTTATCTATAAAAATTTTATTCCTCTTTAGTGAAGATTTTACAAAATGCATTCGAAATAATCCAGCAGAATATAAAAATAATGAACCATTAGCAAGAATATTACCCGGTGAAATAATGTCTTTAGATGAACAATGCCAAAATCTTGGATACACAAAATGTTACACTGTAAGTTCCATTAACTGTAACTGTTCTAAAATTAATTTTTTTTTTTTTTTTTTTTGAACATTTTTATTTGGTACAGAATTTAATTATCTAAAATTTACTTTTAATCAAATTTTTATTTCTTCCAATTATTATTATCATTTCCTCCAAAAATACGAAAATAAAAACTCTGTAAAATAAAATTCATTTCAGTAACAATTTTATAAATGGAATTTAATAGTTTAAATTATTATTATTATTATTGATTAAATGGAATTTCTGTTAAATAATAATTCGAAAAAATAAAAATTTAACTAAAAGTATAAATTTTAGGTAATGAAATTTTGTGAAATTAAAATTTTAACAAATTAATTTTAGAGCTTATTTATGTGTTTCTTTTTTAACAGTAACATAAGAATTTATTTTTATTGTCCATTTTTTGTATTTTGTTATTACAATTGTTTTATAGGAAAAAACAACTTGTTTAGAGTTATACTGTATACACAAAAACATGGCTTGGTGGGTACGTAAAATACCTCCAGCCGAGGGATCTTCTTGTGGTGATGGAAAGGTAATTAAAAATTAATTACAGTAAAATATTTTTAAATATCAATTTCCCTAATAAAACAATGTTTATTGTATTATTAAATATCGACTTTAAGATCCAAAAAAAAAAATCGTTTTAGTCAATTTACATTTCAAGAGAAGTCGATTTTTATTTTTAATAAATTTAATTAGTTAATAAATATTTTATTTCAAATAATTATTTGCTATTCTATGTAAAATTAATTTTACTTAAGACAAATTTTCAAAATTTTAATTCAGTAGGAGATTTCTAAAAAAGAAATTTAATTTTTATTTCTGTGAAGTAAATTTTTAGTTATATAAAAATTTTGCAAAATAATAAATCGAATAAAAATAAAAATTCGTCAAAATGAAAATTTTAATTAACTTTGTTTCAGTACTGCTTATCTGGTCAGTGTGTTGATATTATTTAAAATAATTCAAAAAAGAGTCAATCCATTTCAACCAAAACTGTTGACGCCTATTTTTTTCAAAATTCTATTTTAAATATAAATTATTTTTTTTTTATAATTGTTCATAACTATTTTAAAGTTCAACATTTCTTTTGATTATGAGTTGTAATTATTTAATTATAAAGTAAATTAATTTGTTGTGTCAAATTTACACTTTTTGGAAATAAATTTTTTCTAGAAAAATTTTTGAATCAAATTTTGTTTAAAATTAAGTAATTTTAATTTATACTTTCATATATATATATATGATCTACTGAGTTTTTAAAATTCTTTATATGTGGAAATATGAAATATTTTACTTTAAATCTTGGAAAAGTTTTATGAATTTTCAACAATTTCAAATATCAATATCTCCTTACAAGAAAAATGGAAAATTACCATTTTGGTTTTAGTAAAGTCTTTAGAAGTATTATTTTTAAATTTAGAGAAATTCAATGCAATGCATTTTCAAAAAAAAAAAAAATTTTTTTACGAATAAATCTTTAAAATTTTTATGTATTTGGTAAATAAACAGAAAAATTCATACATTAACGCGATTTTTACAAATTTATTTCAACTTTGCTTTAAATACAATATATAATTTTTATATTTATATAATATAAACAATATATCACCAAGGAAAAAAAAATCGTACACACTTTTTTTTTATATTTTGCTGTAGTTCTTGTAATACATTTTTTTCCATTTTTAAAGAAACTTGTTTTTAAATTTCTTTTTAAAATTTCGTCAACTTTTTCTTATCCTCCAAATCACAGACTTGATGCGATTTCATCACTTTTCACGTTTTCTAAAAATTAAAAACATAATTTTCTCAATAAAACACATTGATAATTACATATATATATATATATATAAAATGTTAATTTAAAATTTAATCAGACAAAAGATTTGTTTAATAATCAGAAGCAAATCAGCAACACGGACCAAATCAAATCATCATGAAAAATAAATATTAGAAATAGGATAAATGCACTAATTACGGCGCAATTCGAGTCAAAATACCTTTGAAATAGAAAATTTGACATTTCTATTGTATAAAGTCAATTTAAGACTTATTAAACTAAAAGCTTATGTTATTTAGATAATAAAAAAAATTTTACAGAGTGGCCACTGAAACTTAACCCTAGAAAGCACATCTGGGGTAGAAAAAATTCAAATTTCGGTATTTTTGTCAGATTTTGTGATTTTTGTTGTGGTTTTTGTAATTTTTTGGCCATATTTTGGATCCTATCAAAAAACAAAAAACGCTATCTTCTTCCTTATAAAAAAAGGAAAAAAAAATTATTTATAATAAATAAAATTTAGTTTTAATGTAAATTTAATTAAAATTCCCGGTTTTTATTAAAAATTCCGGTATTCCCGGTCGGTGACCATCCTGATTTAAACTTTATAAAAATCGATTATTTAAACAAATATGAGAAATTAAAACTAATACCGTAATTTTCTATTACGGCGCGTTTGTATCAGTTTCGGTGTATCAATTACGGTGACTCAAAATTACGTGTATTTTGAAAATACTTTGCCCACCGTAATTAAAGCCAATGGAAATATTAAAAATGTTTCAATTACGGCGAAGGAAAAAATTTCATCTCAAATAATTAAATTAATAATTGTTTAAATGTGCATTTTCATTAGTAATTGTATCAAGAAAAGATTAAAATAATTTTCTTAAATTGCAACACTTATAATAATAATAATAACAGTTATTTTTTATGAACGCGCCGTAATTGGTGCACTTACCCTATATAAAAATAATTAAACTCCTTCAGGTATTTGAAAAATTTGTAAATTTATCTCCAATTTTTCTTTTAAATCTCAAACAATCAGTTAAAAAAAGAAAAAAATAATATTATTATAAAAAAAAATATATTATTTTAAAAATAATTTTATACCTGATTTTATATACGTAAACAATCAAAGATCCAAGACGTTCAATGCAAAAGAAAATTTCGCATTTTTTCTCTTTCTGCCCTTAATCGTTGTTTTTTTTGTACATCTATAAAAACGAAAACAAAAAACTTATTTAAATTTTGATTACATTTGACAAAAATGAAATTTAATTTCAATTCAGTAAAAAAAAGACAATTTCAAAATATTTTTCAATTAATACGCAAAAGGAAAATAAAATTGTGCAATCAAGAAAACCCCCATTGACGAAATTCGTTCAATAGGAACGCCATGACCATATTATTCTTGCATTTTTAACGGACCGTTTAAAAAAATAATTTTCTAAAAACGGGGACATTTTCCAATGCTTTTAGATTTATTCATTTAATTAGAAAATAAAAATCTTTTCCTATTCTTACCTTGACAATATTATTCCATTGAAATTTTTTCAAAAAAAAAAAAGATTACGACTTTTTTTGCTTCTTGTAAAGTTTGAATTTTCTTCGAAATAAAGAGTGGAAGTTCTGCCACTTCTTGGATATGGTGATCTATTGAAAATATAATAAATAAAATTTTTAAAATGTATTTACAATTGTGCTTTTTTTATGTAAAGAAAAAATTTAAAAATTATCAGTTCAAAGCTTTGTTTTTTAATCAGAAGCAAATCAGCAACACGGACCAAAGCAAGTCATCATGTAAATAATTTTTCTCTTTTAATTAGGAAAATTAAAGGCCTCGGATCGACTTAAAGGCGCAAAAAAAAGTCGTTTTAGTCAATTTATATTAAAAAAAAATGTCGAAAAAGTCGATTTTTTTTTATTTTAACTAAAATATTTTACAGATTTTTAATTAAAAAAATTTTTTTTTAAATAATAATACTTTTGGAAGGGTTAAAGTTGAAATTTTGAGAAATAATTGAATTTCAAAAGATTTTGTTAATTTTCAGACAATAATTAAATTTTACGGAACTAAAAATAATTTATCAAATATTTTTTTTATTCACCTTTTTTAAAAGTAATTGAATTTTCAAAGATTTACAATTGAGATTTTTGAAATGAATTAAACTTCAAGTGATCTTTAATAAAAATTTTTTGATGATTTCACTAAAAAATTTATTAGAAATTGCGGACAAAAATACAATAATTTGAAAACCCTTTTTAATTGAAAAATGGTTTCAGATAATTGAATTTTCAAAGAATAGTATAAAAATAGTTAAAAATAATTGAATTTCCTTAGAGTTATAATTAAAATTATAAAATTTCAAAAATTTTTAGAAATAATTAAATTTTAGATGCTTTCAAATTCAAATTTTAGAAAATAATTGAAATTTTGGATAATAATTCAATATTGTAGATGATTATTGATTGAAAATTTTGATAATAATTAATTTTGAATTGAAATTTTTAAAAATAATTGAATTGTAGTTGATTTTAAATTGAAAATTTTGAAAATAATTGAATTTTAGTTAATTTTAAATTGAAATTATGGGTAATAATTGAATTTTATTTGATTTGAAATTGAAAATTTGGAAAATAATTGAATTTTAGAAGATTTTGAATTTAAATTTTGGAAAATAATTGAATTTCAATTGAAATTTTGCATAATTCAATTTTAGTTGATTTTTGATTGAAAATTTTGATAATAATTAATTTTGAATTGAAATATTGAAAATAATTGAATTTTATTTGATTTGAAATTGAAAATTTGGAAAATAATTGAATTTTAGTTGATTTTTAATTTAAAATTTTGAAAATAATTGAATTTTTCCAATTATTTTGGGAAATAATTGAATTTTAATTGAAATTTTGGATAATAATTTAATTTTAATTGATTTTTGATTGAAAATTTTGATAATATTTAATTTTAAATTGAAATTTTTTAAAAATAATTGAATTTTATTTGATATTGAATTGATTTATGATTTTAAATTAAAATTTTTTGGTTTTTTTATTTTTCATAAAAAAATTTTAATTGGAAAATAATTTGAAATAATTGAATTTGTGATGAATTTCATTAAAATTATTAAAAATAATTAATTTAGTGAAGAATTTTAGTTAAAAATTTGTTAAATAATTGAAATAAAGAAAATCTGAAGATCTGCATTTTATACTAAAAAAAATATATTTTATTTATAATTTTTTTTTTTAAATGTAAAAAAAAGTCGAAACAGTCGCATTTTATTAAAATAAGTCGAAAAAAGTCGTAGTTTTGAAAAAAAAGTCTGAAATAGTCGAAAAAGTCGTATAATCCGAGGCCTGAAATTATAGATTATTATTATTATACTATAAAATTATTACAATTTTAATTTTAGAAAATTATATAATTTTTAATATATTTAATATCTTTATATATTCGTAAATTAACATTCTTTTTATTTTCATGAGAACAATTTGTTAAATAATTATTTTAAAATACTTGAAAATAGTTCAAAAATGTTAGGTTAGGAGTGTCGGATTTTTTTTTTAGCAATTTTTATGCCTTTTATTATATCTACATTTTCCCACTTCACAACCATTGTTTACCATATTTTAAATTTCTCCACAAAATTTCAACTCAATCCATTCAACATTTTACGAGAAAATTTACGGACAAATTAACATTACAGACCTAACAGTCACCTGACATTAACGAAAAGCAAAATTATTTGATTTCGAGTGACACGTGTTTCAAAAATATTTATACTCTACTATGTCAAAATTTTAAGAAAATTTAATAAAAATATTATTAAAATTTAACGGAATATTTATTGAATAAAGAGAATAGCAATTAAAATTCAATATTTACCATTTTTTTTTGTTTTTATAACTTCTTCACAGAAGAAGGAAAAAAATTATTTCCAGGAACACGTGCACACTATGGTTAACGGAAAATTTAAGAAGGCATGATCATGATCTTAGAAACTATTTATAAGGTTTCACAACGCACGCGCAGATTAAATAATAATCAACCAATAACAATCGTGATTTGCGTTAGCTATTTTCTTCAGTGATGGGTAGGTAACATACTTCACGTATATTACATGGTTTGTTACCGTATGTTACATACGTATGATATTTCAAAAATTTGTTACCTAATGCATTTTTCGGTAGTGGGGGGGTAACATACGTATTTTACCTCTGTAACAAACCATGTAACATACGTAGAAAACCTCTAGTTTGTTACATTTACCCATCCCTGATTTTCTTCATACATAGTCTATGACTAGATCAGAGCATTTGTTTTTTCTCGAAAAAATAAAATTTTCCAAAATATATGTTGACTTTTAGATTTGAAAAAACGATTTTTAATTACCGTTTTTTAAATAAAAGAAAGCTGTAAAAATTTTAGAGAATCAAAAATTTTTTCATTTTTTTTTTAATTTTTAGAGTTTTGTAGTTTTTTTTATAGGTTAGATTAGAAAAGACAAATAAAATTTTTTCTAACATTTTATTTGACTTTTCGAAAATTTGTGCATAAAGGTGTTTTTATACCATCTTGGTTTTTTTTAGCGAGCGATGCATTTTCACAGAGAATCACTAAATTTGATTGGCTCTATAAAGGTACGGTCACACCTCTTTTGGAAAAACTATTCTTGTCTTTCTCTCTCCTATGACAGAGGCATAAGTTTGTCTCACTCTGCATTTTCCGTTTTTGGAAAAAGTAATGGAGCATTTACATCTTCGGCAAAAAATTTTCATCACTTTGCATTTTCCGAAATACACTTACCTGATTGGTTGTCCACAATGAATCAGATTCTGGAAAACCAATCAGATAAGTGTATTTCGGAAAATGCAAAGTGGAGAAAATTTTTTATAGGTGTAAATGCTCCATAAGAAAATGCAGAGTGAAACTTATGCGTCTGTAATAATAAAAACAATATTCAATTTTCACAGTGGAAATGAAATGTTTGTCAGAGCCAATCAAATTAATACGTTTAGAAAAAAAAAGGATAAATAATAATTTTAACAGTTTTATAATAATTTTATTTACGTTTGGAAGAAATTATGATTATGTAATATAATAATTATTAAACGAATTTTTATGTTTTTTTTTTTGACATTATTTGTAAATTAGATCAAATGGCGTTTAATGCTAATTTTTGTAAAGAATAATTTAAAATTTCGCGCTCAAATAAAATCCACTATTTCGAGATATGAAACATAGAACGTAAACTCACATGATTAAAACATCTTGATTTCAGTGTCACATTTCGGACGCTCAACTCTATTTGAAATATTAATTATACCTACCCAACCCTGTATTGGGAAGCCCTTTTTAGGTAAATTAATTTTTTTTGAATCTCGTTCATTATCCACCAGGTGTCAGATAAACTTCTATTTTGCATCATCTGTCACGTATGGCAATAATTGTAGTCGGTAAATGCGTAAACGCCATATCAGTCAATAATTGATATCAAAATATCGTATAGAGTATATTTAAATTTCTTTAATATTTTCCTTTTATCAAAACGCTACTAATTGTTAATAATTTATGATTTGGAGATAAAATTTAGTGTTAAAAAAAATGGGTGAGTCAATTTATTTTAAAAAAAAAACTTTTTTTGTCTACGTGTTAAAAAAAAAAAAAAAAAAAATTACCCGGCATGAAATTATACAGCACAACGATATTAAATTTCCACTTTCACTCGGAGATTCCTTTTTTTCTCTATTGAAAAAAAAAATGTCATTGTAAAAAAAAATCAATTTATTTACAGGAGGTGTATTTAGTTATTTTCGCAATTTACTCGGCAGTCGGGAAATGCGAATTTTAATTTTAGGTTTGGACGGAGCTGGAAAAACGACAATTTTATACAGGTTTTTCATTCTTTATTTCTTTTACTCTCTCTCTTTCTCTCTCTCTATGTGTATATATTTTGTAAATCTGTGTCAACCTCATTTTTTTTCCTAATTACTTTCTGATAAGAGAATACGATATTATACGAATCATAATTATTTTTTTTTCAAAATATTTACAATTTTTTTTTCGAAAGTGAAAATAGATTTTCGAAATTTCGAGGTTAGAATTTTTTTATATTTTTCTCTGGCAATGGATTTTTTTTTCTTATGAATTTGTGTTTTTAAACATAAATTAAAAGTTTTTATAATTTGAAATTAATTTTTATTTAGATAGAAATTTTAAAAAAAAAAATATTTTGTTCTCTTTAATGTTAAGAAAAAATAGTTTTTTATTTCGACTAAAAAATTAAATTCGAAAGTCACAGAAAGTTTTCGAATATTTTAAAATAAAAAAAATATTATTATTTTATTATTTTTAATATTATGAAAATAAAAATATAAATGTTGATTATTTTTATATTAAATTTATTATTGATTTTTTGCTAATTAGAAGTTTTATTAAAAAAAAAAATAAAGTACTTTACTTTTATAAGAGTAGATAATAGAAAAATATGTGAAAAATTTAATATAATATAATTTTTAGGTTACAAGTTGGAGAAGTTGTGACAACAATTCCTACAATAGGTTTTAATGTAGAACAAGTAACATATAAAAATTTAAAATTTCAAGTATGGGACCTTGGAGGACAAACTAGCATAAGGTAAAAATTATTAAAACAAAAATTAATTTATTATCATTTTTTAGTTTAGGCCAGAAATCCAAATTTTGAAATTAAAGATTAGAAAAAATTCCCTTTTTCAATTATATGTATTAATTAATTATCTCGGCGTTTCGATAATATTAATAATTAATTAATTTCGATAATAATTAATAAATATGATTGAAAAAAGGAATTTTTTCTAATCTTTAATTTCAAAATTTGGATTTCTGGCCTAAACTAAAAAAACTGATAATATATATCTAAATCTAAAAAAATAAAATTTCTTCAAAAATTATTTTCTTTCAAAAAAAAAAAGAGAAAAAGAATAATAAAATTTTTAAAAAATCATTAATATTTGATAAAAAAAATTTGTATTTTTAAAAATATAATTAACATAATTTAATAATAATTAAAAATAATTAACATAATATAATAAACATAAATTACTCAATTTCAAGATACAAAAATATTAATCTAAATTTTATTTAATTAGATTTATGGAAATTTTTATATTTTTTATTATCTTGGAGAGTTTCAATTTACTTTTTAAACATTATTGAGAATTTAAAATTACAAGTTTTATTGTAAAAAATTTAAAAAAAACATTTTTTTTTCTATAGAAATTATTAAATTTTATTAAAAATTATAAAATTAATAGGAATTTTTTGTTTTTGAAAAAATTTTAATTTTTTTTTTTCTATAAATTTACAAATTTACATTATAATATTTATTGATTGCTTTTTTCGAAAAACTATTTTACATTTAGAAACAATTAAAAATAATCTATGAAATAGATATTTCACTAGAAATTTTTATAATTAAATGACGATTTTTTATTTTTTAAGAAATTAAAATTTTTTACTTCCTCTGTTTGTTTTAAATTCTTAAATTCAATTATAATGGTAATTGAAATTAATTATTAATAATTAATTTATTAATTAACGGGAATTTAGAATTAAATAAAATAATTTGTATTTAAAAAATTCATTTTTTATTTTATATTTTCTAGACCTTATTGGAGATGTTATTATTCAAATACAGACGCAATTATTTATGTTGTCGATTCCGCCGACAGAGATAGAATAGGAATATCAAAAGACGAATTACTTTATATGTTGAGGGTAAGTAGAAATTTTATTCTAAAAAAAATAAATATGTAAATATTATTTCAATTAAGAAATTTTTAATTATTTTTCTATTCATTTTTTTTTTACAAAATTTTTAAACAAACTACGTTTTTTTAGTATATAATGCAAATCTTCTTTAGATCTTCTTTATTTCAATTATTTAACAAATTTTTAACTAAAATTCGTCGCAAAATTAATTATTTTTAATAATTTTAATGAAATTCTTCACAAATTCAATTATCTTAAACTATTTTTCAATTAAAATTTTTATTTTAATATATGTTTATAATTTTTAAAAAAATTAGCAAATAAGATAACCAAAAATTTTTAATTCAAAATCACTTGAAATTTAGTTATTTGCAAAAATTTCAATTATTTTTAATGATTTTTATAATATTCTTCAAAAATGCAATTATCTGAAAGCATTTTTCAATTAAAAACTTTTGGAATTCAATTTTTTTAAATATTATTTCTAATAAATTCTTCATCAACAAAAATTACTAAAAAAAAAATTTCTTATAAAAAAATAATTGTCTAAAATTTAACACAATCTTTTGAAATTCAGTTATTATCAAAAATTTCAATTTAAAAGTTTCTAAAATTTAATTATTTCTAAATTTCTCTCCATTTAAAATTTTTTGAAATTTAATAATTTCAATTATAACTCTCCTAATATTCAATTACTTGTAATGATTTTTATAATATTCTTCGAAAATTCAACTATCTAAACTCATTTTTCACTTAAAATGTTTTCAAATTATTGTATTTTTGTTTGCAATTTTTAATAAATTTTTTAGTGAAATCATCAAAAAAATTTTAATTAAAAATCACTTGAAGTTCAATTAATTTCAAAAATTAAAATTTTAAATCTTTGAAAATTCAATTATTTTTAAAAAAATTGTATTTAAAATTATTTCATAAATTGCTTTTTAGTTCTGTAAAATTTAATTATTGTCTGAAAATTAACAAAATCCTTTGTAATTCAATTATTTCTAATATTTTCAACTTTAAACTCTTCCAAAATTATTATTTAAAAAAAATTTTTATTTAAAAATCGGTAAAACTTGATTCAGTATTGCCAGAAATTTTTTTGACCATCAAAATAAAAAATTATGACAAAATTTTTGCTTAAAATTTGCTTAAATAAAATTTCAAAAAATTATAAAAATGGAACTTTAAGAATTTTTTTTAGAAATTTTGTACAAAACAAAATAAAATTTTGAAAATTTATCTTACAATTAGTTCGATTTTGAAATATTTGAAATAAATTTTCTTGATAATATTTTTATACAATTATTCTCATTACAGAATTAATCAAATGAATTTAATCTCTAAAAACATTAGTTTTTTAAAGTAAAATATTTATTAACCAATTAAATTTTGTTAAAATAAAAATAATCGACTTTTTTTTAAATATAATTCGACTAAAACGATTCTTTTTGTCCCTTAAAGTCAATATCCGAGGCCTGATAATAATAAAATAATAAAATGAAAAATAATAATTTATTCATCGACAATTTTTATTTTGCACAGGAGGACGAGTTGCAAAATGCAATTTTAGTAGTACTAGCAAATAAACAAGACATGCCTGGCTGTTTAACAGTAGCCGAAGTTCATCAAGCGCTTGGACTTGACGCATTAAAAAATAGGACTTTCCAAATTTTCAAAACATCAGCAAAAAAAGGCGAAGGACTCGATCCAGCCATGGATTGGCTTTCGAATGCACTTCAAGCTAGAAAATGAAGAAAATACTTTTAAAAAAAAGCAAAAAGAAAAAAAAAGAACGATTATATTGAAAACGTTTCGAGTCGAATAACTTCCATCAAGAAAAAAAAAATATGCAATCCGACTAGTCACGTGACTATCATTTATTACATTAAAAAGAATTAAAATTTTTATACGCGATAACACAAGAGACTTTTATAATAATATATATTGCGTGACAAATGGTAAATCGCCTTATACTCACGAGATTCAATAAGATTCCATTTTTTTTTTTAATTTTATTTTTATCATCGCGATCAATAATTTTAATTCTATTCATTTTTTCTTTTCACTATTTTGAAAAAAAGAGAAAAGGAAGTAAAAACAAAAACTAATTCGAGAATAATTTTATTCTTGTTTGCATCAATAGAAAAAGAAAAATTCACTTTCAAAGGATGAAATTGTCTTTTTTTCTCCTATTTTGAGGGAGGAAAAAATTTTCTATTTATTCTATGAAAAAAAAAACAATCGTTTTTATATCAAGATATTGAGAAAAATAGACAAATTTTTCCCAATGAAATTTTACTAAATGAATTAATATCACTAGAATTTTTTTTAATTCATCATGATGAAAAATGTTAATTTTTCTTGTTTTTCGTAGAAAAATATTTAATTTATTAGTTTAGGAAAAAAAAATAGAAAAAATAGAAATTTTTTCATTGCACGGAAATTCAAAACCCTAAAGAAATAAATGAAAACAAAAATTGTAAATTGAAATCATTAAAAATTTTTTTTTTAACAATACCTTAAAAAAGCAATTTTTAGTTTTCTTTTTAAATTAATTAAATTTTCCAAACTATTGGAATTAAAAAATTTTTTTTTTTAAATATCTAAAATTACTTTTTATTAATTTTATTTATTCTAGAAAGAGAATAAGAAAAAAAATTTTTTTTCTTCCAAAAATCGTAAATAAATTTTACAAATAAATTAACCAAACATTTTTCTATTCAAATTTTTTTTACTGAAAACAAAATCAATGCCAAAAAAAAAGGGAAAAATTAATATTTTTCAACTGTAAATAGGAATATTACCTGAAATGAACATTCTCATAGAAAAAAAAGAAACAGAAAAAAAATAATAATAAAAAGAAAAAATTGTTATAACAATTTATTTAAGTAAATTATTATTTTTTAAACTTAATTTATAAAAAAAAAATATTTCCAATAATGATAAATAATTTTTATGTATTAACTTTTTTGACAAAACGCAACTAAAAGAAAGACAAAAAAAAAATTTTTTTTTTTAATATACAATTTTTTGACTATTTAGAAAAAAATATTAAAAACTTTAATTTCAACCTTAAAATCAAAGAATTCTTCTTCAATTTTATAAAATCTTTTCCCATAGGAAAAACAATTAGAAAAATTTCATTCTGTAAATTAAAAAAAAAAACAAATTATTTATACATATACATTATATAAAAAAAATAATGTTCAAGTACAATAATTAGAATTTAATTTTCAACAAAATCGAAAAAAAAAATTTTAATTCCTTTTATTTGTATTAGAATGTGCGTAGAATTGTAGAGTGCTTGCGACAGTACTACAGTTGTAATTGATGTGTTTTTTTTACCAGATTTTTCACCGCCAAAGAAATTTTCGCGATATGTGAAACTTTTTAAAGAGAAAAAAAAAAATTTAGATAGAAACTTTGTCACAGAAAAAAATTTTTTAATTTCATTTTTTAACTTTGTATACTTTTTAAAGAAGAAAAAAGGCGCGCACTTTTATTTTCCTTGCTCTTACGGATATATAGTATATTTCAAAAAAAAATGAAGATATTTTTTCACTTTGTGAAAAGAAACTAAAACAAAAAAAATGATACAAAATAATTCGGGGAGAGAAGGGACTATTGGGTGATTCAATAAAAAAAAAAAAAAAAAATGAAATACACACCACACAGGAGGAGACTTTTCAATTTAGGGATAAAATAATATTATTCACAATTTATTTGTAAATTATTGTTTATTATAGTAAAGAAAATAATTTTTAAACCAAATATTTTGTCTATAGATATTATTTTGCATTCCTCTTAAAAAGTTTGCAAGGAAAACGAAAAAAAAACCAAAAAAAAAAGGGAGAAAGAAAGTTTAATTAGCTGTAGTTAATTAAAAAAGGAGAAAAAAATAGTAAATTGAAATTGAAAATAATAAATATTAAATAAATAAAAAAAAATTATATCTACCTATTTTTTTGGTTTATTATACAAAAAAAAATTATTTTTAATTTTCATTTTTCTTCGTTAAAAATAAAATAAAAAAAATTTTTTATTTCTTCATGAAAATATAATTTTCCTTACAGAAATAAATGGTAATAATATTTTATCGATTTGTATCAATTCCCCCCCCCCCCCCCTCTATAATGGACAATAACAAGATTTTTATAGAAATAAAATTTTTTAAAAATTTTATTTTAAAAAAATTATTAATTTTTTTATTTATTTATAATCGAGTAATTTAAATTAATTTTTTAAATGAAAAATTAATTAAATCTAATTTTTTAGTTTGTTTAATTAATTATTATTAATTATTTTTATTATTATTATTATTATTATTATTATTATTATCAATTAATTTTTTAAACATTTTTTTTTTCTTGATTAAAATATTTAATTTTTATTAAAAATATTATAATTATTAAAAGTATTTAAATAATTATAATAAATATCAAAAATTGTTATTCAAAAATATTTTACTATAAAAATTATTAACTAATTAAAATTAAAATACTTAAAAAAAGACCGAGAAAATAAAAATTTTTGAAAAACTATTAAAAATTTACAGTGCTACTTCTTTACCGACTCAAAATGTACATAGAATAATTTGAGTCAGTGGTTGAATATATATATATATATAAATCGAATTCCACTTGTTTATTATATATATATATATATATATATATATATATATATATATATTTCTCTAAAAAAACGAACAGAAAAAAAAATCAATTATCAGTCACGTGTATGATTTCGGGGCGAGGTCTCAATGTGACAAAAAAAAATACAAGGTGAAAAGAAAACGAAAATATACTTGAATCATACATAATAAGAATAATAATAATAATAATAAGAAGAAGAAAAAAAAATTCAATATTTTATAAAGGGAAAAATTATTATATTGAATGGAGTCACGCGCGGCGCGGGAAAATGGCTCTTTACTCGCAATGCATTTTGGGTCGATAGAAGCAACTGATAGAAGCACCTGACAATCGACCAATCAAAATTAAGATATGGCAATTCGTGCTGGATACACACACAGGCGCTAAAGCGATCTTCAACCCGATCTTGCAAACTGAATTTTTCGGTGGTGTGTCCGGCAGACGTGTTAAAAAAATTCTCCCGAGTATAATTAAAACGTTTCTCATACGTGTTTCTTTCATTATTTGAAATATTGTGAAACAAAAAAAAGAAAATAAAACATCACCAATTTGATAAATTAAACGAATTTTCGTAGTGTATTTCAAAAAAAAAAAAAAGGAAAATCAAAAAAAAAATATAGTGTGTGTGTGTGAGAATTATCCAAAGGAAAAAATAGGTAAGTCACATAAAAACATTTTTTTCAGTCCTTAAAACTGCGAGACGATTTTTTTTCTCATTCTCTCTTTCTCTCTCGATTTCCGCCGGTGTAACACGAGAGAGATATAACAGAAATGACACATACATCGATGTTCATTGCGATTTCGTGACTTTTTTTTTCTTTTTCCTTTTTTTTTTTTAATACATCAAATAATCTTAATACACCAGAAAAGAGTTGGCCTGCAGGATTATTCGACCTAGATATTCTAAGATAGCGTGTTCACTTATTTCTATTTTTACGTGTTGCCCTTATCGACAAAACACAGCGTCCTCGGGGGGGCCGTGTTTCGTCGCGAATCTTTTTTTTTCTCTTGCCATTCAATTTTCTTCGTAAAAGAGAAGATAGAAAAAAACGCGTTTTTCTCTCCTTCCTCCCACTTAACATATCTCATTCCTTGTGAAGCCTTTTTTATTTTAGAGATCGTCATTTTAAAGGTACATATATATATATATATATATCTAGAGAGAAAGAAAAAAAAAAACGAAACTCACCGGGATAAAAGTCGCGACCTTGTGTGACATGCTGGATGTGAATTTACGGGCAACTGTGAAAATTACACGTCTGCCTTTCGACAGGTTCGTTAAAAGGAAAAGAAAACGACTTTTTTTTTCTCGCGAAATTTTTCCCGCCTAATTTATCGTTTTTTTTCTCCCCTCCCACTAATTTCCTTTCCAATTTTGTAGCTATGTGAATTTTTTGTCATCGCTATATATATATATAGATGTATATGTAATCGTATTACCGGTCTTGCCATTTTTTTCCCGGAATCTTTCTCTTTGGAGAGTAAATTTTTCTTCAATGATTAAAAGCATGGTGAGGGGTGGGGGGGAGGGAACTTACCCTTTTTTTTAATCGGATTTTTTTCTTTTATAATTAAAAATTTATTGTACGTTTATAATATATTAATTCTTGTATTTTTAACTCTCTCCAGGATTTACAGTCGATTTCTTAATAAATGACCACGAATGCGTGGGAAGTAGAAAACGAATACATTTTTTTTTTCTTTTTTTAAATATTTTCATTTTTATACACACGGATGAATTGAGATTTTTTTTTTATTTTTACTTTCTATTCAAATTATTATCGAATATTTCATTCACTCGGTTAATAATTCATAATTGGGCGGGAAACTCAATTTCTCGTGAATTTATTTCTTTTTTTTTTATTATTATTACTAGTACTACTACTACTACTACTATTATTATTATTATTATTACTAGTATTATTATTATTATTATTATTATTTATTTATATTTTTAATTTATTCATTTTTTTTATTGAAAAAATTAAAATAATAATTAATAAAAATTAAAAAAAAATAATTGAGTTAATTTGAAAAAAGGTTTTTAAACATTTTTATTTTTCGTACTTTCAACTATTAAAAATTGCCATTGGCTAAAGATTATAAAAAAATTTTCTTCAGATTAAAAACCGATTCGAGTAACATAACCTAGAAATTTTTTTTTTTATCGTTTTTTAACCTTTATCCCAGTGATAATTTTTAATGTTTCGAAGTGGAAAAAATAAAATATATTAATTTCATTCAAAAAAAACTTTTTGCTTATTTTGAGTTAAAAAAAATAGAAAGCCATCAAAACATAACCTAAAATTTAATTTTCTCTCTTCAATTGAATTTAAATTCTTTTTCAAACTAATTTGATTGGACTAATGATGATAATAGCTGTCATAAGGAATACTTTTGTCATAATTATACTTATTATGAATCTGAAGTTATAATATTGATTGAATCATTATAGAATGTCGGAAACTTGTTACAAAGAGATTTCTAGGGACGTTAATTGCAAATATATAATGTTTCTTTTATATGAAATAGATATTCTAAATGTTGGATACAATAATGATAGATGTAAATTTTTAAATTCAAATAGATTTCCTTAAAAAAAAAGGTTCAAATAAAAAAAATAAAAATTAGAACAAATTTTAAAACCTCGTAACAAACGAATAGTAAAACTTATTTAATAAGATGGAAAAGTTGTTGATCAGGAACTCATATTTAGTGAAAGATGTTACATTTTTTTATTCGTCTAATCCATACAATTTTTAATCGATAAAAATTGACAACACGCTAAGCTTATTCGCTCTGAGAGACGCAGAGCCACCTCAGAGCAATAATACTGCCAAATCAAAATATAATATAGAAATAAAATTAAAAATAAAACAAAAATAAATAAAATAATTCATTTGACAATTTCAAATTCACAGAATTAAGAGCAGAAAACTAACCTCAAAACAACACACATGTCAATTTTTCAAACGTTAAATAAAAATACATTTAATATATAAAATTATAAAAACAAAACACAGTTATTAGCACTAAATTAATGTTTAAAAAAAAAAATTTAGATTGGTAATAACAAAAAACAAAAGAACGTTTACTTCAATAAAATGTATAAAAACGATTCTAACGGAAATAGAACATTACGAATAATATGTGACGCCGCACGAGAAAAGGTACCTATCCCCGAAATAACATTAGGCTCAGTTTTCCGTGCACTATACACGGAAAACTAAGCCTAATGTTATTTTGGGGATAGGTACCTTTTCTCGTGCGGCGTCACATATAATTAATCATAAAATATAAAATATATAATAAAAATAGTAAATAGAATAATACTAAAAATAAAAAAAATAATAAAAATGATGATATCGATCACTCCGAGTCAAGATTAAAATGAATAAAAAAAACTATTTACGTTTCAACGACACAGTCGTCCTTTTCAGAAACTGGAATTTTATTATAGATATAGGATACAAAATTGAAACAAAAATGACTTATAAACAATTTTTAAATACACTTTACCTTAAAAATAATTAACATTTTTTTTCAAGAAAAAATTTAAATTTTATTATAAAAAAAATAATAACTATATTAAAATTATCATTAATTTATTACACTTAAATAGAAAAAAATTTATTTGATTCAAATACTCGACTACTTGACTTATTATCAAATAAATATTTATTTGTGTATCAAATAATTTTTATTTGAATTAAATAAATTGTATTTGAACCAATAAATTTGGAACAAATACGCAATTTAATTGACTCAAATAATAATTATTTGATATACAAATAAATATTTATTTGATAATAAGTCAAGTAGTCGAGTATTTGAATCAAATAAATTTTTTTTTTTTTCAGTGTAACTTTTCATTAATGCGAATATTTTAATTAGGGTAAATGTCACCAATTACTGTGATGTACAACCCAAGACCGACTTTAATGATAAAATAATAAAATTGTGTAAATGAAATAATGATTTAATTCTTTTTGTTAAATCACTATTAGTGTCTATTAAAATAGAAAACGATACTTTAAACTTGAAGAAATAACAAATATATTATTAAAAATATTAACTTTTTTAAAATATGGCATATGCTGGTATTACTGCAATTTTGCATGAATTACTGCGAATGGTGTGCACCATAATTACTGCAACGCTAAAAGTGTTGATTTAGAGGTTAGGTTGACTGGATAGATAATAGTAATAGCAGAATGCGAAAAATATACACTGTAAAAAAAATTTTGTGTCGATTTACACGCCGAATGTAAAATAACTTATTCATCAATGTTAATTTATTATGCTTTGTAAATTTATAACGTTAAATATTTTAATTTTACACTGCTGAACGTTATGAATTCACACGGTTGTGTAATTTTACAATGTTGGACATTGGAAAGTATGGCCACGTATGGCCAACATTGTCAAATTACACAACTGTGTGAATTCACAACGTTCAGCAGTGTAAAATTAAAATGTTTAACGTTATAAATTTACAAAGCATAATAAATTAACATTGTTGAATAAGTTATTTTACATTCGGCGTGTAAATCGACACAAAATTTTTTTTACAGTGTATACGCATGCTCTAATTACTGTGATAGGTTCAATTGTAACTTGAATAAATAATTTGATAATAGCCCGAGTAGAAATCCCCAATATATACCTAAAATGATAATTGGCCCTAAGCTGGTCCTAACTTGGCAGAAAATGTTAATATTTCCTAATTTGGTCCTAACTTGGTCCTGCTTTTACAAGACATTTTAGTAATATCGGAGTATTTTGGCATTATTAATTATAATTAATAATAATATAATTATAATAATAAAATAATAATAAAAAAATAAAAATATACCATAGTTTTTTAAAAATTTTAATTAATTATTAATTAAATTTATATTAAACAAAATGAGAAAGGTTACATTTCATTTGAATTTTTTTGCCCCTACTTTTTCTACCCTAGCAGACGAAACGGACGAAACTATAAGCAGAAGTTATTTAGAGGTTAAGTTCTTGTGTAAAAAGTGCAATGTAATTCTGCTTGTTTATTGATTTATTATTATTATTATTTATTATTATTGATTACATTTTTTATTTTTATTATATACACCCAGAAAAAAGGGATTGTTTATTTGAAAAAGTCAGTTGCTAACAAAAAGTTTTTCTAAAATTTACATAAAGTTTCTTTGATTGAAATAAGTTGGAAAATTTAAAAGAATAAAAATTTCAATTAAAGAAGTTTCAATACTAATATAAAATCAAAAAAAATTTCTTTGATTAAAAAAATTAAAATTTTTCTAAAACAAAGATAATTTTTTTCAAAGAAACTTTGTATAATTAAAAAAAAAAGATTTTATATCGAAGAGAACTAAAGTGGAAGAAACTGATTTATTTAAATCATAGGGTGCAAGCTAAACCTTTGTAAAAGTCCAGTTATATTTAAATGTTTATTTTTTTAAAAAATCTACGAATATTTGATTGTTAATACATTATTTATGTACATACATGGTAATATATATTATATATGCGTAAAGAAACAAAGATTTTATAAGTAAGTTTTTGTATATATGTATGTACTAAAAGTAAGCAAATATATTAATTTCAATATAAAATACAAAATTATGTTATCAAAATTTATTAACAAATAATTAATTCTATTAAAATTATGTGAATTTTAAAAAAGCTGGTCCTATCTAGGACCTAAAAAGGACCCTTATATTGGTCCTAAATAGGCACCCAAATTAGGACCAGGCTAAAATCGCATCACCAACCATTTTAGGACCAAGTTAGACTGCCAAGATAGGACCTAGATAATAAAACGGCAAACTAGATAGGACCAAGTTAGGACCATTTTTCAATTTCCACACGGGTAGTCGAAATATGCATCATTAGTGGATATAATATCAAATATCATTTGGAATATAAGTTTTAAAGTAATTTTGAAACAGTTTTATGTTCTCAATTAAGGCCTAAGCAGAATAGATTCTTGAACGGGAACGCAATCGTAAACGGAAACGTAAGAATGTGTAAGAGAAGGATAGCAAATATCTTTATTCTTCTCTCACCCATTCTTACGTTTCCGTTCACGATTGCGTTCCCGTTCAAGAATCTATTCTGCTTAGGCCTTTACTAAGTTTTACTAATTTTTATAAAAATCGCAGTAATTGGCGCATCAGCAGTAATTCATACACTTACCCTATGTATAAATTATTTTTAAACCATTTTTATTTTTTTTGATATTTCCGTGTTCCGTGAAGGCAGATTTGTATAAGTTATTATTTATAAATATTTATTCCTGAAAATGTAGATTTTTTTAATTTGTTTGTTTTTGACTCCAAACTCTGTAATTTCTTCAATGTGGACTTTAATTATTATTTAAAAACTTTGACGTTTTATTTATACAACTTTTTAATTCTCGACTTCCTGAAGAGGAAATCAGATTTCAAAATAAGTGAAATAAAACTAATTGTCCGAATGTTTTGGTTTATTTTTATATTTCACTTTTGTTAAAAAAATAATATATAATTAATTTTCACAGCAAAATTTGGATTTATAGATAAAAATTTTTTTTTTATGCAAATCGATTAGGAAAAATTTCATATGTTATTTAAGATGATACATTACCACATTTAACACTTTCTTTTCTTGTGTATTTATAATATATATTACTTATATATACTCAACTGGTTAATAGCATTCAGCTTACAAGTTATGTAATTATATATTTGACGTCTAAACTATTATTATGCAATAGTAGTTCCTTTTTTTCACATTACAGAACTTGAACTAAATTTTCTTTTTTCCACTATTAATTTAATTGGGCTTTTTTTTGTAAAAATTGGTGCTAAAGAGATTTGGGTTAATATTTCCTTAGAATCTTTAAGAATTAAAAAAAAATGATCTAATTTCTCCATACAAAAAAAATGTTATATCAAAATGATACTATTAGCTTACAAAACTCACAATTTTTACGAAGCTGAAGTACGCAACGTTTATATATAAACGATTTTTAAAGAAATAATTTTTTAAAATGAAAAATTCTATAATTTTTTGTCTAAAAAATATTCTTTTTATAATTTGTTGATTAATGAAAACTACAACACGGAGAAAAATGGAAAAACGAATAAAGTAACTTTTACTACTTTAAAAGTAAAATTGGACCTGTCCGAAGTTTCTGCGCATCTCTGGCAACTTTTACTCGAAAAATAGTAAAATTGACTATTTCTGTAGTAAATTTTACTGTTTCCGTAGTAATTTTTACTATTTCTGAAGTAAATTTTACTATTTTTGGAGTAAAAGTTGCCAGAGATGCGCAGAAACTTCGGACAGGTCCAATTTTACTTTTAAAGTAGTAAAAGTTACTTTTTCTTTTTTTCCGTGAAGAAATATTTTTTTAGGCAAAAAATTATAGAATTTTTCATATTAAAAAATTATTTCTTTAAAAATCATTTAATTTAAAAATCGTTAATTTAATCAGTGGATTTGAATTCTTTTTGCCTACATATTCAATAAAAAAAAATTTTTTAATATAAATTTATAATTAAATATTCAAATAGCTAAAATTATTATAATATCGAAATATCGATTTTAATAAATCTTAATATAGATTATATAAGTTAGAATATATTAATTTTTAATAGCAATGATAAAAATACATATTGTTTTTTTTTAAATTTACTTTAGTTATTAAATAATAAAAGTTTATATTTTTTAATAATTTAAAAAAAATTTGAAAGAAATTTAAAGAATATTTTTCAAAATTTAATTTGATTCGTTGAGTAGTTTAGAAATTTAGTTCTGAAAAATGTGGGTCTCACAGACCCAGTTTGCAATTCTAGGATTAAACCTCAAAATATAATAAAACAAAATCGTTCTTATAATGTTCAAATTTTATTTTTTAAACATAATTTTTTTTTCTGCAATCACAAACTTCTATTATTTAATTCAAAAAAAAAAAATTCCAATTTAAAAATATATTATTTGAAAAATTATTTTTCAAGGTAGAATGTGAGAAATGAATTTTTAAAAATAGAAAAAAAACGAATTGAAATGGTTCCTTTAATGTGGCAATATTTCCGAAAATCACGAGAAGGATATTAATAACTTTTTTCCAATAAAATTCACTCCGCAAAGCGAACGAGTAAAATTCAATTTTGCCCTTTTATGTTTTCACTGTAAATTCATTAAAAAAAAAAACACACACACACATATTTTAAAATATCTCATTTTATATTAATGGATATTTTAATTAGTTTAAGGTCAATGTTTACAACCCTTTATGAACTTTTATCTTTTTTTTTTTCTTTATGTAAAATTAATTTGTGACCTTTAAGCCACATGTGCGGATTTTTATTGAATTAAGGTTTTAGTCAGTAGGCCTTATTAATAAACTGAAAATTTCAATATATTGAAGGTCACTTCGACGTTTTGTCATTATCTTTCGATTTTATCTTTCGGTTCTTCTTTGAAAATCGAAATCAAAAAAAAAATAATTTTTTTTCTTATCTTTAATTTGATAAATATGTATAATTTATAATTATTAGAATTGTTCATATATATTTTTTTTTTTTTATAAATATTAAATGTGTATTTAAAAAAAATTGTTTTAAATTATGATTTATTTTCTTAATTATAAACAGTGAATATTTTTTATATACTCATTTAAAAATTTAATAAACTTTAGAAAAGTAATTTTTAAAATCAAAAGTCAAGTGTTTACCTAGCAATTAAGAATTTATTTCATTAATATTCTCGACTAAGAAATTGTAATTTAAATAAATATTCCTTTTTGCTAAATTAGGAAACACATTTGTTGCAATAGAGAATAAATTAAAAGTTAAAAAAAAAGTTTTAATGAAAACAAATTTTTTTAATTTCACATTTCAATTATTTGTGTACTAATTCATGCAACAAGTTTAATTACAAAACTAGTAAAAATCAAAAATTTATTTAAATAAGAGATAATTAATTTGCTTGAAAGTCCTAATTTGTAAATTTAATTATCATTTTATCGAGAAAAACTTTTAGTTCCATTGCACTTATTTTAATTTGATTTTTTTTAAATTTTATGTCTATAGTAATAGTAACATTAATAATAAAATAATACTCATTTAATATTTTTGTAATTATTATTATTATTATTATTATTATTGGCGTTGTTATCAGCATTAAAATGATTGAAATAGTAAAAATAATTAAATGTTTTCAGAAAAAGCAACATGTCTGACCGAAAAGCAGTGATTAAAAATGCTGATATGTCTGAGGAGATGCAACAAGATGCTGTAGATTGTGCAACTCAAGCATTGGAGAAATACAATATTGAAAAGGTATATAATTTTTTTTTTTTTACTGTTTAAAGATACTTAAAAATATTTTTATTTAACTGAATTCTTATTTAACAGAATTTTTTATTTCGCTGAATTTTTATAAATTAAATTCTCTAGAAAAATTTTAATTTAATACAATTTCTGGTTTAATTTAATTCAAATAAATTTTCAGTTAATATAATTGTCATTTAAAATTGGAATTTTCTAATTAGTTGGAGATTTTTTTGTAGTGAGAAATTTCATTGAAAATTCATTTAATCGAACTTTCATTCTGCTCAATATGAATTTAGAGTTAAATTAAAGAAGTAAAAAGGAGCTAAGAAATGTTATAAGAGATTTGAGATAGTATTGACAAATTTGGAAAATAGAGAAACGAAAGAAGATTTAATGATGATTGGAAAAAGAGAATATGGTTGTTTGATATGTTAGTAAATTAAAAAAAGGAAGTTAGTTTCTAACTTTCAGCGGGACTCTACACTGAAAAAATTTTGGTCCAGCAGTTACCCCAAACCAAAAATTTCTATATATTCAGTTAACTTCAATAAAAACTCATGGCAAAATGTTAAATATGAAGTTAATTGAATATGGAAATTTTTCGTTTCGAGCATTTGCTGTACCAAAATTTTTTCAGTGTATAAAAATCCCAACTTTTTGGGACAATTTGGGGAATAGAAGAACAAAAGTAGATTCAATGATGACTGGAAGAAGGTGGTATGGTTGTTATTGATGTGTTAGTAAACTAAAAAAGTGAAATAGATTTTAAATCCCGATGGGACTCTATAAAAGTCCCATTCTTTGGGATAATTTAGGGGATATAGAAACGAAAGAAGATTCAATGATGACTGGAAAAAGAGATTATGGTTGTTTGATATGTTAGTAAACTAATAAAGAAAGGGAGTTAATTTTTTTTTAACTTCCAATTGGATCCTATAAAAGTTCCTTTGTGACAAATTTTTAGAATAAAAGAACAAAAGAAGATTCAATGATGACTGGAAAAAGAGAGTATGGTTGTTTGATGTGTTAGTAAATTATTAAAAAAACGGAAAGTAGATTTTAACTCCCAACGGGAACTATAAAAGTTCCCATCCTTTTGGAGTTGAAGCAAAAGGAGTTAATAACGGAGTTAACTTTATGCCTAAGGAGTTAATCTAATGTTAACTGACATTTAGAGTTTGTTTTTAACTCCAAAAATTTTGCTACGAACTCCAGAAGGTAAACCAAAGTACTTTGAAAAGGTGACAAAATTTTTCCAAATGGAATTTAGTTGTACAGATTTAGAATGGATGGAGATATTAATGTAAATACCAGATAAAAAAAAAAGAAAGAGAAAAGAATTGAATTCAGAAATTAACGTGATTAATTTTTGTTTAGGATATTGCTGCATTTATCAAGAAGGAGTTCGATAAAAAATACAATCCCACGTGGCACTGTATCGTTGGACGCAACTTTGGCAGCTATGTAACGCACGAGACAAGACATTTTATCTATTTCTACCTTGGACAGGTAGCCATTCTTCTCTTCAAAAGCGGATAAATCAGTTTTTTCTCCCCCTAATCACTGTAACTATCCACTTCTTAAAAAGATTCCTTTCCATTCCCTCCTTTCCTCTCTCTCTCTTTCTCTCTCTCTCTCTTCTATATCTTTTTTCTCTTATTTTTCTTCTCCAAAACTGTCCCAGAAAAATAAGTAACATAAACTTTCTTTACCATGCCATCTATATATGAAATAAATTACGTTATGTGAATGCAACATGTGAAGTTATATACTTTCCATAAAAGGGAAGATGTGTCACGGTGCAAACGAATCCATGGTGGCAGCATTGTGGCGGTGTTCGATAAATTTCACGGGTTAAAAAAAAAGCTCTCTCTCTTTCTCTCTCTCTCTCTCTCTCAAAGCTTGCGAATATTTTTTTTTTTGTACATTATCCCCTGCCCCCCTTTTTTTTATTTGTTAATTGTTATTGTTCTAATTTAAAAAAAAAAAAAAAAATTAACGGTAATTTTAACAAGCTCTTCGAGATATGAACAGACTCTGGCGATGAAAAAAAAAAAAAAAAAAAAAAAAAATAGTGCAATTAAATAGTTTTTAGGAGCTTCGCCACTTTTTTTGCCACCGGAGGCACCGCGACCAAAAAAAAAATGAAATAAAAGAAATTCCGTAATGTTCGATGTACGATCTGTTGAACAATCTCCAAAGAAATTTTTTTTGTTTGGAGATTTTTTTTCATATTTTGTTTTGTAGGGGGACAGCTCTCGAAAATGACGATTTTAATCATTTTTTTTTTTTTTATTAATTCTTAATAAAAAAAAAATAGAGGTGAAATAATAATAATGGCAAAATTATAAATTACCCCCTTGTAAATTTAAAAAAAAAGTAAAGTCTTGACGATTTTAAATGATAAAAATTGACGCGGAAAATTTGTCATTTCGAGAGCTGTCCTTTATTATTTTTTTTTGTTTTTTTTTGTAAAGAACGAAAGTGAAACACTCCGATAGCCAGTTTTTGGGTTTTGGACGATCTTTCGTTTTTTAGGATAAGCTACGAAATATGAGAAAATAAAAAAAAAGAAAAGAAAACAGAAAAAAGTTGTGTAGACGAAAGCATTAGAATTTTTTTTATACTACGCACTAAATACTGTAAGTGTATAACGAACGAATACCAATCGTTGTAATACTAATATATTATTATTATTACTTAATTAATAATGTTAGAAAAAAAAAAAATGAAACTATTCGTTGAGATCGTTGTATTTTGTAAATCTGGAGTGGGACTTTGTTAACGCTTTACCTCAAGGCGATGCATACTTAAAAGAAACAAACAAACAAAGAAAAAAAAAAAAGTTTATTCAATTCTCACTCGTTCTGCCTGTCGTCGATTGTATTCGTCTTTTAATACTTCACGCTATGAATGCCACACAATCTTCTATACGTATAAAAAAAAAAAAAAAATTACTAGTACGCAAATTTATACACAAATTTCTTAACAAAAAAAAAAAAAAACAAACAAACAAATTTAGGCCCACGCCGAGGTCAATAATTATCGTGTTACTGTTTTTTAAAAACTTTATCTTAAAAAAGAAAAAGAAGAAAAAATATTGGTGAATGGGGGATTTAAAAACGAAGCTATTTTTCTTTTCTTTTAAATTTTTAATTTCAATGTGTTCCTTTTTTTGATTGTTGGTGTAATATGGCTTCGTTTGAATTTTCTGTTTGCTTTTCAATAAATAGCGGCAAAAAATTCTGAGAAGAATTTTTAAACTGCGTATAACATTACAATGGCGATCCAGCGTGTGGCTCTTTTTAAATTCTGTGGGGGTTTTTTGTTTTTTTTTCTCTCGATGATGATGATGAAACAATGAAAAAAAAAAAACTAAACAAACATAGCAAAATTCGTGTCCCTTTGCAAAATAAATTACTGAAAATTAAATACTGAGTTTTTTTATTTCCATTTTCCATTATTAATTTAATTTTAAAATTCAAGGTGTCCAACGGACTTTGAAAAATCCTAGAATTATTTTTCAACTTTGAAATTTTTTGAATTTTATAACAAAATCTTGAAAATTCTCAATTTTTCTTCAATTTCTCTTTTTATTCAAAAAATTTATAAAATTCTCGATTTTCCCTTTTTCCACACCATAAATATTTTTTTTAATTTAATTTTTCTTCATTTTTTAAAAAAATTCTTATAACTTTTTTATTTTTCAAATTCTCTTAATTTAAATTCCAAAAATTATCTATATTTCTTTTAATTTCTTCGACTTTTTATTTACTTAATTTTTTAATTTGCTTTCATTTTTCTAAAATTTTTGTTTTTCAAAATATTTTTTCCCTATTTTTATTTTTATTTTTTGAAAATATAAAAATTTTTTTTAGTGTTAGAAAATGGTACAAAATTATCAAATTTCCTGAAAAATACTCCTTTTATTTTGTGAATTTCTAAAATTAAAATTTACAAAAAAATTATTTACAAAAAGTATTATATTTTAAAAAAAGAATACATTTCTCTAGTAATTTTTTTCAAATTGGTTGAAAATATATTTATTGCACAAAACAGATAAAAAAAAATTTCAATTTTTGAAGATGCAAATTTATTATTAATAACAAAAAAAATTAGTGAAAAATATTTTCTATGAATTTTTTTTTTTTTTTTATTAGTAAATTCTTACAAAATTGTAAATTTAAAGCAAAAATAAAATTTTGTAAAAAAAATGTAATTTTACGATATAAAAGTGAAAACTTTTTTTTTATTCCTTTTAAATGAATTTTAATTAATATATTTAACAAACAAAGAAACAAAATTTAAATAATGAATTAGTTAAAAATCACAAAGCTGAAGTACGCAACGTTTATGATAAACGATTTTTAAAGAAATAATTTTTTAAAATGAAAAATTCTATAATTTTTTGCCTAAAATTTTTTTTTTTATAATTTTTTGATTAATGAAAACTACAAGAAATATTTTTTAGGGGAAAAATTATAGAATTTTTCATTTTCAAAAATTATTTCTTTAAAAATCGTTTATTATAAACGTTGCGTACTTCAGTTCGTAAAAATTAATCATTAAATCCACAAAAAATTTAAAATTATTTAATTGGCTTAACACCAAGTTTTCAATTTAAAATGAAATAAAATTCAATTATTTTCTAAAATTTCTATTCAAAATTAATTATCCTTTTCAATCAAAAATGAACTGAAATTAAATTATTATCCAAAATTTCAATTAAAATTCAATTATTTCCCAAAATTTTCAATTCAAAATGAACTGAAATTCAATTATTTTCCAAATTTAAAATCAAATAAAATTTTATTATTCTCAAAAATTTGAATTCAAAATTAATTGAATTTTCAATAATTTGAATTTAAAAGCATCTAAAATTTAATTATTTCTAAAATTTTCCATCGAAAATTTTTTATTTTTTGAAATTTAATAATTTCAATTATAACTCTAAGGAAATTCAATTATTTTTAACTATTTTAATAATATTCTTTGAAATTTCAACTATGTGAAACCATTTTTCAATTAAAAATGATTTTCAAATTATTGTATTTTGTCCGAATTTTCTAATAAATTTTTAGTGAAATCATCTAAAACTTTAATTACAAAACACTTAAAGTTTCAATTAATTTCAAAAATCTCAATTTTAAATCTTTGAAAATTCAATTAAATTTAAAAAATCTTTTCCAAAAATTTGTTTGATAAATTATTTTTAGTTCTGAAAAATTTAATAATTGTTTGAAAATTAACAATATCTTTTGAAATTTAATTATTTCTAAAAATTTCAACTTTAACCCTTCGAAAAGGATTATTATTAAAAAAAAATTTTTTATTTAAAAATCTGTAAAATATTTTTGTTATAATAAAAAACAAATCCACTTTTTTTTGGAATATAAATCGACTAAAACGACTTTTTGTGTCTTTAAGTTGATTCGAGGCCTGTGTTTTTATAATTAATATTTAATAGGTATTCGTTGGCCCCTGGTACCTTAAAAATTAATTTTGAAAAATAATTTTTTTTCAAATTACTATCTTGTACGAAATTTCCTGGCGCATCTTTTTTCTCATCATAAATTTTTTGTATTTGTATACAATTTTTAAATCAATATACAACTTTAAAACAAATTTCGTTGGTAAACGTTGTGTACTTCAGCTTCGTGAATTGGATTTTCGAATTTGGAATTTTAAAGAAACTTATTCCAAAATTTGGAAACACAATTATACAACTTTGGCAAAAATAAGAAAAAGAATTGTCAAAATTTGACACGTCATAAGATTACTATTCAAAAAAACACGTGAAATCAGAAAAGGCCAATTTCAAGTTAGGACAGAAGGACAGACCAAGCATTTTATTATTATATACCTAATTATAAAAAAATCATCTCAGGGTATTTATATAATTTTAACGATATAACATTTTATTAATTATTAATTATAAAAAATTGAGAAAATTTAATACTATTTACAAATTTTTAAATTTTAAATCCAGAATGAACAGCGACAATTCCGAATGTCCAATTTTTGTAGGTAACATGTCTAAATCCAGCATTTGATATCATTTCCTAAAAAAAAAATATATATATATATTTTAGAAAAATTCTTATAAATAAAAATACTAAACAAATTTTAATCTACAATTTTCTTTTTTTCTTTGATCATAAAGAAATCAATAAAAATTAAAAATACTATCCAAATACCTTAAAATCTTCTTGATTTGGAAATTTTCTAATGCTTTCGACTAAATATTGATAAGGTTGCCATTGATTAGCAATTAAAACTCCCATTGCGGGAATTACTTGAAAAGAATATTGATCGTAAACCCTGGAAACAAATTTTTAATTTCATTTACTTTTTTGTTTCCTAATTTTTCAAAGATATAAAAATTTTAAAGAAACATTTTTTAAATACACATTTAATATGAAGACGAGTTTAAAAAATTTTTCACTGCTTGAAAATTAAAAAAAAAAAGAATTTCAAAGAAATATTTCTTTAAATTTGCAAGTTAAAAAACAATTTTTTTTTTTTGAAGTTTTTCAATTTTATTTTATTTGAAGAATTTGAAAATTAAAAGAAAAAAATTATATTGAAAACTTTTATTTTGAGAAAAATCATTGTTTTAATTAGTTAAATAAAATTTGGTTTACCATTTTATCATATTATTGTTCACGTGACTAAATTCAAGGCACAAAAATCGACCTCCAGGTTGAAGAACACGATAAGCTTCTTCTAAAACCTAAAATTTTATTTACTACTTTTAATACAAAAGAGAGAAATTTTTTTTTGTAATTCCGTTTGCTTGTTAAATAAATAAAAAAGAATAACATTTTTTTTTTTTTCTTTTGCTCAACTACCTTGTCAATGTGTGTGACATTTCTTACTCCAAATGCAATTGTATAAGCGGAAAAAGAATCGTCATCAAATGGAAGTTTTTCAGCATTCGCTTCTTGCCATTGAATATTAAATCCATTTTCAATTGTCAATCCTTGTCTTTCGGCACGAATTTTACCCACTTCCAACATATTTGAATTAATATCGCAAACAGTCACGTGACTTTGGATATTCGATGGATTTTTAATATTTTTTAGATACTTGAGATAACGAAATGTAATGTCACCGGTTCCACCGGCGGAATCCAAAAGACGACATCCATGTGTTGGGGCTAATTCTTGAATAAAAAGATCCTTCCAAATTCGATGAATTCCCAAACTCATTACATCGTTCATATTGTCATAGGAATTGGCAACATTTTCAAATACCGAGTGAACTAAAATTTTTATAGTAAAACAGTAATTTTTTTTTGTCAATTTTTAAATTATTAATTATCTAGTCAATTACAGGCCTCGGATTATACGACTTTTTCTCATTTTTTTTTTTTTCAAAAATACGACTTTTTTCGACTTATTTCAATAAAATGTGACTTTTTCAACTTCTTTTCACATTTTTTAAACACAATTTTTAATTCAATTATTTGCAAAAATTCCAATTATTTTTAATAATTTTTATAATATTCTTCAAAAATTCAATTAGGTATCTGAAGGCATTTTTCAATTAAAAACTTTCGGAATTCAAATTTTTTATGCGATTTCTAATTAATAAATTCTTCATTAACATAAAATAACTAAAAATTTCTCTTATTAAAATTATTTTCTGAAATCAGGGTGTCCAGCGATCAGGGAATGTCAGGGAACTTTTTAAAAATTTGCCAAAAATAAACATTTTTATGAATTTTTGAAAATTTTTCGGTTCAAGAGAAAGTTTATAATCCTAATAAATAAAATGTTTTTTATTATCTTAAAAATACATTAATATTTGATACTTTTCATTTTTTTAATATTAAATATTTATTTAAAAAAAGTTCAATATCAATTGAATTTCAATTATTTTCAAAGTTTTCAATTTAAAATCAAATAAAATTAAATTATTTTCTGAAATTACAATTCAAAATCAATTATTTTCCAAAATTTCAATTCAAATAAACTAAAATTCAATTATTTTTCAAAATTTCAATTCAATATCAATTGAATTTCAATTATTTTCAAAGTTTTCAATTTAAAATAAAATAAAATTCAATTATTTTCCAAAATTTCAATTCAAAATCAACTAAAATTCAATTATTTTTCAAAATTTCAATTCAATATCAATTGAATTTCAATTATTTTCAAAGTTTTCAATTTAAAATCAAATAAAATTCAATTATTTTCCAAAATTTCAATTCAAAATCAACTAAAATTCAATTATTTTTCAAAATTTCAATTCAATATCAATTGAATTTCAATTATTTTCAAAGTTTTCAATTTAAAATCAAATAAAATTCAATTATTTTCCAAAATTTCAATTCAAAATCAACTAAAATTCAATTATTTTTCAAAATTTCAATTCAATATCAATTGAATTTCAATTATTTTCAAAGTTTTCAATTTAAAATCAAATAAAATTCAATTATTTTCCAAAATTTCAATTCAAAATCAACTAAAATTCAATTAGTTTTCAAAATTTCAATTCAAAATCAACTAAAATTCAATTATTTTTCAAAATTTCAGTTCAATATCAACTAAAATTCAATTATTTTAAAAATTTAAATTCAATATCAATTGAAATTTAATTATTTTCAAATTTTTAATTTAAAAGCTTCTAAAACTTTCTATCTAAAATTTTTTGAAATTTAATAATTTCAATTACAATTTTCCTTAAACTCAATTATTTTTTAATGATTTTTATAATATTCCTCGAAAATTCAACTATCTGAAACAATTTTTCACTTGAAAAGTTTTCAAATTATTATATTTTTGTCTGCAATATCCAATAATTTTTTTTAGTGAAATCATAAAAAATTTTAAATTAAAAATCACTTAAAGTTCAATTAATATTTCAAAAATCAGAATTATAAATCTTTGAAAATTCAATTAGTTTTAAAAAATTTTATCTAAAATTATTTGATAAATTATTTTTAGTTCTGTAAAAATTTAATTATTTTTTGAAAACTAATAAAATCTTTTGAAATTCAATTATTTCTAAAAATTTTAACTTTTACTCATTCCAAAATTATTCTTTGAAAAAAAAATTTTTTATTTAAAAATCTGTAAAACTTGATTGAGTACTGCCTGAAAATTTTTTGACCATCAAAACTAAAAATTATGACAAAATTTTTAATTCTAAATTCCTTAAATTAAATTTGAAAAAATTATAAAAATGTTACTTTAAGAATTTTTTTTTTTTTAGAAATTTGTTTTACTTATAAAATTTTGAAAATTTGCTTTACAATTAGTTCGATTCTGAAATATTCGAAATAAATTTTCTTTGGTAATATTTTTATAGAATTATTCTCATTACAAAATTAATGAAATGAATTTAATATCTAATAACATTAGTTATTTAAAGTAAAAATATTCATTAACCAATTAAATTTTGTTTAAATAAAAAAAAACGACTTTTTCGACTTTTTTTCAAATATAAATCGACTAAAACCCATTTTTTTGTGGCTTAAAGTTGATCCGAGGTCTGATAACAATAATTTATAATAATTGCAATTAATTTTGAATTTCGAAAAAACAAAGAAATCACAAAACAAAATTTAATTAAAAAATTAAAATTTATATTAAATTAAGAATTATTATTATTAATATTATTACTAAGTTAATTGTGAATATAATTTTCAAAAAAAAAACCCTGTCCTTATTTTAAGTAAGTAAATATAACGTGTGAAAAAAAATAAAAATTTACCTTTTTTGGTTTTTTCCTTGGCCGTAACAGTTTCAAAACCAAAATGAGTTGATTTATCGTCAGTTTCTAAATTTGGAATTTCATCGCCGACATGATTTTCTTTTGCATTTGTTTTTAAACCTCTGCTAAAAATTTTATTCCCTTGGAAAAATGTTCGAAAAACTCGTAAATTCCTCATAATTACAAAATATAAAAATAGTTTGAAGTTTTTTTTTTTTTTTTCTTTTTTTTTAAGGAAAATTACTCTATCGAAAGAAACATTGAAAAAGACAAAAGCTTTTATAAATATATAAATGACTAATTTAAATTTAATATTTATTTATTAATAAACATTTTTGACAGGAAAAATGACTGCGGCAAAAATTAACAAACAAATAAAATATCGTCTGCTACATGTGACAATTTCTTACATATTGTTAAACATAACCTTTAAAAAAAATATATAAACCGGTCTTCAACCATATCTAACCTAATTTTTAAAATTGTGTAGAGTAATGCTATCAATAATCAATTTAAAAACTAATTTATCAATAAATAAAAATAAATATTTAATGAATAAACTAATATATATATTATATATGTGAAAAAGTATAAATATTAATAATAGATAAAATTTTAAATAATTGTTAACAATATTTATTTTGCTTTTATTTACCTAATAAATATTTTTTTTTTATTATTATAATTTGATTAATTATATCAAAATTATTGTGAATTATTATTTAAAATTTAGCGCTTTTTTGTAATAGCAAAATGGCTAACGCAAGCCAGCAATCTCATTGGTTGATAATATTTTCACATATGGGCGCGCCGTCTGTCATTGGTAAAATTGACCGAGATGTGAATGCTCCCTTATGAGAATGTGAAATCATCATAAGGGCACGTTTAATGATGACGTAAAGTGCAAAATGTAAAGCGTTAGCCAATACGAATGTTTGGTCCAGCGGAAATCATTCTAATAGAGAGTTCTCATTGGTTCTCACTTTCGATTTTACGCCACCATGTGACAGACTCTTTAACTTTTTTTTTAGAACCACATTCTCAACCCTGCTCTGAAGAAAGGCAACAACTCAACCATGTTGCTTCTAAAATTTCTTTCCACTTCCTGGCAAAATATCAAGAAGTATGGTGAGTGTTATTTTCCTCAATTTTTTCTGTATTATTTGTTAATAAATTAAAAATCCATGTGAAATTTTTGTTCTAATATGAATTATTAATATTTTTACATTGTTTTTGCAAAAAATTTGTCAATTTTTTGTTTACTATCAAATAGTTTTTCGTGTTGAAACATGCTGGCTTAACCTAAAAATTCGAAACGTGCTTGGTAAATCAATACACGTCAATTTTGTTTAGTTTTTCAGTAATTTTCTTAAATATTCAATAAAAATGGTATTTTTTGTTAAAAAAAAGTATCATAATAGAAATTAACATTTAAAAAGTGAGTGTTCTTAAAGTTTAGTGTTGGAATTTTTTTTCATAATAGCAATTGATGCTAATTAGCAATTCTTTTTTTTTTTAGCGTTTGTTCAATGTCGTGTACATTTTTTTAAAGTGTTTTTGATAATATTTAGACTTTCTTTAGTTATCTTTCGATAAAATATTTGCTTTAAATTATGTTTTTTTGATTTTTGTTTAAAGAAAAAAAAAGTAATTTTTATTCCGCATCCAAATTCAAAGTTGCGTCGAAAAAAATAGTTTTGCATAAATGGAAGAAAATTTCTCAATTAGTGATTGTTTTCAAAAATTTATTTATTTAAATTAAATAGTAATACATTTTTTTTAGCGATTTCTGTGTTAAATTTAAATGAAGAAAAAAATTATTTTATTTTTTTTTTACTGAAAAATCATCTTTTTTTTAGTTATGTAATAAAAACTTCTTAAAGAAAATTTCACTTGCGATTTTTATAATTTATGTTTTTTTTTTTTTTTTATTAATGATGCAAAATTTTATTACCATAATTACTGTGATGGTAAAAACTGATTTAATGAGTCTGAAACAAAAATTTAGTGTAAAAAAATATTTTTCTTTCTAACTTGGGAAGTGTTGATAAAAATTTTGTTTGCTAAATTTTATTTACAGCCTCCTAAAAAGGACTCGAAGGGGTCTTCTAAACAACCCCAAAAGACCCAAAAAAAGAAGGAAGGAGGATCCGGAGGCAAAGCCAAGAAGAAGGTTTGTATTATTCATATTTTAATTGTTTCAAATTTCAAATTACAATTGAATTTTAATTAATTCAAGTTTCAAATTATCTCAATTTTAATTTATCTAAATTATAATTTAATTAAATTTAATTCGTAATCATTTAATTTAAGTAATGATTTTGTAAAAATCATTATTTAAAATTTTCATTTTATATAATTTCATTTGTCATAATTATTTTTGAGCCGAATTTTTATTTGTTCGAATTAGAATTTTGCGAGAATTTTCATCAAAACGATTTTCTATATTACAGAATTTTGATATAATCGAAAATTCACTTAACAGAATTTTTATTTGTTCGAATTTTTATTTGCTCGAATTTTCATTTAACATAATAAGTCAATTTAAAGAATTTTTATTGAGTAGAATTTCATTGCATAGAATTTTCATTTTATTCTTTCAGATGAAATTTACATTTGTTCGAATTATTATTTGATTGAATTTTCATAAAACCGATTTTTCTGCAGAATTTTTAGTTAACCGAAAAATGATTTAACAGAATTTCTAATTGATAGAATTTTTATTTGTCCGAAATTGCAAATGACCGAAACAACAATCGATTTTGGCGCGATTTTTAAAATCAACCAATCAAAAATTATCCATAAAATTGTGATTGGTTGATTTTAAAAATCGCGCCAAAATCGATTGTTTTGTCATTTGCAATTTCGGACAAATAAAAACTCTATCAATTAGAAATTCTGTTAAATGTTGAAAAATAATTTAATAAAAAGAAATTTTTTTAAATTCTTTGAGCTTATATTAATTTAGAAAAACACAATTTTACTGATTTTCATCATTTTTTATAAATGATTCAATTTACATAACAGTTGCCAGGAAATTTTATGAAAATTACTGGAAAAATATCAAATTTCTAAAATTGCTACTAAAAGTAATAATTTTTGAAATTTTTAATTCAAACTTTTGCTTCTAAAAATAATTGTCTTAATTTTTTTTTTATAATTGAAAATCTCTTGAAAAATTTTCATCAGAGTCAGGGGAAAAAAAAAATTTCTTTTCTGACTGAAATTCAAATAAAAACCAAATAGAATTTATTTTTAAAATTACTACGAACAAATTTTAATAAATGTACGTAAATTTTAATTAGTTGGAAGTATATTCTTATTAATTTAAATTGTAATTGATTTAAATTTTAAATTAAATCTTAATTTTAATTAACCAAATTAAATTTTAATTCATCCAAATTTCGATTCAATTAAATTTTATTTCAATTTCAATTTATCCAACTTTCAATCAATTAAATTTTTTATTAAATGCAAATTGAATCGATTGAAAGTTAAAATTAACGAAATTTCAATCTATCTAAAAATTAATCGATTTATGTTTCTAATTATTTGAATTTTAATTGTCTTAAGTTTCAATTTATCTAAATATTAATCAATTTTGCATGTTAATTGGTTTTAACTATATATTAATTCTTCTTGTTTTGCAATGATTTAAAGGAGGTAATTTTGAATTTTTTTTAATTGTCCATGTTTGCATTGATTTAAAGAAGAAAATTTTGTAATTTTTGCAGAAGTGGTCGAAAGGAAAAACCCGCGATAAATTGAACAATCATGTATTGTTTGACGCCGGAACTTATGAGAAATTGTACAAGGAAGTACCATTGTACAAATTGATCACTCCATCGATCATTAGCGATCGTTTAAAGATTCGTGGCTCCCTTGCGAGGAGAGCGCTCATCGAATTGGAAAAGAAGGGACTTATCAAACAAATTGTGCAACATCACGCTCAATTGATTTATACTCGTTCCACTAAAGTAGATGAGTAAATGTGTCCTTTATAATAAGTGAAAAAAAAAATAAAGTTAAAATTCTTTACATTTGTTTTCTTTTAAATTTTATGTATCATTTCTTTATTTAAAACATTTTTTACTTTCAGCGATTAAGACTGTGTCCTAGTAAGGCAGCACCATCTATATCGAAACTAAAATTTCGCAAAATTTTTTACAATATTTACTTGAAAACAAAAAAATAAAATGCTTTGTCCTTTACCATAATTGATTATTTAAACTAAATTTTTTATACTAGGGTAAATGCACTAATTACGGCGCGATTTGAGTCAAAACACCTTTGAAATAGAAAATTCGACATTTCTCATTGTATAAAGTAAATTTAAGACTTATTAAACTAAAAGCTCATGTTATTTAGATATTAAAAAAAATTTTAACTTTCTAAAAATCAATTATTTAAACAAATATGAGAAATTAAAACTAATACCGTAATTTTCTATTACGGCGCGTTTGTATCAATTACGGTGACCAAAAATTACGTGTATTTTGACGATACTTTGCCCACCGTAATTGAAGCCAATGGAAATCTTAAAAATGTTTTAATTATTGCGAGGGAAAAAGATTAAAATAATTTTTTTTAAATCATTTTGTAACTGTTATCTTTTAAATATAATAGTAATAATAGTTATTTTTTATGAACGCGCCGTAATTGGTGCAGTTACTCTAATTAAATATTTTTTTTTTTTTAAATATTTTTACAATAATAAAGTTTAGAAATTTCTCTTTCGAAACTACTCATTGCAAAAGTAATTTGATTTAATTAAATAGGAGAAATAATTATTTTAAAAATTGTCTTATATTGTCAATTGTTTATTAGGGGTATAATTTTAAAATAGAATGCCCCACTTTTTTCAAAGGCATCATCTGTTAATAATTTAAATTTGTTAAAAATGTTATTTACACTGGTTTTATTTAACACAGAATTAGATGATCTTCCAAATAAAAAAAGAATTGACGATTTATTTTCATTTTTTCAAATGTTATTAATTATTTAAATAATTTTTATTATTAATTATTAATTTAACACCCGTTTATTAGAAATAGTTCATATAGGGCTCGTTCGATGCGGATTTTAATAAGCATTCTAATGGTGTTTTTAAAATTACTCTAATTTTATTTTTTCGTAAAATATTTCATTTTTTTTTTTTTGTATTAACTTTTGTTAGTTAATTAATTAATATCTCGAAAACAAAAAATAATGCCATCTCAAATAATATTCATGATTTTTTTCGCGCTTCTATATGAGGGAGAACATGTTTAAAAGTTATAAACAAATTTTATTTTTTAAACAAATTGTTTAAAAATTAATATTTTTTTTTTTAAATAATTTTTTTCTAAAAGTTTAAGATTTTCCGCGTAAAAAACATTTACATTTCTCTCTATTTTTAGTAGGGAAAAAAGTTATAAGTAAATTTAAAAAAAAATATTGCTCAAATTTGTTATTGTAAATATCTCGAAAAATATTAAAATTTTCAAATTCAAAATTTGTACACTTATTTAGCACCACTATCACTACAATTTATCGAATTTTGAAAAAAATTTGAGACATGACTGAAAAAAAAATTTTTGCAAATTTTTGCCAGGAAAAAAAAATTTTTTAATATTTAAAAAATTTTGTTTATGCAGAGTTGCTACGATTTCTGGAAACCTGGAAAAGTCGGGGAATTTTATTTACTATGGAAAAGTCGGGGAAAAAGTTTAAAACACTAGGGAAAAAAAATAAAATTCATTAAAAACGGTGTAAAATTTAGTTCTTTAAATTTAGGTGCAAATAAATTTAGACGAAAAATTTTTAGGCAAGATTTGTATTGTTTCTTTATTACAAGTGTGTGTTCTTGTACAAATTATTTATAGCCTTACAATTTACATTTCTCTCTCCGACAGAATTTTACTGCGCGATATGTATTCTATATTTTAGCAGAGGTGTGTCTAAGTCCAAAAATTCTTTTTTTTTTTGATTTTCAATTTCAATTTTTTTATATCAAATGATCGTTTTCTGTTCAATAAAAATTGTTTTCTTTTTTTTTTTTCTTTTTTTTTACAAAGCAATGAACAAGAACATTGCGTCATAGAAATAATTCTAAAAAAAAAAACTATTGAGATTATAATATTCCGTAGGCCTGAACAAGTTTGTGAAAAAAAAATTAGTATAATAATAAATATACAATTAACGACAATATTCACAAAGACATACACGTCACGAAAAAAAAAAATTTTTTTCTTTACTTAAAATTGCACGTCAATTCCTCATTGATTCATTCAATTTTCATCATTTTTACTGACATATTTATAGACTACTAATAAGAACAATCATCGGACGCAAGAAAAGACAATATATATATATATTTTTTTTATAGATATATATAAAAAAATTAAAGCCTATACGCAATATTAAAATACAAATTCCTTGAGTAATTTCGACTCAATTTTTTTTTCTTCATTCACAAAAATTCATTAAGTATGTACAATGTTTTTTTTTCTTTATCTTAACATTTTCTAAATATACAAGAGAATAAATTATCTATAATTAATTGTGTCCCCGAGCGCATTGCTATATTTTTTTTTTGCAAGTCTCTCTTGCAATAAATAAGCAATGAAAAAAATTTGCAACATCGAGGCAAATGCAACTGCAGTTGATAATATAATGAGCCGAGAAGAACAAAATTTATGGCACTTTTTAAATATCTCGAAAAAAATTTAATAATTTATTTCTCATCGTTTTTTGTATAAATAAAATAAATTTTTTTCCTTCGAAACTTTGGAAATTGTAAAAAGATAATTAAAAACTACGTGCCACTAGTTTTTTAACTTTTAAAATTTGCCAAAAATTATTTTTCGAAAAAAATGTCGGTAAAGTAGTTTTCTAAGCTCAAAAAAAAAAAATATTTTACTAATTTTTGGTTAAAACAATTGTTTTTTTTCTACAATTCACAAAGTTTCGAAAAAATTGCATTTTTTTTGAAAATACATATTTCGCTAAGTACAATTATAAAAAAGAGGGAAAATTTTCACTGCAGATGCAATTAAAAAAAATAAAACAATTATCGCCCTTTTCACAGTAAAGGACTTTCTCTCTTTTTTTTCTAAAAAAAAAAAAAAATAAAGCAAGATTCACCCTGTTTAGGAAAATTCGTACACGCGTTTAAAAAAAAACAGTCAACTTTTCTATTATTAAAAAAAATATTTTGACGACTATAAGAGTAAAAAGTATTAACGGTTATACAGAAAGGAAGGAAGCGCGTACACCTATGACCCATTTGAAAAAAAGCTGCTACTTACGAAATTAATTAATAACGTAATAGTCAAAAGAAGATTCTATATAAATAAATAGAGCGCGATTATTTAAATATATATTTATATAAATATAAAAATTCTCCTTCTAATACAAATAGAAATTTTTTTTTTACAAAAAATTTTTTATGGAAGCAAATTTATTTTATTGAAAGAAAAAAAAAATGAAAATAATAAAAAAGTAAAAAAAATAAAATTAATAAAAAATGAATTTTTTAAAAAGTAAAACTACTTTTTTTTAAAGTAAAAAATGATAATAATAATAAATAAAAATAATAAAAGTAAAAAAAAATGAAAATAAAAAATCGTAAAAAGAAAATAATAAAAAAAAAAATTTATATGGCAGTAAAAATATTTTCATACAGATATTAATATAAAAAATTGGCAGTTTCGAGGTTGTAATCTCGAAATTCTCAGTCTTCTCAATTGTTTCGGAAAAATTGAGAATTTTTCGAAACTGAAATCGATTTTTTAAAAAAAACTTTTCAGGAATGTTAATTAATTTTTTGTTTTTTTTTTTCTATGGAGACATTGAAAATGGCAGCACCAGTGATTAATAATAATAAATAAATAAAGGAAGAACTATATAACTTAATAGCGTTAAAATCGAATATGAAAAAGTCGTCTTAATAAAGCTTATTATAAAGTAGTTTTTGCGCATGAAAAAAAAGAGAATTATAAAAAGTATTGAGAAAAGTTCATATTTTTAAGAAATATTCTCTAGAGTTAGACATTTTTTTTTTTATAATTTGTAGCAACTTTAAGTAAAATTTTTTTTTTTGCATTAAATATTTTTTTTTGTATTAAATAATTTTTTTGCCTATAATAAAGTGTAAAATGTAATACAAAAAAAATTTTTTAAATTAAAAAAAAATCTATTTCAGTTTAAATAAATTTTTCCCTCCCTTAAAAAATGGAAAAAAAATTATTTTAATGAAAGTTGCTTCAAATATACTACAATAGTGACGGTATATCGAAATAAAAAAAAAAAAAAAAATGATATTCCACCACTTTAACGAAGACACCAAGAAGATTCCAATTTTTTTTCACATTGCGAAAAAATTAAGATTTTTTCTTCATTTAATTTCAAAATTGAATTTTTCAAATTTTGGAATCTTCCCAATGGCACTTAGACTTTGCTCCGTGATTATTTATTAATTTTTTTTTTTTAGAAAACCCAGTTGATCTCTATTTTTCACAATACAAAGATTGTGGTATTATAACAATCGTCATATAAACATTATTATCATCACAGTAAAAATATTTTATCATCTTTCTTCTTCTTCATTTTTTTTTATCTATTGAACTTGTGCATTTATATCGCCTCCGACAACTTTTTTTTTAGGTAGTTCAGTTGACGTTTTTTATTATTATTATTATTATATATGATGAAAAATAAATTCGGTTTGGCGTGTCACTCAAAAAAAATATTGAATGCACCCTATTTACTCGCATTTTTCGAATTGATTATTACAATTAAAAAATTATTATTATTATTATTATTATACACACCACTAAATAATAGTCATTGGTCTATCGATGCGATTCTTCGAATTCATCCTTAATTTTAATAAATTAATAAAAAAAAAAAATATTGTCAATGCTAATTACTGACAAATAATTAATTGGTATAAAGGAAATAATTACAGGAGACAATAATAATAATATTATTATTAATAATAATAATAATAATTGGACGAATAAAAATGGTCCACGCATAGTGACTATAATTTACTCATCGCTTCGTGTGAAATTTCTTTTTTTTTTAAGAATAACGTAATTTTTTTCTGTTTATTTCTAAATCACGAAGCGATTAAGTACTTGATTTTTTTTTAAATTTTCATTATAATTAGATTTTGTCCAGGATTCAAAATTTCTTGAGGAATATTCAAAAATAAAAAGTACAAATAAAAATTTGTTAGAATATAAGGGAAAATCAGTCATTTTTTTTTTTTTTACTGTTGATGTACAATGATTTACAAATTAAAAAATTCAATTTAATGTTAGAAAAAAAGTCAATTTTTTCCGACAATTATAGAATTTTTTTTTTGTCTATTTTGTATTTTTGTAAAATAATTTTCAAAAATTGTCTAAAAATCTTTGGCAAAATCAAATAAATCAATAAAAATTAAACTTTAAAATTATAATTTAAATTTTTTAGAAACTTTAATTTTTTGAAAATATAAAAAATATATAAAAATAAAAGTAAAAAATAAGAAACAAAAAAATTTATTTAGAATTTTCTCTAAAATTTAATTATTGTCCGAATTTTGTGAAAAAAAAAATCAGCAAATTAATAATTTATAAAAAATTCCAATTTCAAATATTTTAAAATTCAATTAATTTAAAAAATTTTAATTATACATAAATCTTTCAAAATTTAATTATTCAGCAAATTTTTATCTAAAATTCTTTGTCAAATCAATGATTTTTAATAATTTTAATAAACTTTTTTCGTAAAATCCAATTAATATAAAAAAATACTAATTATAAATTTTCTAAATTATTCAATTTGAAATTAAAAAAAAATTTATCAATTAAATTTTATAAAAAATTAAAAAATTTTTATTTATTTTCTTGAAAATTAATTATTTCTAAAAAATGTAAATTGTAAATTTTGAAAAATTCAATTATTATTAATTTTTATCTGTTAGAAAATTTTCATTTTTATTAAAATGCAAATTTTAATGGTTTAAAAGTCTTTAAAATTAATTTATTTACATTTGCGCAATGAAACAGTTTTTTAAATTGTTTTTTTTTTACTCGAATATTTTTTCTCCAAATCTTTATGAAAAATAAGAAAATACGTATTTTAAAAATTTTTTATTTGATAAAAATTATGAAAGTTGTGATTTTTTTTTATATTTAACGTCGTTAGAAGCCGAATATTTTTGAAGTGCATTTTTCTCTCTCTAAGTAACAAATAAAAAATAATATTCTGTGTAAAATAAGTTCCAATTTTCTTCTATTTGTTTTTGGGTTATGTGGTGAAAAAAAAAATAATTACAACGGAAGCATGTAAAAAAATTAAAATTAACCCTAAAAAGTGATTCGGCCTTTGTCTTACGTGAAATTTAAAAAAATCATAACTTCCACAATTTCTATCAAATAAAGAAATAAAAAAATACATATTTTCTCATTTTTCATCAAGATTTCGGGAAAAATATTTTTGAATTAGTCTCACATAAAAAAATTGATAAAAAAAAAATAATTCCATACATTATTAACAATTTTTTCGATTCTTTAGAGCAAAAATTTTTTTTCCCCAACATTAAATTGCAATTTTCCAATCACTGTACGATGGCACAAATGGAATATTTAATAATAAAAATTATTGAATCCTGAACAAATGTCCATAATTGAAAATCGCATCGTAACTCTAGCTAGCTGCCTGTACACGAGATTTTGCCTTAAAAGATAAATTTATAATAATTAATTATAATATTATTAACTATATGTACAAAATTGCATATATATATATATATATTTATAATTTTTTTTTTCATCAATATATATATATATATATATATATATATATATATATATATATATATTTATATATTAAAACAGTCTTTGCTCGAGAGCACAACGATGATTAATAAAACGTCACACAGATGTTTGTGTAACGCTACCAGTGAGCCAGGCTCGGCCATTTTTATTATTCTTGTGCTCAGGAATTTCATACTCGGAGTCATCAATCTCACAGAGATTTGTTGAGAGATCACTATTGCTTGTTGCACCGCCAAGAAGTGAATTTCTCTCCTCGAGTGTTGTGATGACTGAGCCAATATCGTCGACATCGTCACCTTTATTATTGTGACATCGATTGCGTCGCGTGCTGGGAAAACCATAAGGCACTACGTCGTCTTCGTCCTCGTCATCTGACTCAAGGCAACCGCCATCCAATCGTCCGTTGAGTGGATGATGTGCCTCATTTTCCGTGTCCGTATGTATATTGTAATGTGGCAAATATGAATTTGGATGTCGTAAATAACTCTCCGAATCTTTGTATTTATATTCACCTTCACCGCCACTATCAAGGGGATTTAAACGTTGTGATTCAGGACAAAAATGCTCGGAAAAATCCGTACCACATTCTGAATCGCCAACGTATTCAGATTCTTGATCCTCGTTTAATGTTTCAATATCGCGCGTTGTGTCTATTGGACCGTGCACTGAAAATATATATTTTTTTTTTGATAATTTTTTATTTCGACTTTACCAAACGTTAAAATGAAAAATAATTTTCAAAAACTCACTTGACGGCAATTGATGTGTGTTTGACTCGTTGCTTTCGTTACTGTGGAAACTGGATGAGTCTGGAACTTCACTTCCAGGAACTTCTGTGATATTTGGTAATGGGTTCTGATTTGGTCTGACCCAGTCTGAACAGTCCCAGTGATAGCCTAAAAATATATAAAAAAAAATTACTAAACTGTAATAAAAAATAAAATTATATTTTTAAATCGCAAAAGCAATTTAAAGCTCTCAGTCTCAAGCTTCTCAATAGTTATAAAACAGGCAAAATAAGCTTATTGAGAAAATAAAGCAAAAATGGCGTAATAAATATATTTTTCATCTCCCACTTGGAAAATTCAAATATCTATATTTTTTACCCCCTTTGATAAAATTTGATAAAAATGTTTAATTTGTAAATTTTAGAAGTGAATTTAAACAAAAATGTTACTTTATTTTCAAAAAAAGAAAAAAAACATACTCTAGTTTTTCAGAATAAAGAAGATTTTGAGGTTAGAATACAATTTTTTTTTCTGACGCCACCGATATTAACTTACCGCCAACAATGCGAGGATCATCCTCGATAACCGAGAGAGATGTTACAGATGTACCACCTCCGTGTGGTATCTGCCGGGTAGAATTTAGTAGAAGTCCTCCAGTGGTCAGCTCTGATACCACTGGGCTCGCTCGTCTCAGGTCTGTTAGTACATACACGACACGCTCTTGTTAATTAGTATTGCCATTTCAAAAAACATACATCAATTTCAAAAAATGTTTCATTTTCAAAAATATAAATAATTAAATCCAAATGAAAGGAATTAATTTTTCCATGAAATCATTTTTTAATTGATATTTTTTTTTCATATAAAATAGAAGATGAGCTACATGCCGCAAGCGAAAATAAAAAAGTAAGAAGCTACGCTTTGAGTGTAGATATTTTTTTTTTTTTATAAGATTTGGAATTTTTTTTTTCGGGGAAAAGGGAATATGGTCGAACTTACCATTCTTAATTTTAGCAGCATCGGAGATGAATGAAGCTAGTTGCATTTGTTCCTGCCATGAGGATTTATGTAGACTATCATTGTCACTACCGGCAGAATTTCCACCCACTGGAATTGAATGACCTAACGATGGAGGAGGTACAGGAGTACGACGATTCAAATTACGTAGATAATCAGGTGGAATTATTTCCAATTCATCGCCAGCGCTTCCATAACTTCGTAGCGTATCCAAATTATTTAAAGCCACTGCCGCTGTATTACTATACGCGACCGGCTCATTATTCGAGCTAGGAGTATAGGAAGCGGGTCTAGGGGGACATTGGGGAGGTTCTCTCTGCAAAAAAAAAAATAAAAACACACTCACACTCTCCATTTTTTGTATCAGCAGCGAAATTAACAAAAAAACTGCTAGATAGAAGACATGCGTCTCACTATTATAAAAATAATTACCTGTATCACTTCCAAATTACTCAATTTAGAGCTCCGCTTAAATTCGTGTTCATTGCTCCTCGCTGAATTGAGTACAATTTGTTTCCTCGTTTCATTATTGATATGATTTGCCCTCGCACGATTCCTCTTGCTTCTTACCTTTCGGCAAGTGACAAATATAATAATTAAAATAATATTCGCTCCCAATGCTATTCCAATCCACATCAAATGCTCCCCAGATATATGAAGACTCTTTGAAATTATCGATGTAAACGCTGGATTTCCACAATTATTTCCCGTCATATCGGCAGGACATATACAACGATAACTTCCCAATTCATTGATACAAGTCCCGCCATTTGAACAAGGATTACTTTCACATTCATTAATATCATTTTCACAACGTTCGCCTCTAAAACCCTGGCATTTACAAATTGGTCCATTGTTTCCCTCCTCGCAAACACCGCCATGAATACAGGGATTTGGACTGCAATATCTTCCAAATTCACAGCGTTTACCACTTAAACTGGGTCCAACGCATTCGCAAATGAAATCTCCACCTTCTGGTACCAAACGGCATCTTCCTCCATACAAACATGGTGATGATGCACAAGGATCGGTATCAATTTCGCAAGCAATTCCAGTAAATCTTCCATGACATTCGCATTCGTAATTCTCGTTTCCAGTTTCCTTACAAGTGCCTCCATTTTGACAAGGCTGCGATCCGCAAATTCCAGGTGGAGTTAGTATTATTCCGGCGTCACAACTAAATTCCACATTGGCAAATCTTTTCAGTACCGCAACACTACTGGCACCACTCATGTGAAGTGGTATTGATATTTTTGCAATTCTCATATCATCCATACAGCCAATAAATCCCCTTTGTACATCCTCAAAACCCAAAATTGATGGATGCTGCCTAACTTCGGCGCCAAGATACAAATCATCAGATTGTAAATTCAAAATCTCGTTATTTCCCGGTGCTGCACCGTGAGCAAAATATTTTCCATCCACCACAACTTTAGCGCTATTTCTCTCCCTCTCCAATTGTATCTCATGCCATTGTCCATCGCTAACGTAAGTACTACTAACTCTCACCAATCCCTCACCGCTACCCAAATCAAAACGATATTGCACCACTCCGTTGGCAATTTCCAAAATATTATAATCCACCTTACCGGCTGCGTACATCAAACTTCCCGTCATCTGCACTGTTCTTATTCTCAACGACAATTGCAAACGATCCTCAATCGTTTCCCTAACAATAGTCTTATCAATTTTATATCTAGCGTAACTCTTTCCACTAAATGAAATCGGATTTCTCGCAATATAACACGAATCATCGTGACATTTTGAGATATTAATTTCACAACTCTGCCCCGCAAATCCCTCCGGACACTGACACGAATACCCCTGTATTGATGAATCAGGTATGCAAATCTTAAAAATTGGACAAGGATCCCTTGCACATTCATTAACAACAACTTCACAATGACTTCCCGCATAGCCCTCCTTACAATTGCAATCCATTTTATGCCTGTGCTTTGGTGATACAAAACTTGTCACATCCGTTGATATCGCTGCAATTTGCATTGGATCCAATACAATACTATCCTCACAATCGCCATATAAACAGTAACCCTTCGTACATTTAAAACGTACAATTTCCTCCACAACCAATTTTGTCGATTCCTCCAATTCCTCAACATGTTGATTCAATGCCTCTCTCACCACTTCCGAACTGTAAAATCCATTTGTCTTACGTACCGCAAATAGAAGATCAAGATCATTATGTATCTGTCGTTTAAATCTCGTCGAATTACGTAAAGCTCGGGATTTTATTAAATTCGCCTCATCAGTTGACGATTGTACACTAATTATTACCACATCCTTTAAACGACAATTCAATGCATTGCGAACAGTTCTCAAAAATCCTTTACGATGACTCAAAACAAAATCCTCTGGACTCACTTCACGAAAGCGTATTATCACCGAATTTATCAACATTTTTTCATTTATCAATTCAACGCTCACCTTTACAATTGTATACGAAAGGAATTTACTATCCGTTACTGTGACATTTAATCTGTATTCTCCCACATCTAAACGTGGTAATGCAACAAGTGTACCGTCCAATTTATCAATTTGAAATAAATCTATATTTGGATTAGGTGACGATGGCGCTAAACTATACAAAAGTGTATCATATTGATCTTTATCCGAGGCATGAACTCTACCGATAACACCACCTGGATATTCATCCAAATAAGAATTAATAACAATTTCAAGTGGCGTGACAATTGGTGGATATTGTGATTCTTCAATTATTTTCACAACCACATAGGCATCAGAATAAAGTGGTGGACTTCCATTATCAAAAACGCGTATATGAAGAATATATTTGTCCTTAATGCGATTATTGAATTTTGTCGCTGTACGCAATGAGCCATCTTGCTCAAGACGAAATGAATTACCCTCATTGCCAGAGCGAAAATCAAAAGTATAGGGATCAGAATTTGGCGATATATCCTGATCGGTTACCATAAATTGAAGAACAACATGTCCAATTGGTTTGTTTTCTTGAATAATTGTTGTATAATTTGCTTGTGAAAATTGTGGTGGATTATCATTTGCATCGAGTATTTCGATATTTACCATTACAAAACTTGTTAATGTTGGTAGACCTGAATCACGGGCATGCACCTCAAGAATGTAATTTGATATCTGTAATCAAATAATTGTCAAAATGTATAATTACATTTTAGAGTTAAAAATACTAACCACATATGAATAAATTTATCAAAATTAATTAATTAATCAATCAGAAAATCGATAACTATAAAATCTACTTTATCATCAAAACTACTTTACCTACTTTACCTGCTGACCGATAAAACTTATCTTAAGACCTGAGCAGAATAGAAACGTAACCGAAATTGGAATCTGAAACGCAACCAGAAGAATGAGTTAGAAAAGAATAGACATATTGTTTGTCCTTCTCTAACTCATTATTCCGGTTGCGCTTGCGGTTACGATTCCGGTTAAGGTTCCTATTATGCGTTATCTATTTTCTAACCAACAAAAACTTTTTTAAACTCAACTTAACCTCACTTCTTTTTCAATTTTAACGGATTTTTCCAACTATAATACAACTTTTTCAAAATAAACTTAACCTATCTTTTTTAATTTTAACAAATTTTTCCGCATAACAACTTTTTCGAAATTTTTTTTAACTTTTTAAAAATCAACTTAACCTAACTTTTTTGAATGAATAATTTTTTCAACTACATATATAACAACTTTTTCAAAATTAAGAATTAACTTAACCGAATTTTTTGTCAAAGTGTTACTAACATTTAACCTAACTTTTTTAATTGTAACGTATTTTTCATTAATGTTTTTGATATGGTTAGTATAATCGATTAAATTTAATTTTAAAAAATTTACTCCTACTACGTGAGATTTTCAATAAAAATATTTTTGTTTCTTAACTGGAATATTTTTTTTTCGAAATTGTTATGAAAAATAAAAAAATTACGTATTTTTTTATTTCTTTATTAAATAAATATTGTGAAAGTTATTATTATGATTTTTTTTTTAATTTAACGCCGTTAGAAGCCGAAAACTTTTAAAGTGCGTCTTTCTCTCTCTCCAAATAACAGATAAAAAATAATATTATACATAAAATTTGTTTGAATTTTCTTCAATTTTTTAAATATTTAGTAAAAAAAAACTAACTAAAAAGGAAGCAATTAAACAAATTAAAATTAAGTCTAAAAAAGTGACTTTTCTCAAAATTCGGCTTCTAACTTATGTTACATTTAAAAAAAATCATAACTTCCATAATTTTTATCAAATGAAGAAATAAAAAAATACGTATTTTCTTATTTTTCATAAAGAATTTAAAAAAATATATATTTGAGTAAAAAAATTTTTTTTTGAATGTAAATCTCACGTAAAATGCCTCATATATTGGTTTTCGAAACTTACCGTTTCACGATCAAGAGGAGCTGCCACTGATATTACTCCAGTTTTTTCATCAATAGTAAATTGTTTTAATTTATCGCCCCTTTCTATGAAATATGAAACTATACCATTTTCTTCGCTATCCAAATCATTTGCATAAACCTGGAATTAAAAATTATTTTTTTAAAATTAATTTTCACTCTCTTTTTTTTAAATACATTTCAATAATTTATTGAAAACATCTAAATTTTTTTTTCCAATTAGAAAACAAATTAAATAATTATTGTATTAATTAATATTTAATTTTATAATTAATTTTAATAATAATTAATTTTTTTTTTAAATTAGAAAACAAACTAAATATTTATTGTAATAATTAATATTTAATTTTATAATTAATTTTAATAATAATTAATAAATAAATATTAAATAATATTTTAATAATGAAAAAATTCGTTAGCAAATTTATCTATTGCATTTATTTGTTTAATGGAAAATTCTAATTCTATGAATTTCTTGCAATGTTTATTAATTAAAAAATTATTTAAAAAAAATTTTTGACAACAAATTTTATTATTTTCCATTTTAAAAAGTAATTTTTTTTGCATTGTGGACTTTAGCTTCGTATTTTTTTCTATTTTATTTTCAATATTAATAATTATAAATTAAACATCAAAAAATTTTTATTATTTTTTCAAATTTTGAAACATAATGGATGTTTCTTTTTTAATTTATCAATTTATTTTCAAATTATATCCTAAATATTTCCTAAATAATTCCAAAATTTTTTTTTAAATTTGATTATTTTCAAATTTAATTATTTTTATTGATCGATTTTTAAGAAAGGACTATTAAAATTTTTTTGTTTTTTGTTATTAGGCAACAAATTTTTTCTTTTTTTTTTTAATTTAAAATCAAAAAATGTTTTACATTATAAAAATTTAAAAAAATATATAAATTTTTGACAATTTTAGAAATACTTTTTGAGAAAATGAAAAAAAACTGTCGATAAAAAATATTAATAATTCTGGAAGAAGTTGAATTTTAAAAGAATTACCAGTAAAATTTCAATTAATCAAAATTTACATTTTGTTTATTTTTTGTTACCTTTTTTTTTGAAATTAGAATCATATTTTATTATTGAAAATTGAAGAAAAATAATTTTTATCTGTTTTATAATTTTTTTTTCAAAATTTATTTACAAAATTTTATTTATGAAAAAATTAAATTTTTTCAATTGTTCTAATTGGTCAGAATGAAATTTTCGATTTTTTTTCGATGAAATAATAAATATAAGAATATATAATAAATATAAATATAAGAATAAATAAATAAATAAATAAAAAAATATAAAAAAAATTGACGATGAAAACTATAAAAATTTGGTTTTTTTAGATTTTCAATTTAAATATAAAAATAAATAAAAAAGTAAAGTATAATAATAAAAGTAAAAAAGTAAATAAATATAAATAAATAAATAAATAAATAAATATTAAAAATATAGAAATAAAAATTTTATGATATTATATAATTTAATAAATTTAAAAGAAATTAATTTTATTTCTAAATTAATAATTAATTCTGTTAATGAATTTAAAAGAAAAAAAAAATTTACCTGCGTCACTTTTTCGCCAACAGCCGAATTCTCTCTCACCGCTGCTCTATACGAAACTTCACTAAAAATTGGCGGATTATCATTACTATCAAGTACGGTAATATTCACCGTGGCATGATTACTCAACGGTGGAATCCCTCCGTCAACTGCTTGAATTGTCAAAAAATAATCCCTCGCCCTCTCATAATCCAATTGTTCAGCAATTGCAATAACTCCTGTTTGTGCATTAATTTGAAATTTTTTATGCTCATTCCCACCAATAATTGAATAATAAACATCAGCATTGACACCAGTATCTTTTGATGTGGCAAGTACGCGCGACACTTCAGTGCCAATTGCATCAATTTCTGGTACGCGTGCAAAATAAAATTTCGATGTGAATTCCGGTGGATTGTCATTAATATCCTGAACATTAACAACAAGCGAAGCGACGCTTATTAATTGTGGTGTTCCTTGATCCATTGCTTGAATAGTAACATTGTACATTGCCTTTGTCTCACGATCCAATGGTTTTGCAAGTGTTATAATTCCACTGTCGGTGGCAATTCGAAAATGATTATTAGCCGAGTCAATGAATTCATAGCGAATCTTACGATTAATTCCAATGTCATCGTCAGTGGCGTGAACTTTTGTCACTAGTGTACCAACTTCAACATCCTCGGGTAATGTTGTACTGTAGGATTGCATCATGAATTTTGGTGCATTGTCATTTAAATCGGAAACAAGAATTTCCAATTGTGACGAACATTCCCAGGTCGGTTTGTCACGATCCTGTAACGAAAAAAAAAAATACAATTTTATTTATTTTTAAAAAGAAAAATTCAAGTGAAGATTACATAAAGTAGGAAAAAAAAACTCCTTTGGTTTTGTATTTTTTTGGTGGTCAATTATGTAATTTCAAATTCAATATCAAATTTACTAAATTTCAATTCAAAGTTCATTTTTAGTTTCACTAATTTTTAATTTTAAGTTCACTTTGAATTTGAAATTCAATTACACTTTGTATTTCAATTTCATCAATTTTTAAATTTAACTTGAATATCAATTTCACTAATTTTCAATTTCAAATTCAATATTAAATTTACTAATTTCAATTCTAATTTTACTTTCAATTTCAATAATTTTTAATTTTAATTTCTCCAATTTTAATTTTTTAATTCACAATCAATTTTACTTTCAAATTCACTTCCACTTTCAATTTCCATAATTTTTAATTTTATTTCATTTTTAATTTCTTCAATTTAAAATTTAAAATTTACTTTCAAATTCACTTTAAATATTTATTTTAATTTCACTTACAATTTCACATTTAATTTAAATTTAAGCAAATTTTCAATTAAAAAAGTAATTTTTAATTTTAAATTAAATTTCTCTAATTTTCAATTTAAAATTAAATTTAAATTTTTAAGTTAACTTTCAATTACTACAATTTTAAATTTTAAATTCAGCTTCCATTTTACTTTCAAATTCACATCCACTTTCAATTTTAATTTCTTTAATTTAAAATTCACTCAAAAATTTCAAATTTAATTTCAATTTCATCAATTTTTAATTTTCAATTAACTTTCAATTTTTGTTTCAATTTTAATTTCTTTAATTTAAAATTTAAAATTCACTTAAAATTTCAAACTTAATTTCAATTTCATCAAATTTTAATTTTAAATTAACTTTCAATTTTTGTTTCAATTTTAATTTGTTTAATTTATAATTTAAAATTCACTTAAAGTTTCAAATTTGATTTCAATTTCATCAATTTTTAATTTTCAATTAACTTTGAATATTTGTTTCCATTTTAATTTCTATAAATTTTAATTTTTATTTAACTTTTAATTTTAATTTTTATAATTTGAAATTGTAAATTCAATTTCAAATTCACTTTCAATTTCAGTTTCTTTGATGTTCAATTTTAATTTGACTTATAATTTCACTTTCTCTTTCGATTTCACTAATTTTTCATAATTATTGGAAATAAAAATAGAGAAATTAAATTTTAAAATTAACTACAAATTAAAAGTGATTGAAATTTGAAGTTTAATTGAAGTTGAAAATGTACTTAAAATTGAAAATTTGTGAAATTATATTTAAAAATGAAATTGAATGAGAATTTAAAATTGAAAATTATAGGAATTGTTATTGGAATTAAAAGTGATTTTGAAGTTGAAATTATTATTAGAGAAGCAATTGAATGTAAACTTAAAATTGAAAATTAGAGAAATTGAAAGTAGAATTAGAATTTCTTTATTTTTCCCAAGAAAACCATTAGAGTAACAATTGAAAGTGAAATTTTAAATGGATGTGAATTAAAAATTATAGAAATTGTAATTGGAATTGAAAGTAAATTTAAAATTAAAATTTATTTATTTTTCCCAGAAAAACCACGAAAGCAACAATTAAAAGTGAAATTTTAACTGAAATAAAATTCAAAATTGAAAAGTAGAGAAATAAAAAATAAAAATGATTTTGAAATTAAATTTACAATTGGAAATTAAACAAATTGAAATTGTAAGTGAATTTAAAATTACATAATCGACTCCTATTTAGATGTTTATCAATAGATTGACTTAAAAATTTGAAAAAATTAAAGTTATTTGAATATTTTTTTTTTTTAAACACAAGTAAAAATAAAAATTCTTTAATCCCAAAATTATTACAAACAAAACTCACCTGTACATGTGCAGTGAGTGAATATTTCGCCTGTGTTTCCCTATCCAATTGTCCAACAGTTTTCAAAACACCAGTGTCTTTATCCAATGAAAATTTCTCTTTATTATCACCAGTGAGATAGAAACGTAATTTTGCATTTTCCTCATCGTCATAATCAGTTGCCAAAACAGTTAGAACATAAGTGCCTGGATGTGAACCCTCGGATAAAATTTCTCTATATCTATAGTGAAGACAATATGGTGGATTATCATTAACATCCAAAATTTCAACAGTCACTTTTGTTTCAAACACAAATTTCCCATCTGTTCCAACAATTGACAATTCATATCTGTCCGTTGTTTCTCTGTCCAGGGATTTTGCCACAAATACTTCACCGGTTGAACGAACCTACAGAGGAAAAAAGAAAAAAATTCTTATAATTTATAATTTTCCAACTTTTTACAATAACTAGAAATCTCATTTTTTTGTACGCTTCGCACAAATTGAAATTCCATCAAATTAAATTTGTCTTACTTCTTTAATTTAAAATTAAATTAATTTTTGTCTAAATTGAAATTCTGCAACATTGATAAATGGAAAAAAAAATTGGAAATTTTATAAAATGAAAATTCTAAATTTTTTTCAATTAAAATTTCCAATTTTTTTGAATGAAAGAATGAAGATTCTTTTAAATTACTATTCTGTAAAAATAATAATTAATAATTAAATAATAATTTTAAAAAATTAATTTTACTGCTTATTGATGCGTTTTGAAAATTTATTTTCAAAATTAAAAATAATAGTAAATATTAATTTTTGGAAATTTCTTTACAAACCTGAAACTGTGATCGAGAATCTCCAGCCGTAATGTAGAAATCAACTGAAGTATTCATATCAACGTCTTTATCGGCTGTCATCAATTTAACAAGAACTGTTCCTGGAAGAGCATTTTCCTTAACTGAAGCTTCATAAGGATCGTCGACAAATACTGGTGCATTGTCATTGTAATCCTTCAATTTAATATGCACTGAAGTTCGTGCAAAATGTTTTGGATTTCCATTATCAGTTGCAACAACCTGAAGAAGAAATTAATTATTTAAATTTATCTTCTATTTTTTTTTAAATCTCGTTTTTTCCACATTCACTCACAAATCTTAAATTCAAGTAGTTAGAAATGCTTTTTTATTTTTTCAAAAAAATAATTTTTCTACTAATTTAAACAGAAAATTGTTTTTTTTTTTTTTTTTTTTGAAAAAATTAGGAAAAAAAATTAATTAGGACAAAAAAAACATTTTTAATCTTAAAAATATCAGAAGCAAGACCAGAAGAAAAAAAAATTCTCAGTATTTTACTTTAATAATAAATTATTCAAAATAATTCGAATTTTTAAATTCAAAAAACGATTTTTTAATACAAAAATATTGAAAAATTAAATTATTTTACAAAAACAATTTTCGTGCCGATTTGTATATTAATTTTGTGCTGATACGAATTTTTTTTTTTTTTTTTAAATAATAATTAGGACCAAAATTTAAAAGAAATATATATATATTTTTTAAGCTCAAAAATGCCTTTCCTATGTAATAAAAAATAAATAATTGTGATGAAGACTTGAAGAAAAAAAAAAATTCAAAATAATTCAAAATTTTAAATCAAAAAACGATTTTTTATTTCAAAAATATTCACAAATTACTATTTTCCAAATACAAATTTTGTGCTGAATTTTGCCAGTCGATCACAAAAAAGAAAGAAAACATTTAATATAAATTAAAAATTTTTCAAAAAATTAATTTTTAAATTCAAAAAAATAATTTTTTATCCGAAAATATTCAAAAATTATTATTGTTCAAAAAAAAAAAAAAAAATTGTGCTAAATTGCCCTAGTCTGCCTTAAAATGAAAATTTAAAATAGAATTAAAAAATTCTAATTTTTCGTAAAATGTTTTAATAGTTCTTTTTTTGAACTAGGCTAGAACAATTTAGCAAACAATTTTATTTTTAAATATTTTCAGATAAAAAAATGTTTTTTTTTTGTATTTTAAAATTAATTTACTTTGAATTTTTTTAAATTTTTTTCTAAATGTTTTAATTATTATTATTTTTTTTTTTTTGTGATGAACTACAACAAAATTTTTTATTAAAAAATAATAATTTTTAAATATTTCTGAATAACGAAATATGTTTTCTTGATTTTTAAAATTATTGATTTATTTATGAAATATTTAGAATTTATTTCATAAATATTTTAATTGTATTTTTTTTATATTTATTTAGTGTTTAATATAGTATAAAATTTATTTTCGAAATAAATAATTTTTGAATATTTCTGAGTTTAAAAAATAACAATTTTTGAATTTTTAAATTAAATTATTTCCGAAAAAAAATATTAATTTTATTTTAAATAATACAATTGGTTTTTTTTTGCCCTCCACTTGTAGAATTCATCAAAAAATTAATTTTTAAAAAATAATTTTTTTTCGTATATTACTTCTTTAAAAATAAAAAAAATCATTAGTTTTCATTTTCAATTTTTATTTTCAACAATTTTATTTGATATAATTATTTTTTAGACAAATAACATTTGTTAGAGTTTTTTTTTTTTTTTTTTAAGAATTTTTAATTAACAGAATTTTTAGGCACCGAATTCTTAAAACGCCGAATTTTTATTTGTCCAAAATCGCAAATGACCGAACAAACAATAGATTTCGGCGCGATTTTAAAAATTCTCCAATCACAATTTTCTTGACAACTTTTGATTGGAGAATTTTTAAAATCGCGCCAAAATCTATTGTTTGTTCGGTCATTTGCGATTTCGGACAAATAAAAATTCGGCATTTTAAAAATTCGTATATATAAGAATTCTGTTAAGTAAAAAATTTGTTTAATAATGAAATTTTCTCAAAATATTAATTCGAAAAATAAAAATTCATAGCTAAAAAATAAATAAAATTTTTTAAAATAAAAATTTAAAGAGATTTTTAAATCACGCGCTTAAAAATTTTCCCACATACTTGAAATTTATATTCCGCCTGTTTCTCCTTATCCAATTGAACCAATGTCGAAATCCATCCAGTGTATGCATCAATGGTAAAAATATTCGCCAATTCACCAATATCAGTACCAAATGAATATCTCACTTCTCCATTACTACCAAGATCCTTATCATGTGCAACAATTTTCAATATCGTTGTACCCTCCTCAATATTTTCCGCCAAATTCAAAACATATGGATTACTCTCAAATTTCGGTGCATGATCATTTTCATCTAAAACTTGAAGTGAAATTTCCGCCAATGCAGTCAACGGTGGACTTGAATCAGTCTCAGCTAAAATTCCAATTAAATGATGATCTCTAATTTCACGATCCAATGCTTTTATCAATGTAATTTGTCCATTTTGATCGATATCAAATAAATTCGATTCCTCCAATCCAGGAACAATTCTATAACGAACACTACTATTTGTAACGGTTTTTAATTTTGTTATCACTGTTCCAACAATCGATGCCTCCGAATAGAAAAATTTCTCATTCATTCTCTCAAAAAGTGGTGGCACATCCTCAGGACCAGTGATGTAAATATTTAACGGCACATCGGCATGATAGGTTTTTAGTCCTCTATCTTCAGCGCGTATGAAAATTTGAAAAAGTTGATTCTCCCAAACGGTGGCATTTTTAATTAAAAATAATGCTCCCAATTCTGAATTAATGCCAAATAATCCCTTTGCTTTTGAATCTTGTGGTTCGTATATTGAATATTCAATCCTTGCTGCGTCACCTTCATCAGCGTCAATTGCTTTCACCTTCAGGAAAATTGTATTTAAACTCAAATTCCCGGCAATTGTTGCCTTATATTCGCCTAGTAGAAATACAGGTGAATTATCATTTTCATCACCGACTTTTACTCTCACCATTACAAAACCAGATCTTCCACCACCGTCCATTGCCATAATATTAATCTCATATAATTTTCGATATTCACGATCTAATTTTTTTCTCGTTACAATTTCACCAGTTTGTTTATTAATATCAAAAATATCTCTCATCATTTCCGATGGTATTGAATAAGAAATTTCACCATATTCACCAAAATCCTCATCACTTGCTATCACTTGTGTAACAAGTCTTCCCGGTAATTGATTCTCCAAAACTGTCACCTCAACAATTGGATTTGGAAATTTGGGATTATAACGATTAGCAGGTAAAATTTCAATTTTAACCCTAGCAAAACTTGTATAAACACCATCCGTTACAGAAACATTTAAAAGTTGTAATTTATTATCGCCAAAATTTTGCATATTTATCAATGTTATTATACCTGAATATGGATCAATATTATAGGTTTGTTGATCATTGCCACCGACAATTGTGTAAATTAATTTATCATCAATAAAATCGGGATCACTTGCTGTTACAACAATGACAAATTGACCACGTTCAGCGTGTTCGGATAAAAAACATGAATAAGATGGTTGCTCAAATTTTGGTGGATTGTCATTCATATCGATAACTGTTACCCAAACGTGTGATGTACTTGATAGTGAAGGAACACCACGATCAATTGCAATCACAGTGAAATGATGTGAGTCGTGAGTTTCATGATCGAGACTTCGTTTTAAAAATACAATTCCCTCGTCGGGATCAATGTGAAATAGATCTTTACTGTTGTTTGTGTCGTTTTGAATTGCGTAGCGAACTTTTTGATTTATTCCTGTGGAAGAAAAAAAAAGTTAATAAAAAAAAATTAATTCCATTTAATTGGATTGAAAAAGAGAAAAATACAAAGTTCTACATAAAAAAAATCGTAATTTTTTGGTAGCGTACACTAGGTTTAATATTTGGGAAACAAAGAATATTCTTCTGGAAGTTTTTGTGATTTTTGTATCTCTAGAATATGAGGAATAAGATTTTGGGATTCGCGTCAAACTCCGTTTGTTATTTTTCGAACCTAACCTCCAAATAATGATGAAAAGTTACTAAATACTTCGTAATAATTAAAGAAGGGGAATTTTTAAGGTTTAACCTAACCTAACCTAACCTAACCTAACCTAACCTAACCTAACCTAACCTAACCTAACCTAAATAACGATGAAAAGTTATGAAATACTTCGTTAATGGAACAAAAAAGGAATTATTTTGATTTATTGCAAAAATTAGGATTCTCTATAAGGTTATGCGTCGATTTAACAACTTTTTTTAAAAAAATGCACTAGGTTCAATATCTCTGAAAAATCCTTTATTCTCCTGGAAGTTTTTGTGGATTTTGTATCTTTAGAGTCCAAGGAACACGATTATAGGGTTCGCGTCAAACTCCGTTTGCTATTTTTCGAACTTAACCTCTAAATAACAATGAAAATTAATGAAATACTTCGTCATAGTTAAAGAAGGAGAATTTTTATGGTTTATTGTAATAAATAGGAATCTCTATAGTGTTTTGCGTCGAATTAGTAACTTTTTTCAAATTTGTGCACTAGGTTCAATATCTTTGAAAAATCGAATATTCTTCTGGGAGTTTTTGTGGATTTTGTATCTTTGTACTCTAAGAAACACGATTGTAGGGTTCGCGTCAAACTCCGTTCGTTATTTTCTAATATTACAGTAGGAAATTACGAAATACTTCGAATTAGTTAAGAATTAAATAAAAAAGAACTTTTTTATGGATTAAAAGAGGATTTTTTTTATGATTTATTGTAATAAACAGGAATTTCTATAGCGTTTTGCATCAAATTAGCAAAATTATTTAATCCGTGTACCAGGTTCGATATTTCGGAAAGAAAGAATATTCTTCTGGAAGTTTTTGTGATTTTTGTATCTTTAGGCTCTAAAGAATAAGATTTTTAGGTTTGCGTCAAACTCCGTTTGTTATTTTACAAACCTAACCTCCAAATAATGATGAAAAGTTATGAAATGTTTCGTAATAGTTAAAGAAGGAGAATTTTAAAGGTTTATTGTAATAAATATAATTCTCTTTAGTGTTATGCGTCGAATTAGCAATTTTTTTAAAATTCGCGCACTAGGTTCAATATCTTTGAAAAATCGAATATTCTCCTGGAAGTTTTTGGAAATTTTCTATCTTTAAAGTGTAAGGAATAAGTTTTTCGGGTTCCCGTCAAACTTTGCAAACATTTTTTTCCTATGGTGAGCCTTTAAATAATAATATTAAAATATTTTTTTATAATTTTAAATATTTTATTGTTAATTAATATTTATTTATTTAATAATAGGAACAAAAATAGTAGGAAAAAAATTAATATGAAATATAAAATGAAAAAAAAATATAAATATTGGGAAATAATTAATTTTTACCTGTATCATTATCTCTTGATGTAACTTTAAGTACTGATGTGCCAAATGGTGCTGCTTCTGAGACGGAAATATTGTATGAATCCTGGCTGAATTCAGGTGGACAGTCATTGACATCTTGAACCAAAATACTGACAAGAACCTCAGCAAAAACACCGGAAACACTGTCAGTTGCTCGTACTGTCAATTCGTATTGTTTCTTCTGTTCGTAATCCAGCTCATCGACCACATAGATTACACCTAATTCGGTGAAGAGAAGGTTGTAGACCCAAAGCACTAATTTAGCCAAAATATCGACGAAACTGGACCAATTATCATTTCTTTCTCAAAAAAAAAAAATTTTTCAAAAATTGTTTTTTTTCCAAAATTTTGAAAAAGACAAAATTTTTTTTTCCTAATCAATTTCCAAACGATTTTGAAGTGAATTTCAATTTATTTTATTTTAAAAAAATTATAAATAATAAAATTAGATAAAAAATTAATTAATTAAATTATAATTATTAATTTTTAATTCACAATTTTTAATAAATTTCTAATTATTAATTAAATAATTAATTAAATAAATGTAAAATTAATATTATTTTTAATTTTAAAAAATCCAGTTTTGTCGATATTAGAGAAATCTAATGAATGTATAGCAAGTGCATAAATAAAATATTGTGTATTTCACAATAAAATTCAATTTATTTTTTTTTCTATAAAGTATCTGTATCTATACTTTATTTTTTTTTTAAATGTATTTTCGTCAATAATATACATATATTGTTGGCAAAAATATACAAACATTTCTGTATTTAAAATTGAGAATCAGTTATTTTTTATTTATATTTTTTTTTTAAATAATAAATCAATATTGTTGACGAATAATAATCTAGTAATGTTTGTTTTAGAGATACAGACACAACGTGCAAAAAAGTGAAACAAAGCTTTTGTGTGAAATGAAAGCGAGCTGACGATGGTTGTCGGGTGAAGAATGCGAAAGTAAAAAAAAAAAATAAATAATTTATTTTCCATTACAATCACAATTTTGTTTCTTCATATAATCATGAAAAAATAAAATCATTGAGAAATGAAATTTAGTTGGAAAATTGTATTTATAAATGATTGAAAAAAAATTTCCAGCATCATTCGAAAAAAAAATTTTTTTAGAATAAAAAAAAATTAAATACAATTTTTTTTTAAAAATATTTCTTTTAGTTTTGGAAATTTTTGGAAAATTTTATTCTATTTTATTCACAGTGAATTGAAAAAGGAAAAATAAAATTCGATTTTCTAAAAAATATTTCGTTTAGTAAAATTTGGATGTTTTAAAAATTAATTTGGAAAAGAAAACAAAAAAAAAAATTTCAATTCACAGCAAATTAAAAAAGGAAAAATAAAATTCGATTTTTTAAAATATATTTTCTATTGTAAAATTTTGAAATTTCAAAAATTTTATTCTATTCAAAGTGAATTCAAAAAATAAATATTTAAAAAAATGTTTAGTGTAAAAATTGGGAAATTTTTAACTGAAAAAGAAATAAAAATTATTTTCGAATTTTTTTTTTTTTGTAAATTATTTTGTTAACTGCAAATTTTTTTTTATTTTTCCTCAAAATCCAAACACATATATATTTTTAATTTCTAATAATATTAACGATGAAATGAATTTTATTTATCATTAAAGAGAGGGGAACGTGTGAATTAAATTTGAGGTGATACAAACTAATATAGAAATACCTCGATTTGCATCTAAATTATTCAGGAGTTAAAAGGATTTTGTGTCATGCATTATTAATTCCATATAAAGAGAGAGATGGTATAAAAGTCTTAAAAACGGACAAGAGCAAAAAAAAAAAAAAAATGTAAAAACACACGGAGACCAAAAATTGTGATAATAAATTTTTTTTTCACTCAAAACTTTTAATTTAAAAATTGTTAATTAATTTTCTTTCTTATTATTCATTATTTTTCTACGTCAAAATAATTAAGATGCAAGAAATTTTTTTTCAATATTTAAATTATAGAAATGTTTTTTTCTTTTTTTTTTTTTGGTTTCTACATCGATTGTATCTAAATTTTTGACTGGACTTTTTTATTTCGTGCGAACATGCTAAATGTAAATACTGCGATATAATTTTTTTTTTATGAATTTTCTCACGACAAAATATTTTCAGCTTGCATAAGCGATATATTTACACAATAAAAAAAAAGCTTCTCTACATTGCTGATGTGGTTGACATATTTGACGAAAAGTTACTTTCTCTATTTACAAAAAAATGAAAAAAAAAAAAAAAAAAAAAAAATAATGAAAAAAATACTAGAAAGTAAATAAAGAGAGAAAAATGAATTTCGACTAATTAAATTTTTTTCCTTTTTTAAAAAAAATAAATATATATATCCATGAGAGAGAGAAAGAATTTTTATGAAATATTTCTAAATATAAATTTTTCTCAAGGGGAAAATTTATGGAATATTTTTTCAAAAATCGTTTCCAAATGGAAATAAAAAAATTAATTTATAAAACTAATTTATTTTTTGAATGAAAAAAAAAATTATTTAGAAATTTAAATTTTTTTTTATGAAACATAAATATCTAAAAAAAAAAATCTAAAAAAAAAATGAATATAAAAAATTATTTTTTTTTTTCGAAAAATAAAAAGTGCACAGCAGACAATGTATAAGACTATAAACAGCAACACAGCAGGCCGATAGAACTGGTTTTGTTTTATACTCACAAGGACCATTGTTACTGTCGGGGGCTGCGAAACAGGTAGAGATACAAATACAATTTTAATTTTTTTTAACTCTTCATTTAAAAAAAGCGTTTTTTTAAAAATTAAATTAAAAATTTTCAAAATAAAAAAAAGCAGACCTTGAAAATTTATGATAAAAAATTTTTTTTTTTATTTTTTATAGAAATAATAATTTTTTCAATAATAATGGATAATAATATAGAATAATATATAATAAAATATATAATAATAATAAAAATATATTATAATAAATAATAATTATTATAATTTACTGTAATATTTTTAATAATATTAATAATAATAATAATAATAATAATAATGTAGAATATTTTTCAAAAAAAAAAATATTTTAAAAAAAGTAAAACAAAATTAGTTTTGAAATAAAATTAAAAAACTTTTTTTAACATACACATTTTTTGTTCATTTTTCATAAAATTTTCATGTCTGAATATTTTTTTTTTTATTGAAATTTGGGTAATCAAAGGAGTTTTAGTCGGATTTTTTTTTATGCTCACAATTTTACGTTTGCAAATCTATGTATGTATATACGCAAAATCACAACGACTTGTCGTAAAAAAAAAAAAATTTTTTTACCAAAACAGAAACGAGCAGTTATAAACAAATTAACGTAACTACGTTATTAATTTTTTTTTACAATTAACAACATTGACTATATAAATATATATATATATATATTGCACGCAAACATACATTTATAAAAACATTTACAGTTGATTGTTTTCAAATAAACACAGAAATTCAAAAAATAAACTGAGGAGAAAAAAAAACGAAAAAATTTTATACAAAAATTAAAAATTTGTTTTCTTTTTTGTTGATATAAAAGCCCCCGAAGAAAAAACTTTTTTTTTTGTCCAATCTTTTTTGTAATATTGAAAAAAGAATTTTCAAAATTATAAAAAAAAAAAGATTTTTAATGAATAAAATCCTTTGAGTTACTTAATGATGGTGATTAAAAATTAAGTCTGACACCAATTTTTTTTTTACAAGTCCATAGTTAGTATAATTTTAGATAGTGTAACTTTGAACCGAAATTTTTTTCCAAAATTCATTTTTTTTAGTAGAAATAAAATATTTTGGTTAACAATAAATTACAATTAGAAATTTTTTTTTTTAGGAAAATAAAAAAAAATCAGTTTTTTTGCAAATTCTTGCACTCTGTTGAATTTTAGCATAAAAGTAGTGATTAGAAAAAACGAAAGTGTACAAAATTCTGAATAATTTGAAAAAAAATACCGAATTTTTACAAAAAAAAATCGGTTTTTTGAAAATGACACATTTCGAACAGTTTTTGAGCTACAGGATTCAATTATTTTTTTCAAATTACTCAGAATTTTTCATTTTCTTTTTTCTAATTACTATTTTTACGCAAAAATGCAACAGGGGGCAAGAATTTGAAAAAATAAAATTTTTTGCAAATATTTTTTTCTATTTGCAATTTTTTTTTATTTTCATTAAAAAATTCCTGTTCCGATTGAAGTTGATTGTACGAAATTTACAATATTATTTTATTTCTATCAAATAATAATAATAATAATAATAATAATAATAATAATAATAATAATAATAATAATAATAATAATAATAATAATAATAATAATAATAATAATAATAATAATAATAATAATAATAATAATAATAATAATAATAATAATAATAATAATAATAATAAAGGTTTTAAGCAAATAAAATTTAAAAATATACGATTCGAAGTTACAATGGAATTTGTATTATTTTTCGACTAACTTAACTGGACTATAAATCTACTTTTATATTTTTTTCTCCCAAGAAAAATTTCGAGCATAATAATAGTCCCATAACCGATTTTCCTTGAAAATATTTTTTTTAAAATTATGCAATTACATAACATTATTATTATTATTGAAAAAAATAATAAATTCCTATAAATTATAAAAAGAAATTTACTTAAAATTTTTTTTTAAATCATTTTTTTTAAATTCAAAAAATAATAATAATAAAAAAAAAAAAAAATGTTGAAATAATTTTTTACAGTTATATAATTGCATTGGATTTTGGAAAGTTTTTAGAGCAGCAATTCCTCACCACCATCGTAATTAGAAATAATAATAATAATTTATATTATATTAATTTAATAAAGCTTTGATAAGTTTAATTTTGTTGTTGTTGTCGTCTTTTTTTTTTTTTTTTTTTTTTTTTTTAAATATTATTAATTATAATGAAAATTTATATAATTTAATTTGAAAACTCACCGGTGTTGAAGTCCAAAGCGAATTCTTCAAAGTCATTTCCTTTCGTGATGCTATAAATCAATTTTCGATTCAAAGGCGATTCTGCTTGAATTGACAGTGTTAATGGAGAATGAAGTTCGATACTTTCGAGAACATTGTCGGTGTAAAATTGTTTGTCGAAAATTGGCATCGAGCGATCGATTACTTTAACATTAACAGGCACTTCGATTGAGCAAGGCGTTGAACCTGAAAAATTATACATTTTATTTTGAAAATAAATGAAAAAAACAATTTATTTTTCCAATTCATTTGAATTAGAATCAATAAATTAAAAAAAAAAAATTTTTTTAAATTAAAAAAATAATTTTTTAAATAAAAAAAAATTTTTTAAATAAAATAAAAATTAAAGTATAATAATAAAAAAAAAGAAAATAGGAATTTTCTTACCACCGTCATAAGCAGCAATCATTAATTGATATTCCCGATTATGACCCTCTAAATTTTGTTTTAGAGATATTTCACCAGTTTTTCGGCAGACTTTAAATAATTCCCCGTGTCCTTTCTTTAATTCGTAGCGAACTTCACCGTTGTCACCACTATCCATATCGACGGCATGTACCTAGATTAATGATTAAATATTGTTAGAGATAAGAAAAACATTTTTTTTTTAAAAAGTATTACTTCTACTATAAGAGAACGGGGACAGGTTTAAATCTCAACTAAGTCGGCAACTGCTCGGTCGGTAATTTACCAACTGTCGTTAAGGTAGGAAACTATTATCCAAAATTTGACTCAATCGATAAAGTAGTGTTCTGTTTTATTCACAATTAAAGTCGATAAAACTAGTCGAGTCGGTAACAACTCGGCCGGTAACTTACATACTGTCGGTAAGGTAGAAATCTGTTATCCAAAATTTGACTCAATCAATAAAGTAATGTTCTGGGTTATTGACAATTAAACGTCGATAAAAACTAGTCGAGTCGATAACTACTAGGTCGAATATTTATCAAGTGTTGGTAAGGTAGGAATCTGTTACCCAAATTTGATTTAATCGACAATGTAGTGTTCTGTTTTCATCGACAATTAAAAGTCAATAAAACCTAGTCAAGTCGGTTGCTTCTCTGTTGATAAATTACCAACTGTCGGTAAGGTAGGTAATTTGACTCAATCGACAAAATAGTGTTCTGTTTTATTGACAATTAAAAGTTGATAAAAACTAGCCGAGTCGGTAATTACTAGGTCGATAACATACCAACAGTCGGTAAGGTAGGATATCCGTTATTTAAATTCGACTCAATCGATAAAGTAGAATTCTGTTTTCATGATAATTAAAAGTCGATAAAAACGTGTCGAGTCGGTAACTACTTGGTCGGTAACTTACTAATTGTCAGTAAGGTAGGTATTTGTTATTCAAAATTTGACTCAATCAACAAAGTAGTGTTTTTTTGACAATTAAAAGTCGATAAAAAAGACACCTTTCTTACCGGTTGAACTATGTTTTGGTAGTAGATTCCTACTTTACCGACAGTTGGCAACTTACCTATCAGGTAGTTACCGACTTAGCGAGAGTTAAATCCATTCCCGTTTTTTCTAGTAGTATTACTTTTAAATTGTTTTTATTTTGATTCATACACCAGGTTCGTTATTTTCGAAAGATCGAATATTCTTCAGGAAGTTTTTATCTATTTCGTATCTTTAGGACATAAGGAATACAATTATGGGGTTCGCGTCAAATATTCTTGATTTTTGTAATTGATACCGATATTTAAGTATTTTTTCTCTAAATTTAGGTAATAATTGTATAGTTAATAGTCATCAAATGCGTATTAGAGATTACTATAGATATTTAAATGTTAAAATTAGCAAAAAAAAAAATTTTTGCACCAGGTTCGATATTTCGAAAAAAATAAGTATTCTTCTGGATGTTTTTGCGAAATTTTAGTCTTTTAGCTTCAAGGAACACGTTTTTGGGGTTCCCGTCAAACATAGTTGCTTTTTTTTGCCATTTCTACAGATATTTATGTAAAATTCCATATATTTTATTAAATTAAAATTTTCTTACCTTTGTTATAACATCTCCCTTTTGTGCATCAACAGAAACAACAGCATAATAAGGAAGATTCACAAACATCGGACAATTATCATTGATATCAAGAATTGTAACATTGACAATAGCGTGTGCAACTCTTGGTTTCTTTTTGTCCATTTGACTTTTTGCTTCGATAATAAGTTCATAATTGTCAAGAATTTCTCTGTCAAATCTTTTGCCCGTTGTTTTTATTGCTCCCGATGTTGAACCAATGACAAACATATCAGTTGGATTTAAAATACTATAAAGTACATGCTCATGTAAATCACTTCCCAATACATTGACAACTTTTACGGTTGTTATTTTTGTTGTATTCTCCAAAATGACACCCTCATAGATATCTTTTTCAAAAACTAGACCAGAATTTTCCGATTTTTCAACGACAATATTCACTTGTGTAACACTTGAATATTTTCCATCAGAAACACGAACATGCAAAAGATAACGTTTCTTCAAATGCTCCGGGTCTTGAATTGTTATCACTCCCAAGTGGGAATCGATTTCAAACGTTTGTCCATGATTTCCGTCAATGATGTCGTATCTGAAATGGAAATTGATTTTCAGTATTTATGACAAAAAAAAAAAATTTAAATATTTTATATATTATAAATTTTAAATTATAAAATATAAATAATAAATTATATATATAATAAATATAAATAGAATAAATATAGTCTTAGAAATAATTTTAGATTGCGAAAAAATAATTTTTTTTATTTTTTAATTAGTGCTGCACTAGGTTCTGTATTTTTTAAAAAAGAATATTCACCAGGAATTTTTGGTGAATTTAATTTTATCAGCGTTTGAGAGAAACGATTGTGGGTTTTACGTCGAACTCTGTTACTTTTTTTTAGCTTGTAAATAAAAGGAATTTCTAAAAAAAAAATTGTATCTAGTCGTAAAAAATGATTTTTACTGCCTTTTGTAATAGGCGGTTGTACTATAATCGTATAAGTGAAATTATATGGTCCGTGCACTAGGTTCAATATTTTCTAAAATATAAACATTCTCCTGGAAGTTTTGGTGCATTTTTCACTATTATGGTGTAAGGAAACATGTTTTTAGGGTTTCCCGTCAAAGGCCGATATTATTTTTTTATCTAGATTCTTGCAATTAATAGAAATATCTCAAGTACATCATAAAAGAAGAATTTCTCGTTCGTAAAAGAGAAATTTTTACGGTTTATTGTAATATAAGTGATTGTAAATCGATTTTTGGCAAAAAAAATTTTTCGTGCACTAGGTTCAATATTTTTCAAAAGTTTTTGGGGTTCGCGTCAAACTCGAATCATATTCGTCCTTGTACTAGGTATAAAATTGAAGTTCTTTTCTTAAAAAAATGGCAAAACTTCATATTTTGCTTAAATTGTTGTTTGTTTATGAATTATTACTATCAAGAAGTGATTAAATATTAAAAAACCAAAAAAATATTTTTTTTGCACTAGGTTAGATATTTCAAAAAGAAAGAATATTCTACAGGAAGTTTTTGTAGATTTCTCATTATGAGGGTTTAGGGAAAGAGTTTTTGGGGTTCGCGTCAAAGACAGGTATTATTTTTTAGCTAGATTCTTGCAATTAATAGAAATATCCAAAATCGACCAAAAAAAAAATTTCCCGTTTCTACAAATCGGATTTTTGTATTTTATTGTAAGTAATGTAAGTGTTTTTAAACCGATTTTAGGCAAATAATGTATTTCGTGCACTAGGTTCAATATTTTCGAAAGAAAAAATATTCTACAGGAAGTTTTTATGAATTTCTCATTATTAGGGTTCAGGGAAGAGGTTCATAGGGTTCGCGTCAAGTTCGATAAATATTTGTTCTTGTACCAGCGTAAAAATCGTAGTTCTTTCAAAAAAATTGAAAGAATGTCATATTTTGACATAATTGATTATTGTCTATGATTTATTACGATCAAGAATTGATTTGGTATTAAAAAACAGAAATTTTGTTATTTTTTGCACTAGGTTCAATATTTTCAAAAAAATCACAATTCTACAGGAAGTTTTTGTGAATTTTTCATTATTAGGGTTCAAGCAAAGAGTTTGTAGGGTTCGCGTCAAACTCGAAATATATTTCTCCTTGTACCAGCTCTAAAATTGTAGGTCTTTGTTTAAAAAAATGGCAAAACTTCATATTTTGGCTAAATTGTTGCCTGTTTATAAAATATTACTATCAAAAAGTTAGTAAATAATTTAAAAGTAGAAAATTTGTTATTTTATGCACTAGGTACGATATTTTCGCAACAAAGAACTTTCTTCTGGAAGTTTTTGTGGTTTTCACATTATTAGGGTTCCAGAAAAAGGTGTAAGAACTCCCGTCGAACTCTGCTGGTATTTTTAACCAAAAATTTCGGTAAATAATACTAAATTCCAAAAATACATTGTATCTAGTTGTAAAAGAAGGGTTTTTACTCTTTTTTTGTAAAATTCGGTTATATAACAGTGTTAAACATTGAATACAGCAAAATTATTTACCCCATGCACTAGGTTCAATATTATCAAAACTATTAACATTCCCCTGGAATTTTTTGTTAATTTCTCATTATTATGGTGTAGGGAACGTGTTTTTAGGGTTCCCGTCAATATTTACTCATTGTGGGTAAATAAAATAAAGTAAAATAGAATTTTTTTAATCAAAAAACAATTTCTTACCTAAGAGGTGTTCCCTCGGTGCTGTCGGGATCGTTCGCTTTCACAGTGATAACAGCAACATTTTTATAAGTCGGCAACAACACCGTTGTATTATATTCATTTCTCAAAAATTTCGGTGGACAATCATTAACATCAGTCACAGTAATAATAACTTTTGCCGTTGTTTCCGATGATAATTTCGGTTTTCCCAAATCCGAGACCTTAACATGAAATGAAAATTCCGGCATTGTTTCATGATCCAATACCATAACTGTTCTAATTGCCCCTGTACTTGAGTCAATGTGGAAAAATTTCCTCGGTACATCCTCAACAATATCATAATTAAGAAGTGCATTTAATTCCGAATCGGCGTCCTCAGCTTTAATCACCAATGGTGAACTACCATTTGTCAATACCAATGATCCAATAATCGCACCTTCACTTATTTCACCGATATAAATTGCCTGAAGGAAATGTGGTGGATTATCGTTCTTGTCCAGAACGTGGACAATAACATTGCACGTTGCCGTTGCACCGGCCATATTTGTCGCTAGTAGTGTTAAATTGTAAAATTTCATTTTCTCATAGTCGAGACTATTTTTTGTCGTTATAACGCCAGTGCTTGGATTCACAAAGAAAGTACTGTCACGATTTCCACGCATGATTTCAAACATAAGGGACGAGGTGCTTCGTGCCTCGACGTGTTTCACATAAGTGCCAATTTGTTGATTCTCATAAATCTCGGCGGCAAGTTCCCTCTGAAGGAATCTCGGGGGAGCATTGTCGGCCATTGTTATCATTACATGTACGGGAACTGAATTTGATAGTTGCGGTGTGCCGTGATCTGTTGCTTTTACAAGGAGAATGTATTCTGACGATGTGCTTAAATCCAATTCTCTTGCTACACGTATTAGGCCTAAATCTGCATCAATATTAAAGACGTTGCCAACATTTCCTGATGTTATGGAATATGTGATGCGTGCATTTTTACCACGATCTTTGTCAATAGCGTAAACCTGCAAAAAAAGGGAGAAAAATTAATTTTTTTTTTCTTTTTGATGCACTAGGTTTGATATTTGCGAAATAGAGATTATTCTACAGGAAGTTTTTGTAGATTTCTCATTATGAGGGTTTAAGGAAAGAGTTTTTGGGGTTCGCGTCAAAGTCCAAACAAATTCTTCCTTGTACCAGGTCAAAAATTGTTGTTCATTTAAAAATAATTTGTAAAAACTTCATATTTTTGAATAATTAATTGTTTATGATTCATTATCATCAAGAATTAATTAAATATTAAAAAACAAAAAATTTGACTTTTTATGCACTAGGTTCGATATTTGCGAAATAATGAGTATTCTCCTGGAAGTTTTGGAGAATTTTTCATTATTAAGGTTCAAAAAATGGGTTTATGGGGTTCGCGTCAAAGTTCCAACAAATTCTTCCTTGTACCAGGTCAAAAATTGTAGTTCTTTTTTTAAAAAAATGTAAAAATTTATATTTTGGATAAATTGTTATTTCTTTATGAGTTATTACTATCAAAAAGTGATTAAATATTTTAAAAAACTATTTTTTTGCACTAGGTTCGATATTTCAAAAAGAAAGAATATTCTACAGGAAGTTTTTGTAGATTTCTCATTATGAGGGTTCAGGGAAAGAGTTTTTGAGGTTCGCGTCAAAGTCCAAACAAATTCTTCCTTGTATCAGGTCAAAAATTGTAGTTCCGTAAAAAAAATTGAAAAAACTTCATATTTTGTCTTAACTCAAGACTTTTTATGTTTTATTACTATCAATAAGTGATAAAATATTAAAAATTAGAGAATTTATTTTTTCATGCACTAGGTTCAATATTTTCTAAAATATAAACATTCTCCTGGAAGTCATTAAAAGGATGTAAGAAAGTGTTACGGACATTTAGAAGTTAAAAATCGTAAAAAATAAATTTTCACGCACTAGGTTCAATATTTTCCAAAAAAAAGACAATTCTACAGGAAGTTTTTGTGAATTTCTCATTATTTGAAGTCAATGAAAAAGTTTGTAAGGTTAGCGTCAAACACAGTTGATTATTGTCATTTATACAGTTATGTATACGTAATATTTTACAATTAAAATAATTATTTTCTGTTTAATAGTTATCTAACTAGTCTGTGAGAGTAGTTATGAAATTTAAATGTTATAAGTAGCAAAAAAAAATATTCTTTGCACCAGGTTTGATATTTTCAAAAGAAAGAATATTCTCCTGGAAGTTTTTGCCAATTTCTCATTATTAGGGAGTAGGGTATAAGTTCCTAGGGTTCGCGTCAACCACCGTTTATTTTTTTCCATAAAAATAGTTAATTATATGTTTTTTTTCAAATTTTGATCGATTACTGCATGTTTATCAAACAGCTTTAAATGAGACTGGTACTTATTACTACAAAAATAGCAGAGATTTTTTTTTTTTGCACCAGGTTCGTTATTTTTCAATAAAAAACAATTCTACAGGAATTTTTTACAGTTTCCTACTTTTAAGACTTAAATCCACAAATTTTTAACATTCCCGCCAAAGACGGTTAATAATTAAAAAAAAAAAAAAAAAAAAAAACTCACCTGAACCACAGTACTGCCAACAGCGGAAGTTTCAAATATTTTACCCTGAATAATTTCACTTGTAAATTCAGGTGCATGATCATTATGATCGTGTACAGTGACAATGACACGTGCATAATTTCTTTTTGCCGGTGTTCCTTGATCTTTTACCATTATCGTTAAAATATGTTCCTCAATTGTTTCACGATCCAATGATTCTTTTAATGTCACTGTTTCTGTTAATGAATCAACGTGAAAAATTTCCAATGACGCTTGATTTTGTGCCGCATGTAAACTGTAGAATACTTTTTTATCCTCATCCTCATCCGTCGCGTGTAATTGTAATACAGTTTCGCCTTTTTCAACATTTTCCGAAATTTCCACACGATATGTAATTTCACTAAATTCAGGTCTATGATCATTGATATCAATAACTGTGACAAATAATTGTGTAAATGCCTGATGTATACCGTCAGTTACACTTATTGTTAAATTATAAAAATTTTTCGTTTCCCAATCCAATTGTTTTGCAAGAAGAACATTTCCATTGTCTCTGCCAATGAAAAATTCATCTTTTTTGTCGCCATCTGTAAATAATTTTTATTTAATTTTAATTTTTAATTATTTTAAATTTTTTTTTTAAATTTTATTTAATTTTGATTTTTATTATGTTTTAGTTTTGATTTTGATTTTTTTTTTTAATTTCCATTGATTTTTGTGAATTTTTTATTATATAAAAAGGGAAAATTTTTTTTTTACTTACCAACAATGTCGTACCACAAAGTATCACCGTCTTTATCTGTCGCTTGTACCAATGCAACTAGAAATCCAACTTTGTCACTTTCGGTAATTTTAACAGTTTGATTATTTGTTTTGAAAACTGGAGGATTTTCCGACTCTGTCGGTAATTCGACAACTTGTACAGAGACTCGAGTTTGATGGCTTCTTTGGGGTTCTCCAAAATCTGCAGCTCGTATCTAAAAAGACAAAAAAATTTTTCACCCTTTTTTTTTTTTTTTTGCAAATTTATTTATTTTTCAATAAATTATTTTTTTTGGGAAAAATACATTAACTTTTTCTTTTATTAATTATTAAGAAAGAAAAACTTAATTTTCTTTTTTTTCGAAAAATATAATTTTTATAAATTAAATAAAAGAATTATTAATTTATTTATTAAATAATTATATTATTTTTCAATTAAATTAAATTGTAAAATTAAATTATTAATAAAATTATTTGAATAATTTATTGAAAAATAAATACAAAAAATATATATATACTTTATATTTATCATTAGTGAATTATATCGAAATTAGGAAAAACATATTGGCAATAAAAAAAAATTATTATCTTAAAAATCGTTTAAATATAAAGTATCTCTTACAAGCATTTCGTATTCTTGACCAGCCTCGAAGCCACGTTGAGAATAAACCATTCCAGTCGAGGGGTGAATTTTGAATTTCCCTTTTCCTTTTCCACTTTTGATGCTGTACTGAATTCTTCCATTGTCTCCAACGTCTTTGTCACAGGCAAGTACCTAAATTCATGAAAGAAAAAATTTATTTCATATTTTTATTTTCATTTTTTTTTTTTTTTTTAATTTTAATTAACAACAATTTTTTTTTCTACAAAATTTTTCTTTGCTTTTTAAATAATTGTTGTTTTTTTTTTTACAAAATTTTTGTTTACTTTTTAAATAATAATTTTTTTGAAAATTTTTCCTTGCTTATTAAATAATTTTATTTATTTTATTCTTATTGTACTTTTTGGTACAAACAAAAAAAAATTTTATTTATTATTTTTTTAAAAAAGAAAATAATAATAATTTTATTTATTATTTATTTTATTCCTACTGTATTCTTTGGTACAAATAAATAAAAATAATTTTATTTTTTTTCCTACTGTATTCTTTAATACAAATAAAAAAAAAATTAATTTTTTTTCGACAAATTTTTCTTTGTTATTTAAGTAATTTTTTTTCGGAAATTTTTTTTTGCTTTTTTATAAAATAATTTAACTAAATTAGACATTTGATTTGAAAAAATATATCAAGTGACGGAATGAGAGAGAGAGAGAGAAAGAGTGTCTGACCGTAACCGGCTTATCTACTGCTTGTCCGACTGGAACTTGACTTAAACTACTAGCAGTCTGTGTAAGACCAACTTTCTCTACTGAGCGGCTGACCAAGTTTGAAACGTTTCACTGAAAAATGGGTTTCCACTGCCGGTCTGACTGAATTCGGCTTTATCTACTGCCCGTCGACCTTCTGCATTCCCGAGTAGATAAAAGAGATTTTGGTCAGACGCTCTTTAATTTACTTTATTGGTCGAGTATATCAAAGTAAATCGAGCCTAAAATTAACTTTTTTTTTTTGCCTATTCCATATATTGGAAAATGTGGGTTACATTTTTTCACAAACTGTTTAACATAGGAGGAATAATGTTATTTCTTTTTTTAAATTAGAGAAAAATTTTTTTTAACCATATTAATGTTGAAAAAAATTATAATTTTGATTTACTATGAAGTAAATTCAATTAATAATTTTAATTTTAAAATCAAAAAGTTTTAGTTTATATTGAAATTTTTTTATTTCAAACTCTGAAAATTTTGTTATTCTAATAATTAAAATTTTTTTTAAAACGAAAATTTTTTTATTTTAAATTAATTTTATTATTATAATCTTAAAAAAATTTTTCGTTTTAATTTAAAAAAAAATTTTTATTAATAAAATTATAAAAATTTATATTATTTTTTTTTTATTTGCACCAAAGATTATTAAATAATTAAATTATTAAAATATTTAATTAAAATAAGTAATTTTTATTAATAACGGAAAATTGTTTTTTAAACATTAAATTTTATAAAAGAAATTATTTTTTAAAAATCTATAAATTTTCATTTCTTTGAATTTTAATATTTTGCGCCGACACTGAAAAAATGTTGAAAGTATAAATCTTGACATGAAAAAAAAATATTAACCTAAAATTATTACCTTTCACTGAAAGAAAATATAATTTTTAATTATTAAAATTACAAATTTTCAATAATTATTTTATTTGAAAGGCTATTTCCACATATAGAGGTATACATGTATAATGCACATTCCTAAGCGTTTGCATTCTCAGAGTTCATGCGCCACATTGATTTAGTTATATACACGATGCAGTGTTTTTTTTCTTTTTTTATATGAGGTAAAGTCATTTATTAATGGAAAAATAATTTGTTGTGTAAAAATGAGATGAAATTTTTATTTTATTTGTAAAAATAGATATAGAAATATCGATCTATTGAAATAACGTATAAAAAATAGATATATCGATACAACTATCGAAATAAGTATAAGAATATTGATCTATCGAAATAAGGTATGAAAAATCGATATTTCGATATATCGATACAAGGATTCAAATATCGATATAACGAAATATATATCGATATAAGTATAAAAATATCGATATATCGATGGAAATATAAGAATGTCGATATATCGAAATAGGTACAGAGATCGATATATCAATGGAAATATAAGAATATCAATATATCGAAATAGGTACAGGCATCGATATATCGACAGAAATATAATAATATCGATATGTCGAAATGAATATGTAAATATTGATATATCGATGGAAATATAAGAAAATGGATATATCGAAATAGGTACAGAGATCGATATATCGATAGAAATATAATAATATCGATATATCGAAATGGGTATGTAAATATCGATATATTGAAATAGGCATTAAAACCTCGATATATCGTTATAAATATAAAAATATCGATAAATTATTTTTTTTTTATTCTTTTTGGCAGTAATTGATTTGGCAGGGATCAGTGAATAATCAAAAACTAAAATTTGATTTAGAACCGTGAAAATAAGGAAATTATCTTGTTTTCATTGAAATGAATGTTGGATTTATATAATAATAATAATAATAATTCAATTTTTTTTGTTATAATAGTAAAAATGAATAATACTTAAAAAAATAGAATTATAATCTCATTTCATATAATTGTATAGTAAAAGATTATTTTCTAAAAAGAAAAATTGCACGTTAATAATATACCAGAAATAAAAGGTAAATTACTTTAGCATTATTTTTAACTTAGTTTTTGCAGATAATTAAAAATGAAATTATATTTCCATTTCTTGGGTAATTTATTTTTCTTATTTTTAAAAAAGTTAATTTTCTTGGCTATGCAATTGTACAAGACAGGTGTATATATATATGTATAAGTTGATAAGAGAAATGGAAAATGAGAGTAGTGAAGACACCTCTATATGTATATATTAAATATTTATTATTATTATTATTATTATTATTATTATTATTATCAGACGATGCACTATGATAAACGTATAAATATTAAAATGATATAATGGATATATATACGAGAGACTTGGTTGAGTAATGGTCACAGTTCGTTCGTGTAATTTTTAAAAGATAAATATTTAAACAAATGCAAAAGAATGTAATGAATTCAGAATTTTATATATATATATACATTACTATATATATATATCATTCTTTATGAGTTAGATTTCCGACGTTAAGCCATCAGCCATTATTTAATTATAGTATATAGTATATAGGTATGCATTCTCAGAAAATTTTGTTAAATCATTCCCTCAGCAAGTTTTGTGATCGTTTGTTTTTAATACGAATGGTACAAAATTTATAATTTAATATTAAAATTTAAATTAATAGTTAAATATACATAATAATTAATTAAACAATAATTAATAATTAAATAATAAATAATGATTTATTAATTATCGTAAATAATAATGTTTTCTCTGAACCTCTAATTGCTAATATTAATATTTGACTATCATTATTATATATGTATATGAGTTTAGTATATCCAAATATTGAGTTAAGAGTAAACTTCACATTATTCATATAATAATCCCGACGTGATGCAAGTAGTTTTGATTTTGTATACAAAAAAAAAAAAATTTATACGTTAATGTCAATTCAAAAAATTTCTAACCTAAAAATTTTATTTCATTTTTAAGTATTAAATAAAGAAAATTATTTTTTAATTTTTAGTTCATTGAATTTTTTTTCTTTTAGTAATAATAATAGCATATAAAACTAAATCATGCAATACGCGGAAAATTATCCATATAGAAAAGAGAAGTTTTCAACTTTATTCATTATATTGTTTTAATTATTAATTTTTTTTTTAATAGACATTTTATACTACATAAATTTAAACGAATATTTGAGAGAGAAAATTTTCAGTTTTGTGAACTAAAGTTTATCAATTATTAATAATAACAAAATTTATCTGTTATCGTCAGACAAAGCTTAAACTTTTTTTTTTGTTATCATGAAAACTATAACTATTATATTAAACTTTTTTTCGCATATTAATAATAAAAGCCAGTTCATAACAGTTGAGAATGTTGAAACATTTTTTTTTCTTTTTAAAACATATTTTTTTGAAATAAATTAGTTTTTTTTACAAATTCCAATTATTTCTGTATACATGGTACTCTATTATTTTAAAACAACGCCTACTTTAATTTAAACCACACCTATTTATTTTTAAATTCTAATTTTGCTTTGACCACGCCTAATTCTATAAACTCCAACCACTTTTATTAAATACACGCCCACTTTTGATAAACCACGCCTATTTGTACAAAAATCACGCCCACATAGAATTAAATTCTTTCATTTCTGTAAAAATCATATGGATTTTTATTAACTTCCATTTAATCCTCGCCTATTTATAAATAAAGCCACGCCCTATATGGTAACTCTTCCCCCTTTCACTTTCGATAAACCACGCCTATTTGTATAAAAGCTACGCCAACATAGAATTAACTCTCCCATTTATGTAAAAAACCGCATGAATTTTTATTAACTTCTATTTAAACCCCGCCTATTTATAAATAAGCCACGCCCTATGTGGTAACTCCCCCTTTTACTTCCAATAAACCACGCCTATCTGTATAAAAGCCACGCACTCTAAAGTAATTCCTTCCCCTTCTACTTTTGATAAACCACGCCTATTAGCATGAAAGCCACATCCTATAGCATAACCCCCCTCTCTTTTAGTGAGCTCCGCCTACTTTTATTAATGTTCACGCCCATATATAATTAAGTCACGCCTATGTACAATAACTCCTTCCACTTCTTTATAAACCTGTATCATTTTTATCAATTTTTATTTAAACCACGCCCTTATAGAATAATCCCTCCCACTTTCGGTGAGCTCCTCCCACTTTTATTAATGTTCACGCCTACTTATTCATAAGCTCCACCCACTTTATATAAATTTATCTTTAAACAACTCCCGAGTTTTTAATTTTCCGCAGTTTTAAGCTTTTTTAAAAAATAAAATTTCGATTTTTTTAAATTTCCTGTAGTTGAAAGAAGATAATAAAAGAAATATATTTTCTTTAGAGAAAGTAAATGAAAAATTCATGTTTATCGATCACAGAACTTGCTGAACCTATTGTAATATTGAAAAAAATAAAATTTATCCCGTTAAAAAAAAGATTCTTTTTTAACATATCACACGTGACATTTAGCTGCATGTGTGGATTTTTTTTTTTTTGCGTGCCATTAGAATCTTACCCTGAAGAAACGATCGCCTGTCAGACTGTCGGGGCTAAAAGTCTCCCAAGTCCCATTCTCGAGTAATGTATCGATCGACAGGTCATACTCCCGCGAGCGGTTCTTCGATTTCTGTCGAGAACCAGAGAGAAAGAGAGATAGGACGACTTTTATCACATTTTACTTCTTTTTTTTCCTCACTTTTGTGGTGTGTACAGGGTATATATATATATATATTTTCTTTTTTACTTTTATACAGGATAACACTATATATAACGAAACGATCGCGAAAAAGCCAGAAGTGATAGGATATCGATGATAGTGTCAATATATTTTAAACATGAAAAACGTTTTAACTTTTAAATTAAAAATAATAATATGTTTTATGGAATTTTAAAATGAAAAAATTTATTTTTAAATTAAAAATAATAATATTTTTTATGGAATTTTTAATATTAAAAATTTTTTAAAAAATATTTAATTTTAGTTTGAAAAAAATTTGTAATTCTTTTATTTAAAAAAAAATTTTACTTTTAAAATACAAAAATGAAAAAATTTTTAATTTTAATTTTCAATATTAATAATATTGAATTTATTTAATTGACCTTTTGATATACTGAATATCATATTTTAGAATAATGTTATAAAAAAAATTATATCGATATTTTATCACTATATGGCGAAAAGCATATTTTTAAGATTTTTTAAAAAAAGCACAGGAAAGTCGGTGGGGGGGGTGTAATTATCAACTGGAAGGGGAAATTAATCTACATAAGCGAAATCTAGTTAAAGCACTTTGTATTTAAATTCATAACACGCGCGATTTTTTTCTCGTTCAAGTGTAAAAGTTGGTTAAAAAATTTGTATTTTTTTTTTTTAACTTATTATCAATTTTTGTAAGTCAACGAAAAATTATTGAATCTTTAACACTTTTTATAATCTCTTAAAAATGGAAAAATTAAAATTCATAATTTTATTATTTTAATTTTAAAAATTGGATTAATAAATTAATTTATTTTTTTGGCAATTTTTTGTTTTTTGAAGAATTTAAAAAAAAATTATATACTTATAAAAATTATTATAATTTTTTTTTTTCGTGAAATTTAACGCTTGCATTGCGATTTTTGATTGTCACATCAAGTGATGAATGAATCTGCGTTTATACGTATACATGTGAGAAATGTGAAAGGTGTATTTAATTACGAAGTGCAGAATTACGGGTGCAATCCCAAAGTGCTTCAAAGTGCTTGAAACATTGGAACTATCAAAATCTATTTAACAAAGTGGACAATTTTTTTTGCTTCATTTTTTTCTCAAATATTATATTTAATAGGGTAAGGTTTTTTAAAATATTTTGTCAGATTAAAAAATAAGTTAGTTTTTAAATAATAGGGTATTTTACAGGGAAATATTTTTTTATGTACATTTTAACAATTATTTTTTATTAACCTCTTATATATATCTTTTTTTTTAAATTTTTTGTCGTACTTCGTCTCACACATACTATATTCAAGTGCATTTTAATTATAAATACACCCAAAGAATTTTTTTTATTATCAAAAAAAAAAAAAAATGTACTTCATTTTGAATTGAATAAAATTTTCTTTATCTCAGAGATAAATATTTATTTGTTTTAAATAAAAACTTTTTTTACCTAAAATAAAAATTTATATTTAAGCAAAATGAAATTTATTTTTAATAAAAAAATATTTATTTACCTCTAAGAAAAATATATTTAATCTCTGAATGTATTTTTTGTATTATTTCTAGAAAATAATAATTACTTATTTAAAATTAAACTTCAAAGTTTTTATATTTCGAAATTTTCATTATTTCCCGACAGTAAATTTTAAATGAATATTTAAATAAGATAATTTTCTTAATTAGAAATTCTGATAAGAAACTTACCTGAAATAGTGGTTTGTCAATGTCTTGCGAGGCTGGAATTTGAACGATGTAAAATTTCTGCTCGAACTCCGGACCGTGGTCATTTACATCCTCAACTTTGACGACTACACGAGTCGTTGACGAAAGTGGTGGTTTACCATCGTCTTTCACGCATACCTAGAAACACAATATTACATTACATATATATGTATACATAAAGAAGTATCAAATTAAGAAAATTAAAATATTTTACATTTTATTATTTTTTAAGCCCCGACTACTTTTTTTTTAATACCACGCCTACTTATGAGCTCCGCCTATTTTTGTTCAGCTAGCATCTACTTCTATTACATGTAAGTCCCGCCCACTTTTTATATTCACGCCCATTACTTTGAGTCCCGCCCATAATTAAATGTCACGCCTACTTATATGTTTCGCCTTTGTTTAGTTCACACCTATTACTCTTAAGTTTCGCCTCTATTTAGAATAAGCGTATTTAACACCACGCCCATTATTTTAAAGCCCGCCTATAATTAAATACCACTCCTACTATGTTTCGCCTTTGTTTAGTACACACCTATTACCCTTAAGTCCCGCCTTTACTTATACAATACGCCCATTTTTATTAAGTGCACGCCTACTACATTGAAACCCCTCCCATTTTAAAAAACCACGCCCACTTTTTAATTTTTGACTTTTATTACTTTTTGTGTATTATACTTAAGTCCCACCCACTTTTGTACAACCACGCCTACTTTTTATATTATAAATAATCCTGATTGATTAACGCCTATTATATTTGCGTCCCGCCCACTTTTTAAGACCACGCCTACTTTTTATAATAAAATCGTCATTGTTAAGTGATTTATACTAATTTTTTATATCTAGGTACTTTTTTTAAAACCACGTTTACTAATTTTATATTCAGCATATTTCTTTTACGCCTACTTTTTTGTAAACTTCGCCCACTATGATGAATACCACGCCTACTTATATAAATCGAAAAATTATAACAATTTTACTATTAATGTTAATAATACATTTTTTTAAAAAAATAATTATACTTAAAAAGAAATACTGTCTACTTTTAAAAAAATTATGATTAAATTTCATAAAATTGGAAATTTCAGTCTGAAAGAGATACAATCAACGCGTACTTTTCTTTTATTTTTTTTTCCTTATGCTTTTTAATCTTTTTCACTTGCAGCGGTTTCTCTTAATCGCACAAAATGTTTTCGTGCCTGGATATTATATCACTACTAAAATCAGCGCATACAACGAACCTCGTTTCTGTAATATTGCTCGATAAACTTTTTATCAGAAGGTTTTAATCATCATAGTGAATATTGCTATCAATTTTGTCGACGAAAATTCATGTAATATATGTCTAAAATGAAAAAAAAGCTGCTAGGGGAATTTTTATTTTTTGTTTCTAAATATCTAGCAAATGTTTATCACTTTAAAATTCAATTAAAAAAAAAAAAAATAAAAGAAAATAAAAAATTGTAGATAAAATATTTGTTATTAAGAGTTTTAATTTTTGTTATAAGATACGAAGAAAGTGTGAGATAAATTTCACGCAATATTCGCGAGGACAATTTTCGTGAGTCCCGAAAGGCAATTTCCCGTTGAATTCGCATTCGATGAAGAGCCGTAAATTTTGCGTCTCTCTCTCTCTCTGGAGGACACTTCACGAGCCGTAGCGTGTCACATTTTTGGGTAACATCTGCACTAAATTAGGGCTGGCAAACTCGGTTTTCCTCGAAAGGACGGAACGTCTAACAGTTCCGCAACACACAAACACACATACTCACTCACACATATATATCTCTTCTAGGTACTTTGTAACTCAAGTAAAAAATTTTTTTTTCGAAAAAGTATATTGCCTCACGTCCCTTGTGACAACGAAGTTAAGATTCAAACCTGAGTTGGTTGAAGAATAAAAATTTCCAACACAAAGTAAAAATATATTTCGATTTAATATAATAAAATGTAAAATAGAGTATAGCTAGCTAGAGAGAAAGAGAGAGCATGAATATGCACTCGAGAAAATTTTCAATTTAAATTAAAAAAAAAAGTATAATATTCTTTAGTTTTCAATTTACAATAAATTAATATTCATATATAATTGTACAAGGTAATAAAATGCCTTTAAAAGTTTCAATATTGTTTTTCACTATAATAAATTTTTTTTAAAATAACAAATAATAAATGTTAAAATAAAAAATATTGTTTTCAATTAATTTCTTTATAAATGTGTAATAAAACCCTAAAAAAAAAATTTTTCCTGCAGTAACATAAAATGGAAATAAAATAAGAGAACTTTAAAAACGAAATAAATGTCGACACAATATTTATATATTTTTCAATATTAATAAAAAAAAAATATTGCATATTTTAATCAAAAAGAGCTTTTTTAAATTATTTATTTTTAAAAATGATAATTTTTATGTTACAAATTTTGAATTGATTAGAATTTTTTTTAAGCAGAATATAAAAAAAAGAGCTATCTCACTATAAATATAGCATTTATCAGTAGCGCAAGGGTAATTAAATCCCTCTAGAGAGAGTTTCTATTTTATAAAGTTTTTCCTGCAACTCCAAGAAAATCTCTCACACAGCTTGTAACTTTTGCAATTTGCTTAAGAATCATTTGGTGCGCAATGAAAGACCCACTTTCGCAAAAAGTGCATTTTTTTCAACAAAGCCTTACAAAAAATATATATATAAAACTCTCATAAACTTTTCAAGAGCTTAAACAAATGAAACTTTTTTAGATCCTATTTTTGCCTGGTTTACACTTTTAAACCACGCCCATATTTACACAATCACGCCTATTTTTATTTAGACAACGCCTACTGCATGCAAGTCACGCCTACTTTTTAATGTCCTCCTTCTATTTTTATACAGTCCACGCCTGCTACATTCATGTTCTACCTACTTTTTAATGCCACGCCTACTTATATGTTCCGCCTAGTTCAATTTAGTTTACACCTACTACCCATAAACCACGCCTCTATTTTTGGAAATACGCCCATTTTTTGGACCACGCCCATTATTATTTTTAAGTCCAGCCTATAATTACTAAATTATTAGTAGGCGTGCTATTAAACACGCATACTTGTACGTTCCGCCTATTTCTGTTGAGTTTACACCTATTACCATTAAGTCCCGCCTATATTTTAAAATACGTTCATCTATAGACCACGCCCATTTTTTGAAAGCACCCCCTATAATTACATGTCACGCGTACTAATATAATCCGCCTACTTTGTTTAGATCACACCTATTACCCTTAAGCCCCGCCTTTATTTTTAGAATACGCCTATTTTTTATTTAGTCCACGCCTACTGTATTGAAGTCCCGCCCATTTGTAAATGGGCAAGCCTTAAAATGGGAAGGCCTTTTTTTATATTTTGGTTTATTTCTAATAAATAAATGTCTGGTATTTTTAAATACCTTCTAATTTTTAAATGTGACACGCCTACTTTTTATATTTTAATTTTTTTAATTTACATATTTTTTTGAAAATTTTGACAATGAGTCAAGTTATATGTATATATTTAAAGAAAGGGAGTTTTTATACGTATGTAAAGAAATATTCTAACCCAGAAAGAGTAAGAGAGAAATAGTCAACGATTAATAAAAGGATGTTAAAAAATTCTGGTTAGCCAGCGGCTAAGTCCTCGTTCATATTTTATGGCTCAGAAAACTGCAATGTTCCTCGCTATGTTTACATTAGAACAACGTGACTGATAACAGTTGGTTCGTCAACGTCGTCTTTAAAGGCTAAAATATGTTATGAATAAGAATAAGAAATATTTTATAAATGAGGAGGCCACTTTTCAAGCATAAGTTGAATTTTTTTTTTTACCAATTTAAAAGAACATTTTTCTTAACCCCTCTTTTAAAAAAAAATATAATTTTTACAATTTTTATTTGCGGAATTAAATGAATTATTATTTAATTTAAACAATGGGACTTAAAATAGGAAGATTAAATTTACATTTATTCTAATGTCAATGGTATATAATAAAGTAAAACCATGTTATATTACATTTGACATGACGTTGAGTTGTTACTCGTGTGAAATTGATAGAATCATATCTAGGAAAATTGTATTTTCAAGGTTTAATTAAAATTTAGATTGTTACAGTTTACATGTTCGGTGTTAATTATTCACGAGAATTCTCCAGAATCCAATACTCGACTTATAAGTAAGTTTCAAGCGTCCCATGAATAATGAACAGTTCGATATATATGTAGAACTCTAACTCTACACTCTTATATATATATATATATATATCAATACAAACTTAAGACATTATATAGATTTCAAGATGATATCATCAACAAATTGGTGTTTAAAATAATTTTAATAAAACTTAAAAAAATTTTATTATAAAAATTAACTTTAAAACCGAGAGAGAGAGAGAATAAAAAAAATTAAAAGTAAATAAAGTTCAATAAACAAAAAATGAAATTTTATTTTAATATTAATGAAATAAAATGTGGGTGTTTATTTTATGTTTTATAAACACGCAAGAGATCAGTGAATTTTTATATTATTATTATTATTACTATTATTATTTTTTTTTAATGAGAAGTTATTATTTGTTTCGTGGATTTAATTAACTTGAAACAAAATATTCTCGCACTATCGACTCGTGAAGTTAATATTCTTTTCAATTGAACTCAACATAAATAAAACATTTACTCTTGGATAATATATAATGTTTAGCTTATATGATAACTTGTTTTAATTTAATTAATTTTATTCATTTCGTATATACAATGCATAGAATATGCATTTATTATTTTTTAATTAATTTTACTTTCGATGAAAAAATTTTTTATCTATAAATTTGTTTCTCATGAATAAATAACGTTTTGAAAATTAAAAAAGGTTAGAATTAAATGTACGGAAAACAACAAAAATAAATTATTCCGTAAAAATAGGCGCATAACCTTTAATAATAATAATAAAAATAATAATAATGAAAATTATAATAGTAATAACAAATTTTAAAGAGGAAATTTTATTTCACGTTTTATAACTGATGCGAGAAGAAAGGCATTTATGATAATAATTTATAACAACATGTTTCCTTCTGTTTACAAGAAAGTTGGTGAGGACGCTACTCTCGGAACGTATATAAGAGGAATAAGAAACTGAACAAGAACTTTTCCTACAACTTTGTTACTAAATGAGGGATAACAACGAATAGCCTAAGGGAAACAACATTCTCATGATCAAAGTTTCAGACTAAATTTCCAAAACCCACAAAATTGCGAACAAGTCTTTTGCAATTTTTTTTCCATCTTTGCTTTATTTTTCGCCCAAAAAAAAAAATTGAATGTTTATAGTCTCTGTTGAAGTCAATATTCTCTCAAAACAAAAAATCTATAACTGTTAGTATTTTATATTTCCAATAATATTAGTTTTGCATGCATATAAGATTTTTGACAATATTTTTTTTTTCGAAAATTCAAACTATTTTTCATGCATATTTTACTTTTAAATTTAAATATTGAGATTTAAAAAAAAAAAAAATGTTTTAAGAGAGCATCAAGTTACATGCATCATTGGAGAATCAAAAGGCGGTTTTTCAATATTGCAGTTGAGATTTTTTTCATTTTGGTTTAGTGATTCGAAAATTTTTCCAAAGACTTGTATGAAGAAAAAGAGAGAGAGAGAAAGAGACAGAGGTAGTATGTGAATTCTATTGAACAGAAACTTGATTGATACAATGCGATGCGATGAAACAGAAGAATCCTCAGCAGACAATTTTTCCAAGTTTCCATTTACTGTCGACTAAATATACGCTTCAATGAGTTTGAAACATGTACAACTTGAAAGTGCACATCGAAGCAAAGAGTGATCGTATACCCTTTTTTTCAAGTTCTATAGAACATATATATATATGTTTTTTGATGGCTTGACAGTTGATACAGATTTTTTCTTGTAAATATCTCTTAAAGAGAAATTAGAGAATCGATTAGTTTTGAAAAAGACGACGCATGCTTTTTATATTCCGCCTATTTTTATATAGGACACGCCTATTTTTTGTAAATACCGCCCACTTTTTATTGTCACGCCCACATTTCAAATTATTTCTCTTTCTGTTTAGTCTACGCCTACTACTTTTAAATCTTGTCTATTTTTTAATACCACGCCTACTTACATGTTCCGCCTACTTTGTTTATTTCACACCTATTACCTTTAAGCCCCGCCTTAATTTTAAGAATACGTCTATTTTTTAAAACCACGCCCAATTTTTGTAGCCCATGCCTACTTAATTTAAGCCCCTCCCAATTAATGCCACGCTTACTTATGTGTTTCGCCTATTTCTACTTATTTCACACCCATTACCTTTAAGCCACGCCTCTATTTATAAATTACGCCTATTTTCTGTACTCTACGCCTACTTAATTTATGCCCCTCCCACCTTTAATGCCACGCCTACTTACGTGTTATAATCACGCCCATTTTTTAATACCACGTCTACTTATATGTTCTGCCCATTTGTTTAGTTTATAATATGCCTATTTTTAGTTAACGCCTACTGCACGTAAGCTCCATCCAATTTTTTAATGCCACGCCTACTAATTTTATATTCCACCAATTACTGTTTATGCTACGCCCTCCTCCTTTTTTATCAGAAAATTCTGTGTTTAGATAAAAAAAATTTTAACTTTTAAAAACAATTTTTATTAAAAATTTCTATTTGAACTTTTATCGTAAAACTATTTTATCAATTTGAATGTTTGAAATAAATACAAGCAACTTGGAAAACAATACATTTTACTGATCGAAAAGAGTAAAAGGAAATACTGTAAATTCAGTGTTTTTAAATATTTGTTTCTCACTTTTTTTTTTCTTTTTTTCCCCCTTATTTCTATATAGGATCTTGGAAAAGTTTAAGGTGAGTTTTTAAACGCGTTTCCGTTAGTCTCGATACGGAAATGCACTCCCAAGAGTCTTCAACGATACTCCATTCCCCTATCCTCTTTCTCTCTCTCTCTCATCCATTCTTTACTCGCGCCCTACCCCCTTTACCTTCTTCTATTCACAAAGGAAGGGACCTGTGCCTCATTTTACTTTTCAATCTCGGGTTGGATGCGATTTTCCACCTCGTTTCCAGTCTGACAATATTGAGAGGATGGGCTAAAGCGAGAAACGAAGTGTCGATATAGAATAGGCAAAAGAAGAAGAAGAGTTCAGGTAAGATACTGGCTTCTCTAAGGGAAGGATGTCCTATCGACATCCACAGCAGCGTCAGCGCGCGGCCTTTAGATATTTAGGTTAGCTTTAACGACCTCTGCGCGCTCCAATTCGATGGCTAAAGGCATTCTTCCGTAAATGACTTCCGGTATAATAACCGTTGGCGTATAACACTATCATGGGATGATGACACTTGAGGAAAATTCGAATATATATAGGCGAAAGCGAAAGAGAGAGAGAGAGTTTAAAAGTTAATCGTAATTTTTGCTATACACAAAACTATTTATGGAATTTCCTATATTTTAAATCTTTTTTATTTACTCAATGAAGAAAAATTCTGTAATTTAGAATATATATACTTGGCATTTTAGAAGATTTTATACTTAAATTCAGTATGTAATATTTTTTAAATTAGAATATTCTAAATATTATAATTCGAATATATACTAAGTACCAAGAATTTCTAATTTTAAGAATATTACATACTGAATTTAAGTATAAAATGTTCTAAAATAGGTGCGATAAGTATATTGGGTACAAGTACCAGTTATTTAGCCCCGTAACATAACCTCAAACTAAAAAAATGATTTTTCAAAGAACTAAATATATATTTAAAATTTATTACACCGTATTTTGAACGTATGATGACACGTATGGTTTTGAATTACAACTGAACTTCTGGTTGGTTTCCATTGCCCCCACTTACCAAAATCCCCATTCGCCTTTTGTCATAATTCTCGTCAACTATCGCACCCTGTTCTAATAAAAATTTACTAACTTTTAATTTTAACAATAAAGTCACTAAATTACTAGATCAGGATGCGGTAGTTGACGAGAATTTTGACAAAAGGCAAATGGGGATTTTGGCAAGTGGGGATAATGGAAACCAACTTTCTGTCGAAAGCAAGTGAATACAGTGTTGCCAACTTATGTCAGAATTCTATATAAATATTTCTATTTAATGAAGAATAATTTCACATCAAGGCGCTCTCACATCTTTTTGGCTACCTGCAAGTTACCATGGCAACGCATGAGAGTGAGTGCGACAGAAAATTTAAAAATTTGAATATTCAAATTTTCTGTCTCACTCACACTCGTGCGTTGCCATGGTAACCTGCAAGCAGCCAAAAAGGTGTGACAGCGCCATCGAATTTCTCGATTTGAACGCAAATAAATGGAAAAATTATTGAAACAAAAAAAAAAAAACTTACCTCCAGTATATGCTCGGCTTGATTTTCACGATCCAATTTTCTGCCAGTTGTGGTAATGACGCCTGAAAAAGAAAAATTAAAAAACAATATTTAATTATTTTTATCACTTGAAAAATTCTATAAACTAAAAGACTTAAGAAATTAATTTTCATAAAATAATAATAATAAGGGATCAAAAAGTTAAAAACCATTTTTGACAATACAGTCGAGGATTATAGGAGACTAGAGAATATATACGAAGTCAAAGCAATGTCAAACGAAGCGAAAAGTAGTAAAATACAAAGGATCCTTCATCGCTTTTTCTGGAAAAAGAATATAGGGCTTCCCTTGTTCACGTGAATTTATTTATTTTTTTTCTTTAGGTCAAATGCCTCCGATAACATGACTAAGAAAGAAGCCTACCGATTGCTTATCACGTTGACGAAGCCATTTGATATTAAATTCAGTTTCCCTCGACGTTATATATGTATATCAGAGCGCACGTAAATGTAGTAAAGTTCTGTTATTCGATCACGTCTACTAAAAGGTCTATTTCACCGTTGGCTTCTGTTACTCGTAACTCGTAACGATGTTTTTGTGTCTAACAAGATTTTCCATCCTTTTTGGACATTTCACGATTACGATTCAGTGTATTTTAAATTCAATAATAATAATAAATTAATTTAATTTATACGGAAAAAAATTAATAATATGTTTTTTCTAGTTAAAAAAAAATTTTGTTTTTTTTTATCAAAAACAAAGTGAAAATAAAAATATTTTTCATTTGTCATATTTAAATTTGTAATTTCTTTTTTTTGTTGCAGATAGACCTAAAGGAGAAATTTAGCAAGAATAAATCCACTTCTAGGAAGTATTTTCATATTAGATGATGAATAATTTTTTTATTGTGCATTTGCCAATGCGAGGATTATGAAGATCCGATTTTTGGAAGTATTTTCATACTAGATAATGAATAATTTTTTATTGGGTATTAATATTTGTCAATGCAAAGATAATTAAATACCGATTTTTGGAAGTTTTTTCATTAGTATAGAAAACTATTAATTCAAATTTAGAGAGTAAAAATAAATTGAAATTTGAGTTTTAAATTCAATATATATTGGTTTTTTAATTGTTGATTTTATTATTTAATTTCACATCGTTTATTTATAAAAACTTGAATTAGTAAAATGTTATATCTAATAAAAAATTTTTTATGAATGAAAATTCGTTGCGGAAGACCGGAGTTACGTCAAACTATTCTAAATTATAAATTGGCGTTAATTACAATTTAATAATTATATAATTTTGAGCTTGATTATAATTTCTGGGTCAAAATGTCGCATAACGGAATGGCAAAATTCGGTGTAAAATTTATAGTTAGAATAATATAATTAAGTTATACAATATTATGATGAAATTGCGCGGTTGGGGCTTTTTGGGGTTTTGCAATTATGAATCTGATGTCAGTTTTTAAAAATTCAATATGAAGGATAAAATTTTTAAGAACATGAACGAATTCACATGAAACAGTGTTTGGTGATCGATTATGAATCTGTTTTCTAATTTTCAAAAAAATTAGAGATTCCAAAAACTCTCAAATAAAATATGTATATCATGCAAATCCAATAATTTTTTCCCCCATAATTAGATGGAAGCCCTAACATAACCTCAAAACTGAAAAATGGTTTTTAACTCAAACAAAAATATTAAAAATTAATTTCAAATAATTTTAGAAGTACAGTTCCGGAAAAAATTATACTGGAATTTTTGTTTTAGAAAAGCTTATAACTAGATCATCTAAAATTATTTGTAATTAATTTTTATTTTTTGCGTTAAAAACCATTTTTCAGTTTTGAGATTATTTTAAGGCCAACGCATTCTCCTTAATATATTTTTGAATAAATCTTTAATGTTTTGATAAATCTAGCTCACTGTGAGTTTTGGAAGAAAAATTAAATGAATACGTTAACAAAATTTATCAAGAGATCCTTATATATTTTTCGCTACTACGGATGAAACATGAGGTGCGTGGAAAGAAGAAATTTATATATCTCTCGTGACATCCGTCCCTTATGGCGTTACTTTTAAATATAAGCAAGGGGTCAAGATTTATGTAACCTAATTCGGTTGTATAGTATGAGCAATAACCCCAGAACAACACTATACAATATATATATATATATATATATATATATATGCTTCTCCTTATCGTAACTCGCCACCCTCATATAGTTGATTTCGACCTTCTTGGAAGGTGAGTGAACCTCTGTTAAATTTATCCAAATTGCGATCTCTTCTACTTTGATACTATTTACGCTACTCTTTATATTTATTGTCTTATCAATTGAATTTGATTTAATTTTGACTTGTTTAGTCATGCAATTTTCAAAAAAAAAGAAAAAGTAAAATTTACTCTACTGGAATACTACTCCTAGAAAAAAGATTTCTTTGATTCAAAGAAATCAATTTCTTTGACAAATTTTTCTTTGATACAAAGAAAATTTATTTGCTGCAAACAAATCATTATCTTCATTTTTGATTAAAAAAAAAAAATTAACTTCGTTTCAAAGAAATTTTTTATTTAATTCAAATAAATATTTCTTTGACCCTATATCAATGTTAGAATTTCTTTGATGTAATGCACAAATTTCTTCAATTCAAAGAAAATTTTTTTTTGAATCGAAGAAATTTTCTTTGAAATTAAGAAGCTTTTTTTGTTTCAAAGAAAATTTTATTTTAAATGAAAGAAAACAAGGGGCCGTTCATAAACTACGTTATCAATCTTTCATTCTTTTTAAACCCCGTCAACCCCCTAAAAAAGTTAACGTAGTTTATGGATGGCCATAAATGCAATTTTGTTGCGTGTTTACAAATTTCGTGCAATCAAGTTTGCATTTTTTAAATATATTTGTTGTAAAAACAATAAAATTTACTTCTGTAACTTTAATTAGCTGCACTATGTAATCGTCTCTCAGTCAGAGGTTATGTTTTGTTGTTTTTTAACCGTTCGCGACAGAGATGGGTAGGTAACTTCATGCATATGGAAGGTTGTCATTGACCCCACTCGCCATTTGTCATAATTCTCGTCAACTACCGCACCCTGCTCTAGTAAAAATTTAGTGATTTTATAGTAACTTTTAATTTTAACTATAAAGTTACTAAATTTCCACTAGAGCAGGGTGCGGTAGTTGACGAGAATTATGGCAAATGGCGAGTGGGGACAAACATTTTACGTCACGAACTAAAAAAATTATTATAGAAGTGTCACGACATTTTAAAATGTAATTTTACCCTTATCGAAGAACCTAAAGCTCGGTCCACAATATTATGCGAACATAAATAGTCCATTGTAGACACAATAGATTAGTTGACATTTTTTCCAATCGCTTGCAAAAAATGGAATGAACGAACCTTTAGTGCCATACACAACCTAGTCTGCTATGTACGCACCCTACCCATCCCTGATAGTTGCGGCTTAGGGGCTGTTCACAAAATACGTAACGCTTTTTTTTTGGAAATTCCAAACCCCCCCCCCCCCCTTCCCCATGTAACGCTCAGTTACATACATTAGCGTCATTTTTTTGGCTGTCCGTAACAAATAGCTTGACCCTCCCTCCCCCCTGGAAGCGCTACGTGTTTTGTGAACAGACCCTTAAGGTTGGTTTTCATTGTCGCCGCTTGCTATTTGTCATAATTCTCGTCAACTACCGCACCCTGCTCTAGTAAAAATTTAGTGACTTTATAGTAACTTTTAATTTTAACTATAAAGTTACTAAATTTCCAGTAGAGCAGGGTGCGGTAGTTAACGAGAATTATGACAAATGGCTAATAGGGATTTTAGCGAGTGGGGCCAATGGAAACTAACCTTAAGCAGCAACTAGCAGGGATGGGTAGGGTGCGTACACAACAGACTAGGTGAATGTACGTTAACCATTGTACGTTAACCATGAACTAATAAAATTATTGTAGAAGTGTCACGACTTTTTGAAATAGCTTCACACTGAAGTCAGACCAAATATGCAATTGGGTGTAACATCTAAATTGTGTCTATTAATTAATAATAAACAATATATAATCTCGCTATTCTGAAACTACAGTGATGAAGCAAAAAATTGATTTTCATACCCCTTAAACGCATATTAACATTTATTAAACGATTAAAAAATGATTTTGCAAAAAATTAGCAATTATTATTGAATAAAAATTTTTTTATAGTAGTTGCGGGCGCCGTGAATGATGAAGATGAAGAAGATGCAAATTTTGTTTTTGCCATCGTAAATCAGGAATTCAGTTGACACGCCCTCTTGTGGTAGGTTGCGGAAATTACGGCTGTAGAATTTACCTGGTCTAAGATTGAGGGAAAGTACGTTTGTTATCAGGAGAGTGCAAGAGGGGGGGGGGATAGTATCCGCCTTTACCACATTCAACCCTTAGTTTTCGGTTTATCGATAAGATCCGCATATATATATACGTCGTACGTCTGGACTTTAATCGAGTCGTCTCATGCTCAATCAATTTTTAAAATATCTCAAATCCGTTTGTAAATTTTTTCTCTTTTGATTAATTCTGCGAAGAAATCTTAAAAATAACTTACGAAAATTTCTACACTGAAAAAACTATATTCTAAAAAGAATATTTTCTTGGCGCCTATTTAAGAATATTTCCCATACATTTTAAACTTTTCTTGAAGAAAATGATTTAAATTAGGCTTCTTTTTGATGTTTTTTAACCTATTTCAGAACCTATATACTTTTCCGAAGCATTTTGATGTGCTGAATCCGAATCTAACCTTAAAATTGACTCAGCACGTCAGGTTTTTGAGATATTCTAACCTAAAAGTGCAAAAAAGACGTATTTTTACCATATTTGAGGTTATGTAATATCAAGAGATAATTTTTTTTTCAAAAATGTAGTTTTTAAAGTTTCAAAATGCATTTTCAAAAGTAAGATTAGTACTAGATGCTGTAACGACCTTTTTAAAAAAAATTTTCGCTTGATGTTACATAACCTCAAATATAGTCAAAGAAACGTCTGTTTTACACTTTTACGTTAAAATATCTCGAAAACCTGACGTGTCGGATGAATTCTGTGGTTAGATTTGGATTTAGTACATCAAAATTCTTCGGAAAAGTATAGTTTGGTTCTTGGTTCTGAAGTTGGGTAAAATTTTGTCGGTCTGTGTTATAAATTACAATGTCTTTTCTGTTCTTCACCCAGAAAAAAGTTTCTTTGTATTAAAGAACGTTTCTTTGAATCAAAGAAATTAATGCATTCAAATAAACATTTATTTCTTTAATTCAAATAAAATATTTCGTAAAATCAAAGAAATATTTTTGTTTGATTTAAAGAAATTATTTCATTACTTTTTTTTTGTTAACTCAAAGAAATATTTCTTTGATTTTACGAAATTTTTTATTTGGAATCAAAGAAATAAATGTTTCTTGTAATGCACAAGAAAAATATAATTATTTCATTTTTAGACGTTTGTATTTTGATTAAAATATAATTTAATACGGAAACTTAAGTTCTTAATTCAATTTGATTTAGAGAAATTTTTCTTTAGGTTAAAAAAACCATTGAAAGAAAATATTTCTTTGATTCAAAACAAAATTTCTTTTTCATAAAAGTAAAGAAAACCTTTTTTTAATTTAAACAAATTTTGTCTTTGATTTAAAAAGTGAATTTAAAGAAACAATTTTTTTGTTTCAAAGAAATCTTTTTTCTGGATGTTTAATTCTTGTGTAAATGTGCCTTTTTGGATTTAAAATTTTCCCATAAAATTATAAATAAATAATATTTTTAGAAAATCGAATAATCCTCTTTCTCTCAATATATATATAAATAATGAAATATGTCGCATTCGAGGTAGAGGAAGTGGAAAAATAAGATATGTGGTTAGGACAAGTGGCACTTACCAGTCGTAGAGTTGATGAGAAAATAGCCTTCTGGATTGCCACTCGTGATAGAAAAAGTGAATTGCTGAGACGTAACATCACGATCGAATGCTCGTATTTGAACCACATTCACACCAGCTGGTGAATTTTCAGGTACTGAAGGATAATAGACTGGCAGTTCAGTGAGTGGAATATTGTCGTTTTCATCCAAGACTTCAATGTAGACCTGAAAGCAAATTCGTCAAAAAAAAAAAATTGTGAAAAAAGAATTTAATACGCGTACATTGAAATTATTGGAAAAAATCATACAAGAAATAAAAAAGAACCGAGTAGAGTTTTTACCTGTTTTAAAATTGAGCATTTGCAAAAATTCAAAGGTAAAAACATAAAAAAAAAAAATTTCTAAAATTACGTATATATATTATAAAAGTATGCAAATTTGTTTCTGTAGTTGAATCCAAATTTGCAGATTCAGTTTGATGTTAAAGTCTTGTATATATGGAAACTTTTTATGAAACTTTGATTTTCAGGTCAATGAATTCAAATTTAATGGTAAAGTGAATTTTTAAAATTCCAAAAACTATGATTTCGAATGTTGAGAAGACAAAATTTTACATTCCCTCGAGAGATCTCGAATAAATATCTCATTCTAAAGAGTACATAAATTTTAATAAAATTTTTTTTTCTGACCTCTAAAAATACAGTAAAATAATTTTTTTGCAAAAAATATGATGCCACTATTTTTTGTTTAATGAAAATTTTCAAAGTTCACAAAATTAATTCTATTAATTCTAAATATTTTCAAAAAAAAAAATTAAGACTAAAAATTAACAGTATTTTTAGAATTAAATTATTAATAAATTTTAAATTTTCAACAGTTGACTTTTTTTGAGGGAGAGGGGGGGGGAGGTTTGAATGTGAGACAAAAAGAGAGAAGAAAAAATTAAATAATTAAAAGAAGAAGGCAATAAATCGTAGAATAAAAAAAAGGACAAAAAAAAAGTTTCAAAGTTCCGAGGAAAAGATAAAAATCTTGACTCCTAAATAACTTACTTCTTGTTTTGAACTCAGTGGTACCACACCATGATCCTGTGCGTAAACAGTCAGCCAGTAGCCTCTTTTTGTTTCCACATCAAGAACAGCTTTTGTTTTTATATTTCCTGCAACAAAAAGTGTAGAAAAAAATTTAATTTTTTGAATTATAAATTTATTTTATAAACACAAACCTAACTTTAAAATATTAAAATATAATTATTTTATATGACGTCTAGCATCTTGATTCTAGTAACATACCGACGTGAAAAACCTGAACTATACATAATATTACTAAAAGAGAAATTTCTGTTGGAACTTGTAAATTTAAATATGAAAATTTTAATGTTTAAACTTGTAAAAATAAACACACGATAATTATAAATAAAAAATTAATTAACAATTAATTATTTTCCAACTATCTTAAATAAAAATGAAAACTATTTATAAATAACTATATAAGTTAAGATTAGAATAAAATCTGATTTGTAATAATAAATAATATAGTAATTAGATATAAATAAATATAATAATAATAATAAATAAAAAAAAAAAAAATATTTTAAATAAACTATAAATAGAAATGACCTTGGTCAAAGCACAATTGCGTAATATGACGTTATAAGGTCATGTGACGTGGCATCATTTGATTGGACGAATTAATGGGCGGAGCTACCTCCCCCAATTAACTAGTAGTGGGAGCTAGGGTATATAAGGACTTATTTTATAACAGAAATCAGGAAAAACTTTAGTACAAAAAGCGTGATATTTATTTTTGCGAATTGGTTTTTTACCCCAAGGGGTTTTTTGCCAATTAAAAAGAACGTTTATTTATTTAATAAACCTACAAATATCAAATAAATTCCTTAATTCAAAGTTAATTGGACAAAAATTCAAATCAGTGTCCGTTATCAAACGGTAATTAAGGTACTAAGAATCCACTAAGTCGATTCGATATATCGAATATCGAAAAACCACCTTCACATAAAACCCAGGACGTGACATTTTATAACATAACATAACATAATTTATAATTAATTTTTCATCAAATGATGTTAAAATTTTATATTCAGAAAAAAATTTTATGAACCGACCTTTATATATCAAACACTTTATATATAAACCTTGGCTTGATACCGTTTTTATTTTCAATATTAAATCTATTTTTCATTGACCTTTCTAACCTATAATATTGAGATACATGTCAAACATGTGTTTAAAAAAAAGTTTTTTATTTTATATTTTTAATTTAACACATAATATTTTTCAATTCAAATTTCAAAATTAATTAAAGATTATACATTTTGCGTAATCATATATAGAAAAAATAGTTTTAAAATTTAAGTAATGGCTGATTCTTACAGTTTTACAATTTTACAGATTATTATGACTCAAATATTTAATTTTCATTATATGTATATTATTAACTAAAATGAAATAGACGTGAAAATGTCGATATGTATTCTATATAAAAAGAGCTTTAATCTTCGTTTAAAAAATTTCTAAAAAGATTTATCTTTGCAGAAATGTATCTGATGAGAACACAGAATTCTGTATCGAAACGCGTCATGATAATTATTGCAATAAACTAAAAGCCATTTAGGCCAAAAATGAAAAAAAACATCTTTTAATTGAAATATATTGGCTTTAACCTAGAAATTTTATCTTTTTATATACAAAACAATAATAAATAGAATTGAAACTAAATTTAACCGTTTTTGGTTTTATAATTTTAATAATAATAATTGTTATTATTATTGCTATAACCTGAATGTAATAAACAAATAATAATTTAATATAAAACAAATTATCATTATTGGAAGGAAATTTGTACATTAATTTTCAAAATGAAATTTCCGCTTTCACCAATATGTCATAAATCAAGAAATTAATACTCGTAAATATTACGAATTATTATCATCAATTCTCATTACAGCAAAATTTTATTCGAGTTTATTATTATTCTCATGAGAATTGAACGACGTGTCAAGCAAGTTTTTAGTATATACATTTTCATATATATTAAACAAAAAAAAAAATTATATTTTATCATAAGTAAAAAAAAGAATATAATTCCTACTTTTTTTTTAAAATTTACATATAGTAAAATTTGTATTTTAGAAAATTTTTTTTATCACAAAATAATTTTATTTTAAGTATTGCAAGGTGTAAGACGAAAATTGAAATTTTATTTATTATTTCATTTTACGCGCGCGTATTTCATATTTATAAACTATTTTCATCATTATATATTAGTTTCGACAACATATCATATTATTGATGTGATCGCATTATGTGGCTTGCCTTGAGCAAAGTTTCCGCATCTCTCGTATAATACTTAAGGTTTGCTTCCCACTATATTTTCTCTACCTCATCCTCTCTATATATACTTTTCTACCGTCATACTTCGATCGTTACAGTTCAGCTTCATGAAAATTGCGAGAACCCTCATCCAAAACATCAAATCAAGAATCTAATGAAGACATATGTGTCTGCGTTGTTGAACAAAAATAATGTTTTATTTCAGACAAAAAAAAAAAATGATAGTTTTTTTTTTGTAAAATAAGGAAATTTTTTTAATATAAGTGAAAAATTCGATTCTTGGAAGGAATAAAATATCATAGAGATTTATGTTATTAAATTGTTATTTATTGTCACAAAACAAAAAACAACGTTTCGATGAATTGATTCGTCATCATTTTTAGGTTAGGTTAAATCTTTGCAGCACGTTCTTGAATTAATTGTGTTTTGACCTTTAGAACATTGAGTAACAGACTAAGGGCTCTGTCACATGCAGCAGATTAGGGGACTAAATTTTAACCAATCAAAATTTAGTCTCTTGCGACAAGATAATATTTGCCGTAAGAGACTCCTTTTTGATTGGTTAAAATCTATTTTGTTAATTTGCTCCATGTGACAAAGCCCTAAGAAAATACATAGGGTTGGTTTCCATTGTCCCCACTCGCCATTTGTCATAATTCTCGTCAACTACTGCACCCTGCTTTAGTGAAAATTTAGTGATTTTATAGTTAAAATTAAAAGTTACTATAAAGTTACTAAATTTTTACTAGAGCAGGGTGCGGTAGTTGACGAGAATTATGACAAATGGCGAGTGGGGACATTGAAAACTAACCTTAAGCTACAACTAGCAGGGATGGGATAACCCTATGTCTCACGGATTAAGATCGGTTTACACTATTTAAAAATATGTTACCTACCCATCCCTGAGGAGATAGAAAACGACACAAGTATACCTCTATCCTTTTTTCTTTCATGTTTAATTTTCGTGAAATTATTGTAGAAAACAAATCAAAAACGGAATAATTTGGACTCATTAGAAAAAACTTAAAGTTGCTTTCGTTATTTAAAGTATTTTTGCAAAAATAAAATGCAACTCTGCACCATTTTAATATCTAGATTATATATTTTTTATTATTTACAAACATAACCTCCAATTTTCCAAGTTAAAATTAAATAGAATTTTTTTTCCTCCTTTTTTGCTCAATTAATAAAATATGAAAAATGAAGAGATTTTCATGATTTTATTATACACAATTATATGAGGGACAATATGTGAGAGTAAGTTAATATTAGAAGATAAACTTTAATGATCTTTCCCTTGGTTAAGAAGAGGGATATATGGTTGTTTCACTCCATCGCGTAATTGAGCACAAGTAGGTGGGTTCTAACCGAGTCTATTCGTCTGACACTGTTCCCCTCGAATGCGTTTATGCTGATTTTATCCTAACCGAGGGAGACAGAGAGAGAAAGAGAGATGAGAAAATCACCCTCCGTGTATTCCTAAAGCACACTTGTTTCTAACCGCTTCATAATGGAAATTTAAACTCACCTCTTCCTTTCACTCTCTCTCCTTTTTTTCTGAAAACATCAATTCCAATTTCTAAGCTAAAAATCAACGACTGAATTTTTAAATTTTATGGACATACTGTCCATAATAAGTAAATTCAACTAGCTATTTTTTTTGGACAAATTTTATAAATAGAAAAAATATTGGATCTGCACCCTGCTCTAGTGACTTTATTGTTAAAATTAAAAGTTACTATAAAGTTACTAAATTTTGGTTGGTTTCCATTGTCCCTTTCTATTGATTTCCATTGTCAACTACCGCATCCTGCACTTGTAAAAATTTAGTAACTTTATAGTAACTTTTAATTTTAACAATAAAATCACTAAATTTTTACTAGAGCAGGGTGCGGTAGTTGACGAGAATTAAGACAAATAGCGAGTGGGAACAATGAAAACCAACCTTCTCACTAAAGCAGTGTGCGGTAGTTGATTAAATAGGAATTTTAGCGAGTGGGGATAATAAAAACCAATCATTTTGAAAAGTCGTTACACTTCTATAATAATTTTATTAGTTCGTGACGTAATGTTTAAGGCCAACGCACAATAGGTTCGCGAATGTTAACTACGAGATAGAAAAGGACTCAAATATATCTGTTCTTTTCTAACTCATCCTTAACGTTCCCAAATCTACTGTGTATTGGCCTTAAACATTACGCCACGAACTAACAAAATTATTATAGAACTGTCACGACTTTTCAAAATACCATCAAACCGTAAGGAAAGCTTATAGTTGAGTGTATTATACTAACTCACAAATACCAACTATCATAAGAAAAATAATTTTTCAAATATTTTTCTTACGATATAATATTAAACCGTCAATTTTGAAATTGATGATAAAAAATTGAAATGGAAACAGTTGCATATTCCATAATAGATAAATGGAGATTATAAAATATATTTTTAATGTCATAAAATTTTTTTTTCTTTTTTTAAGAAAAGAGTTTGTTACTTCCGGTTGGAATGATTTATAGAAGTTGCATAAATTTGAACGATGTCGATGAACTCACCGATGAAGGTTCATTAGCGATAAAAGAGTCAAGCGGAGCATCTTTATACCAGGCCGACACATAAATATATTACAGTTGACGTCTTTTATCGCTCTACACTATCGCTAATATGAGAGAGTAAAAAAAAAATTTTAACAATATTAAAAAATTAACTTCAATTTTCATTAAAAAAAAAAAAATAAAAAATGTGCTACTTTTTCCACAAACATTTAAAAAAATTGCATAATTATTTATTATTGTTAAATAATATTCACAACAATAATTTAATTTCAATTTAATAAAAAATTCTTCCTATTTTTCGCTCTCTGTTAAAAATTTTTTTTCCCAAATTATTACAATCTTTTGTTATTTTCACGTTTTATGGAACTTCAATGCACTGGCGTGAAAATTAATTATGTATGCAAGACAATAAATGTATAATATATATATATATAATTCATGAATAATTCATCGTGTAAATTTTGCAACAAATATTTTTTAATTATATTTCTATATTATCGTTAAAGTGTAAAATATTTTGGTAAAATACAATAGAAGCAGGAAAATTGATTTCATAAAAGTTTTTTTTAAGCTTTATAAGCTGTGAATCTTTTATTAACCAAACAATCAAGAATATACATATATATACATACATGTACATATACGCATAGTATAATATACTGTTCGCTTTGATCAGCATCAAAATTATTCAACCATATATATATATATATGTATTTACTGATAATTCCATAAAGAAGTTAATTTAAATCAGTGCATATTTATTAAATAAAATAATAAATAATATTTTCAATAAAATATTTTTCATTGAAAACAAATAAAATTTTCATTGTAAATTAATATTGGTAGAGACGGCTTTACATTTGTCTAATAATTTGATTAGTTCGTTGCCTACGGTGTAAAGGCCAATGCACAATAAATTTGCGAACGTAAAACATGAGTTAGAAAAGGATATAGATATATTTGTATCCTTTTCTAACTCATGCTTCACGTTTGTAAACAGTTTTCACAAAGCTATTGTGCATTGGCCTTAATGTATACTACGTCACGAATTAATAAAATTATTATATAAGTGTCACGACTTTTCAAAATTATACCTTTATCGTAGAACCTAAAGCTCTGCCCACAATGTTATGCGAACATAAATAGTCCATTGTCTCCACTCGCTTGCAAGAAATAGTGTGAACGAACCTTCAGTGCCATACACAAACTAGTCTGTTATGTACGCACCCTACCCATCCCTGCTAGTTGTGGCTTAAGGTTAGTTTTCATTGTCTCCACTCGCCATTTGTCATAATTCTCGTCAACTACCACATCCTGCTCTGTTAAAAATTTAGTAACTTTATCGTTAAAATTAAATTTACCATAAAGTTACTAAACTTTTACTAGAGCAGAGTGCGGTAGTTGACGAGAATTATGACAAATGGCAAGTGAGGACAATAGCAACCAACCAATAGGCTCCCTATGTCAACATAAAGGCCAATGCACAATACAGGTACTATACCATATTTAGACTATTTTAAAGCAAAATGAAATCTAATGTTTGTTAATTTTATTTTAAAATTCCTGCATGAGAAATCGACTATATATATATAGTGGAATTATTTATAGGATTGCGATTCGTGTGAAATTATTTATTAGAGACATAATTTGTATGAGAGTAGAAAGGGATGAAGGGAGGAGAGAATTATTAATCGTCCGGTAATATCTAGAGAGAATCGTTTATTAACTCTCTGTGTACTGTGAGCGTCGCGTCGCTCGATCTCAATGGTTATCACGCGCAGGTGCAGCTTTAGAGGTGAGCAACAATCAATTTCAACCGAAAACTGATATTGAACCACGCGCGTGAACCACGGGGTGGGAAACCATGGGGGTTCCTCGATTGTTCCTCGCATAAATCCTTCTCTCCATATAAATTTGCCGTGTGCGTTTGGTACCCTGCATTTCGCCCAATACCACCACCACTACCACAATCGACGCCCGAAACGAATTCGAATATCCGCAATTAAAAGCCGGATAATAGGGGCAATGTATCTTCAAAAAGAGCAAGAGAGAGTAAAAAAAGACATCAAGCGGAAGTTCCTGTAAATTTTCATGCATTAACTTTAATATAACGGTTTTTTATTCAAGTCCCCTTTTTGTGTTAATTTTATGCAATGTCAGTGTGATTTTTGCTGTATTGTTGGTGAAAATTTAGTACCTTTTTAGTTATAATTGTTTTTAAATAGTTACTAGAATGTAACTAAAAAATACTAAAAAGTAAGTAAATTTTAACTAGATTTCATGTAATGCTTCTATTTGCAAGAAATGGTGTGAACGAACTTTTAGTGCCATTCACAAGTTTGTTGTGTACGCACCCTATTCATCCCTTCTAGGTAAGGCTTAAAGTTGGATTTCATTGTCCCATTTGTCATTATTCTCGTCAACTACCGCACCCTGCGCTAGTGAAAATTAAGTGGCTATTGTTAAAATTAAAAGCTACTAAATATCCACTAGAGCAGGGTGCGGTAGCTGACGAGAATTATGTCAAATGGTGAGTGGGGACAATGGAAACTAACTTTAACTATCAAAAGTAAAAGAACTAGTTTCCTAACTCTGCTATTTACATACTGGCATAACGTCTTTCTAATCTTTTCAATTATTTGTAAATACAATTTTTAATTTGTAAACATGCAATCGACTGTTTTGTCCTTTATATTTTTTAATGTAACTTGAATGTTATCAATTCTCCCATTCTTATTCTCGTTAACTATCGCACCCTGATCTAGTAAAAATTTAGTGACTTTATTGTTAAAATTAAAAGTTAATAAATTTTTACTAGAGCAGGGTGTGGTGTGTACATTACACCACGAACTAATAAAATTATTATAGAAATGTCACGACTTTTCAAAATGCCGTCAAACCGGAAGGATAGTATTTATGCAATTGGGTGTATAAGGGTGCATTCACATGAAGGTACAAAGCGTCATAATTTGTAACTAGATAATAAGTAAGAAAGTCACTTGTCCTTCTTGCACTCCAGATACAAAATTTGACGCTTTACGGCTTCATGTGAATGCACCCTAAGGTTAAACTAAACTTATGCTTGTCTCACACTTCAAGCAAATGTAAATGTTCAATTTCACTTATTATCGCAGAAAACGCGACCCTTTTGACATACATGTGAATTCACCTTTATAGAATCAAGATGCGTATCATGCTCAAGTTCTTTGGAACTTTTAGACGTGGTAAAGATTTTGCGAAGTAGAGAATAGCACGCGTCGTGTCGTGTCGTTTGCTGCCTGTCTCATCGCATATAAGTAGATGAAACATGAAAGCCAGTTAAGCTGACACTTGACGAGGATCGTGTAAATGGCCGAGAAGCTAGAGATTATTATTGTCGAGTGGTTTCATTTTATTTCTTGGGTGGCCTACAAATTCCATATTAAGACGATCCCAAAATGAATCACATTTGAAATATAAAATTTTGAAATAAAATTTACATTAAAAACTGTTTTTTAAAAAAATTAAGTAATACAGTGTGGATACAGGTTTATATTTGACCCTCACACCAATTGGTTGATTGATTCTAATTGGACAAATTATTACACTAAAACTGCTAACCAAGCATATTGTACTATCATTCGATATATCGATTAAAAATAAAACTATTACTCCAGCTTAAAGGTGCTTTCACAATTTTTTGTTAGATATTCCATAATCACAAAAGGAGAAGACAAACAAAAGTACAGATACAAAAAGAAACCTTACAAATAAGTCTAAAAAAGAGTTTTAAATAAAAAAATTTTTTTTTAAAATGATTACTTGAATGTGTAATCAATTTGTATAAATCCGACTCATACAGATTGTGACATGAAGAATGCTTCGCTTGAAAAATGATTGCGTATATATTTCATCTACTGTTTTCACGTGGTTGATGCTATTTTTTTTCCCCTTTTACCGAGATTATTCATACGGTTTTTTATTCCCGGTCATATTGCCTAGAAAATTAATTCAATAACGGTGAAAATAGATTTGCCGGTGATACTTTAATTAACGAGCAGCGTGTCAGTAAAGTCTGCTCTAATTGGTTTGGGCTCGAGCGGAAGCTCCCTGTATCGCCATGTGGCTAGTTAAGCGTACCTTTTTTTCGATATTGGAAATTCAAAGCAACAATGATAAAAATGAGAAAATCCTATTCTATTATAACATTCTCAAGGTTATATTATCTCGTATTGAATATATTATATTTATGTATGAAATTTTATTTCCATCTTTTGGGATTTATAAATATTAATTTTTTCAATTATAAAAAAAATTAAAGTTGGAAAAAAATATTGAGCATTCCCAATCCTGTGAATGTTATCGATAATGAAAATAGTTGATAAAGTGCTGTAAAATAAATATCAGCTGATTTTTATTACTCTATATATAGGGAAATTTTCTTAGGGTACGTTTACAATTTTGTATTTGATCGATATATCGAATGAATTGATCCAATAGTATGCTACATCTTTCTGGTAGAGACAACCAATTGAAGGTTGCCATTGTCCCGACTCACCATTTGGCATAATTCTCGTCAACTACCGCAACCTTCTCCAGTGAAAATTTAGTAACTTTATAGTAACTTTTAATTTAACAATAAAGTCACTAAATTTTCACTAGAGCGGTAGTTGAGAATTATACAAAATGGTGAGTGGGGACAAGGTCAACCTAAAGCTGTGTTCACAATGCTAACATAATATTTTGGACAAAAAAATATTTAGAAGGTAAAAGGGTTGAGTCGGTGTAAAAATATCGAACTTTTGCGCTTTACTGTCTAACCTTGTTTGACTATAGCTACCGTTCCATGAAACGATTTATCAATATGCCAATAAACAGAAAAAAATCGTGATTTTAAAATATACAAAGGAATTTCTTATTATTAACGAACAGAAAACAGGTCATGAATTATTTTTAATTTCTATTTCTCTTTCTCTTTGTACTCGAAGAGGCAAGATTCAAGTTTTGTCGAGGGCGGCATCGCGTCATTCTGTCTCGCAGTGATTTCTTAATCCGACTCTTAATCCATCACACGAAAGAAACTCGAGAGACTCGCTGGCGGCTTCCGAGAAATTCCTCCACGCTGTGATCGATTATCCCGTTTGCTTGTGACACGTGCTACACGCACTACACGTTCTATACACACCTTGGCAAAAGCATTCTCTCTCACTCGCACACTCTATGACACAAAACTAGTATTGTTCCACTGTCTCTCAACTAGACAACCGTCTCGAATTCAATATTCTACTGACTTTCTTTACCTACCGCATTACAAAAAAAAAACTTTATAGAGTTTACCTTAAATCCTATGTATAACAAAAACTAAATTCCATTGTATAAAAATTTTTATACTTTTACGCAACAAAAGGTATAAATAGATTTTGCTCTCTTGACAAATAAAATTAATCTTTTTAAGTGAAATCAATTTCTTTCAACGTTTAGATTGTGTAATTCAATATTGGAGATTTTATATTGTTACACAGTCTGATTATAATTATATTTGAAAAATGTTTTATCTGTTATGAATTTCCCGCCATGTAAACTGCTCTCATTTTTTTGCTACTTTTGTTGTAAAAGCGGTTGGTTGCCAATGTCATCACTTGCCATTTGTCATAATTCTCGGTAAACTACCACACCCTGCTCTAGTAAAAATTTAGTAACTTTTAATTTTAACTAGAATGTTATTAAATTTTCACTAGAGCAGGGTGCGGTAGTTGATCGAGATTTATAACCTTACCTCCTTAGGGTCAGTTCACATGGAGGCGTAAAGTGTCAAATTTTGTAACTAGACCATGAGTATGAAACAAATATAGGTTCGTCCTTCTCACACTCATAGTCTAGTTACAAAATTTGACACTTTACGCCTCCATGTGAATTCACCCTAAGGTGGTTAGATACAGTATTAGAATTTTTGTCCTTTTCTAACGCACGTGTTGTCATTAAATGTTGCCATGACAACACGTGCGTTAGAAAAGTACAAAAAAGTGTAGTCATATACTTCCACGACTCTACGTACGTTACACATTTATTTAAGGCTGCATTCACAATGGACAAAGTTAAAAAAGTCCATTGTAGACACACCCTAACAGTTGGTAACTTCCCAAGTGACCGCTAGCGCCAATTCCTTCTCCTAGCGGATGGAATCGTTACAAGTACAAGTATAAAACCTCACTAAACTTGTACAGAGTAATAAAATAATAGTTTTGTGTGTACAAAATGTTTATGTAATCGTTTGCATTATTGTACAATATAACAGGAGTTCTGTCTCGTAAAATATAAAACAGAACCCACTGCGATGAAGTTTAAAGAAAAAAAAAAATTTGTCCAGTTTAACTGTTTTACAGTGTTTGTACACCAACTGGCGATAGTAGTCAAAGTTCGGGAAATTGCCACTGCAACGCGTTTAATGGAAAGGGACTACGGCGACGTTATCTGACGAGTTATACGACCCGCATGGATATGAGGGAAATATCTACTGGGACAAATGGAGTTGGATATCTCATATATGTGTATAGATATATATCTGTCTCTGTTATAGACGCGTACACATTCACATATATCTTTATGCTACTGGATCACAATGAATGATGTATGTACGTGCGATCTTTTGGAGCAGCTTGTTGTCATTGCGCTTGACCCTCGACTACCATATATGAGACTACACTAGTTTTATCACTTGTAAAACTTTGCTTTTTGGAAACTCTCGGGTTTTTGAAAATTCAAAATGGCGAAAATATGAATGCAGCTTTAACTTTAAAGGAAATGTGTCAGCAGTGTTATAATCAAGAAATATGAGAATATTATTTACGATGTTGATTTTATAGAGACGAATGACGTGGTGTGCAAATAACCTGTAATTCTAATTTCTCTATAT